CTCCCCCTCCTCATCCCCCCCCTCCTCCAAAGGCCCCTCATACACCCTCCCACTCCTCCTAATACTCGCCGTACTCGGCCGGGACCTCAGCGCCCTCGCAGCCCCCTTCGTAGACGCAGCCGCAGAGGATCCCACCGCCCGTTGACTCGTAGCCTGATAATCGACATTCGCTCGACTCCCCTTCCGTACAATACTCGTCCTCTCATCCGCCCTGCTCTCCCCCTCCACGACACCAACTCCCTTTGCTGGCGTCCTCGTCGCACCCGGCATAGCCGTCAAGGGGTCAGTGGAAAGCGCATTCGCATCCGCGCACGCAGACGGACTACTACTGCTCTCGTGGCCGATCGCGCGTTCCCGTGCGCCGTGGAGGATACTATCGATCCGCGAGGAGGATGGTGCTAGTGCTACTTTCGGGGAGGAGCGTAGTCGAGCTGGATTCGGTCCCGCGTTGACATTGCCATTGACATTGCCCCTCACATCTGGCGATGTCATCGTTTTAATATTCGGGTAGACGGCCTGAAGTTAAATGTTGCGACCACAGTGGCTGGGCCAATTTCCTGTCGTGATTTCTTTGTCACAAGCCGTAATCAATTTTCCATAGGGGATGCATCAGTTAGTGGCGGATAGAGTTTCGATGGCGGACCCAGAACTTTATTGCGGTTTTTTTGATTGGCAGATGATTTTACAATTAAGAATCTTTAGAATGAACAATAAACCTACCTTGGTGAATATGTTAAGGGAGCTAGGACCCTTCTATTGAATTGAGTCGATGCTGTTGACTAGCAACTGAATTTTGGCATGATCCAAGAACAATTATCAGACCAACGCATTGGAATCTCAAGGCATTTTCATCCCATTCCCAAGCATGTACAGAGGGAATGAACTTGAACCAGAGTAAACTCAAATCGCTACATATCACAAATGGGGGACGGAAGAAGGTAAAAAAGTAGGTTTTGTGTACACTGAGAAGTTGGACCTGAACATGGCTTTTTGTACCTCATATGACTAGGAAAAGGGGCATTGGGTGCAACAGATCAAATGTCTTCTTTTTTCCTCTTTTCTCCTCCCCTCCCAACTACCAAATTGATGCAGACCATCAGTATCTACAGCCTGAAGCCCAGCCACAAGGCAGATCCATATTCATCATTGAAAGATCATCGCTGAAATGCAGAACACAAACGGCGTGATAGAAATAGGTATGCAAAGTGCGCCAGCGGCTACAAAAGGCCGTAGAGATATGGAGACTGCCGAAGGATATGCCAGGACTTGCTTCGCCATTGACAACGGGCATAGCACAAATAACCAAAGTGACAGCAGCCAATTTGAAGTAAGCCCTTACCTCCACGTATAAAGGACACCCACCCATTGAGAACACCCCACGCCTTCCAGAAACATCAAAAAGGAGCCACGGCACCCATGGCCCAAGCATTGTAGCTTTGTGCACAAGAAACGGCGCCCAGCCACCGGACAATATAGTAACAAACATTAACGACATTGAATACAAAGGAAAGAAAAGAATCTTCTAAAGGTGTCGAGATTCCAGAAGGCATGCATATGAGATCGTGGCACTTCGGTAGGAAAACTCATTAACGACAATTATTTGATTATTTGGATTGTGGCGAGAGTCGAGGGACCAACAATCGATTATGCACCTCTAGAACAGTTGGAGATAAGGGAAAAGACAACTTTCATCACTCGCATTGGTTCCAGATGTGCGTGCGGCGAGTGGGATGTATGCACTATAGATTAAGACATTGTTGGAAACCGAATAGCCGCGGTGCATTTATTCTTCTGTGAAGACAAAGGTTGCAGTTCCTCCATTGTTAACGGCAGCCTGAAAAACGATTAGTATATTTAATTCAAGATGGTGGAGCGAGAAAACTCACAGTGCAGCCGGTTGGCGACTCAACTCCGTTGTTGTAGAACTTGTTGTTCTTGTAGACGCACTTTCCAGAAACATCGCCAGTAATGGTAATGGTGAAGTCGAGAGAACCATCCATGTTGGTTGGGGTGTTACGGAAGACGGAGATGAAGGTACCAGCAGCAGTCTTGCCACAACCGATGTTAAGAGGAGCCCAGTTACCCATGTTGGTTCCTGGTCTGCCCCATTGGCATGCCTTTTCAACCGGAACACCAGCTGGGTTAACATAGTACTGGGCGGAGGTCGCTTTGCCTTCCCATTGATAGTAGTCAGAGGCTTCTGGGCAGGTAAGTTCGTAGATTCCGCCTGGTTGAGTGTCCAAAGGAATAGTCTCGGACTCAGTACCCGGGTAGTCGGTACGGCAGATGGCGACATTCTTCCTCAACTTGTTTTGAACCTTGACACCTCCAGCACCCTGAACGCAAATTTGCTTGTGAGTAGGTCGGGAGAGCTCAAGCATGCCCTTGGAATTGCAGAAAAGACCACCAATGGATTGTCCAGTTGATCCTTGAGCCTCGGGCCATTGGGACTTCTGGTATCCCTCTGGACAAGCGTATGAACAGAAAGCGCCTGGGTTACAACCACCGCTGACGCTGGTGTGGATAGTAGAGATAGTCTTGGAGAGTGTGGTATAGTCAGGGACGGCTTGGATACCAGACCATCCTCCAAGTTTGAGCCATTCGAGAGAGATGGCACCATATTTAGATGGAAAGCTCGAACAAGGAATTTTACCACTGGGGAAATCGGCGCCGATGTCTCCCTCGCCGGATGGAACTTTGTATTCGGAGTTAGACCCCGAGTCGGATGGGACGACGGTTTCCTTTGGACTTTCGACAGACTTGGAAGGGGTTGGCTCAGGTGAGGGGTCAGGGGTAGGAGTTGCTTTTGGAGCTTCCGAGGAACTGGACGATTTCTTCTCAGCAAAGACAGCGGCGGCTTGGTATTCAGGCTTTGCGGGCTTTTCAGCGGCCTTTGGCGATGGAGTGGGTGTAGGAGCCGCAGCTGGTGGTGGCTTGGGGGCAGTTTGAAGAGTCTCGCCGACCAGGATATATTTGCCAGACTTAATACCAGCGTCGACTTCTTCAGCGGAGATGACTTTGCCATTGAGCTCATAAACAGTGATCACTGGGCCATCGAAGACGACGTTGCTAACCTCACGAACCTCCACCCGGCTACCACGCTTCCCTACGTGGTGGTGGGCATGGTTGTGAGCGTTGGGTTTCGCAACTGCGAGAGATGCGGCGCCTAGGAGCGCGAAATGGCAGAACTTCATTGTGAAGAAGCGGATTCGTGAAAATATGCTTAAACTTAAGGACGGATGGTTATTCAACAGGTGAGATCACGAGTCGTAGAATGCGTTATCACGGTCGGAGGTCTGAAATTGAGGGTGAAGTGTTAGCAAGCTGCACTCCATATCGAGCTGTCCCTCGCCGCCAACCATCGGAGCCATCGCATCGTCTGATGATGTCCAATCGATATCGCTCCTCCAACGTCCTTTGATATTGGCGGGACATGAGATGAGATGGGAAGGATGCACACATACATTTGACGAGCGACCGAGTGGATATCAGAAGTTTGCGCGTGTTTTCAACGAGTGTCAAGGAGCGCGATTTTAGGGCTGCAAAATGTATCGAGAGATTGAGATGGTAGGTTGATTGATTTTTACAGGTCTTTTCGAGGAGATCAAGTCGATAAAGTCGCGGTTCCAAAGGAATGTGGTAGAGTGTCAGGACACTCAGTTGGAGGGAATGCTGAAGGGAGGACGAGAAAAGAGGTCGTGAGGTAGCAGGTGAGATCTGGGGCAGATGTCCATGAAGGGGAGAAGAGAGAGTGGACTCCGTGGAGAGGAGGGAATAAGAGCCGGCCACCGGGACAGGGAGTGCAGGATCATTAAAGGTTGGCGGCTTGGCGGCTTGGCGCCCGCGAGTTGACAGGGAGCGGACAGGGGCCGAGAGTCTGTTGTTGGCAGGCGCGACGCGAACGCAGCTAGCGGGATTGGGCCTAGCGCACGCCAGCAGCATCAATCAGCACCAATCAGCATCGCCAGCGAGGGCCCTAGTGCGAAATGGTGTTGCCCCAGCGCCGATGCCAACCGTAGTGTTGACAGGCCTGGCGGGTCCTGGGCACCCACTAAAAAGCTGGCGGTCGTCCACTGACAGCGAGGGCCAAAAACACGAGAGGCCCGAGAGAGCAGCGAATCTCAAGTGTGGGGACCACCGGGGTGCCCTTCCATAAGTGGCAGGCCAACGTCGACCGCTGACTGGCGAGGGACGGGGCCATACTTCGAAGTACAGGGCCATAAGCTCTCTCTCTGCGAGGGATCCGCCTTGGCTGCACCGTTCTTTCTCTCGCAAATCCAGGAACCCGCAGGGATCTCCCAAATTGCCAAAGGGGGTTGGCTGTGCTGAGCCTGTGCATTGGCTCCCTGCTCGGCTAAAATGGTTCTGGGAACGGGGGTAACACCGGAGATCAGCAGAGATTCAATCTTGGAGGTCCCTCCTGCATATTCAGGGCAACCGCCACTGCGATGCACGCCACGCAGCGCGACAGACAACACTTTCGGGCCTTCGTTGTCACTTTCAGGGCGGGCTCGGGTGAGCTCTCAGGCTGTTGTCGGTGCTGGGTCAGTACTGGGTTCAGTACGAGTGCTCTGTACTGGCCGAGCTGGCACAGCCTCTTTGGGCGGGACATTCAGGCTTGGATTTTCTTAAGTGCTCTTATCGATTCGCTTTGGCGATTCTTGCCTGTGCCGATTACAGAATCGAGGCCTTCGACGGCCCTTCGTAGAATCGTATTATTATGCCTGTGGCCCTGCGCGAAGTATAACTGACACACTACGAAGCGAATTATATACTGTACTATGCCCTCTTCTCATCTCCAAAATCCATACACTTAGCCAAAGTCCATCTTACCGTATGGCACGAAGGATCACACCGAGTTGGGTGCGGTGCTTACTTGTCAGGCTGCAGATACAACTGTTTGCCGATTGTTGGCCTACAATACAGTTGGCGCTTGCTACACATTCGGCTGCTACTGTCCGCAGGTACTTCTATTTGTATCTTCAAGAGCCAGCGCCTATACCCATCCATTCCCATACTCGCATCATTCCGCCAGAAGTCACGATATCGAACGTCCAAGTAAATTTATGTTTAGACTGTGGTTCTCGTAAACCGGCGATTTGTTTAACCTTCGTTTCGTTGATCATGACGATCCGATTCAGCTTTTTACCCTTCATGGCCGGTGTTTTTGGTTTGCATGAATCCAGCGGCAGCGGCACGTCCGTGCTTCCCTGTGGCTGTTTATCCGTTCATCCAATCTTTACCGAACCCTCATGCAATTTCGGCTCAAACAACAGGCCAATAATAGTGATGGCGCCCCAGGAAGCCTCCAACTGAGATGAACCCAAGTGGCCAGCCCAGCGCAGAATGCGACTCGAGTGGATCGAGGGAGATGAACTACTTTTGGCGGTGTTGGTGTGCACTGCATGGTTATTATTGCCCACACTAATAAATCTATTAAAAAAAGGTCGTCGGAGATCTAGAAACGATCAAGATCCAAGACTGGACCATTGTTTTTGAGATCGCCCAATTTCTTCATGATAAGACTTTGAGGGGCAGATTAAGAGATGGGGATCAGAAGATTAACGAGAGATGGGAGATTGATTTGCCCGCACGCACAACCGGACCCTTCTCCATCTGCAACGTCGCCAGCTGAGGATGAGATTGGTTGTCGCCGAAATTTCACTCAAGATCTGATTCTTCGAGGCGGAGCCCCCAATCACCAGAGAACAACTATTAATCAATTATAGGAACGTACACAAAATGACCGTTGGTATTTCACGACATCAAACATCTCAAAGAAAGACATTCTTCTGCTGAAGATGGGAATAGTTGGCACCAGCACCATCAATCACAATGAAAGAATTTCGAGGGGTCAAAGTTCGGTACTGGTACCTGTAAGGGGCACGGCATTTATTTTTGAAATTTCCCCTGACTAAATTCAGGAACAGCACTCTGGTTGGATAAGCTCCGACTGCCCCTCGTGTCTGATAGGCGCCGACGATTACCAGTCTGCAACCAATAGACGTTGATGGCAACCCCTCATAACATAAACAACAACATCTCTGGAAACTGGTTGATGTTTAGTACTTCGAATGGACGTAAACATCAGAACCTGAGCCTCAAAGCGTTGCATGTAAATCTGTCACCAAAAAACCTTCAAGATCAAATTCACCCGGTCGACCGTAGACCTGTCACAAGCTCCTCCAAGGAATTATTGAGCTGAGTCACCAATTCCAGCACTCGTTCCTTTCCAGCTCTAAGAAGCGGTCAACGGCAACACCTCTTTCTCGGAATCACTCTACGGGAATTTGCATCGAGGAGTCACTCCATTGTCAAACTTTTATCTTGTATACAGGACTTCGATATCAGATGGACCCTCGAGTACATACTCACAACGTTCTTTACGTAGTACGTTACTGTAGAATCTTACTTGCTGGAATGAGAACTCGTGGCATTCCGAGGCCCACGCGACCAGACCACCACTTGGGATTTTTCAACGTATCGGGGGATAAGTGATCGATCAGTCTTTGCACGTCATCGAGGCTTGGTTGGTGGTCCTATCGTGATGTTGATTGTGGCGGTTCCTCGCATACATATTAGATAAATTATGTTCAGCGTAGGAATGAGTGAGTAGAGTACAAGGTGACTTTTTGACACCTTATCGCTTCTAGAGGCTTCTCAGTCTATTTGGGCTGCATTGGCCTTATTATTGTACCTCCTCCCCCTCATTGTACAATGAGGGCTTTTTTTTGTTTCGGTATGTGGGAGCTTTGATCGTACATACACCTATGAGGAGTAGTTAACGCTTAGTAATTTATAGGGCGACTTTTGCTTGAGTCAGAAAAATCGAATGAGAAGGGGAAATAAGAGTCAAAACTTTTCTACAATCAGCCTAATTACTATTTACTGTATCTGCTTTGGTTCTCACCCAACAACCGCGCAGACCCTTGCGTGTTTACTGAGAAGGCGGTACTTTTCCCTATATACCTTTCGAGAGCTTGCATGTCAAACAAGGTCTTCTAGTGTATGGCGGTCACCAAACACATCATGCAACGATTTCTTTCCGCCTTTTCTTGCCATATGAGGTTCACATGGCACACATCCGCTTGTACAGCATTCTACTGGAGCCCGAGGAACACCTCTAATGCCCTCCTCGTCTTGAGCCCATAAGGCCGCTGTAAAGAGTTCTGTTGTTACCCTTTACCACCAGAATTATACCTCTAAGCACGGCGCGATGCAAACAGAATCTTCCATAAACAACCGCTGCACGAAATCTTCTAGAAGGTTAGGTATTTCGGGCGATTGCTCTATTAAGGCCAACTGCTATATGCACTCAGTATATGTAACCACCCGACGCCTTTTCAGCTGCTTACTGCTTTATATACAGTACAGTATGCAAGCAACCGACTGGGTAATTCCCTTCAACCCCAAGCCCAAGTTCGGAACTTTCGTAGATAAAACGAAAGAAAACGCAAATAGTCACAACAGGAAATACGCAGTATTGATATAAGCCGTGTCCACCTTATCACACATACTATACCGCAAAAACCACACAGCAACCTACCTACATTAATTGAGGACGGAATATCTCCATAACAAACTTTCTAACCCCTCTCTTGGCATCGTAGCGTAGATTTGCTGACAACCCCGCGCCCTTGATATACGAGTATCCGAAAGCTTAGTCTTCCTCCCGATCTACGACAGACAGGCTTCAACTTCCTACTTTGCGATTCATGGCGTCAGCGGATCTATTGTAGCTCCTTCGTGCCGCTTGGGATACCAAGGTATTGGACTGGTGATAGATCCCCCTTCCTCTTCGTACACGCTTTCACGACCCGATTGGAAATATTCATGATGCGTTGAAGCTACTCCAGAGGAATTTTGATTTTTCGTTTAGAAAAGAGGACGAAATAATAGGACTAATTTTTTTGATAAGAAATCCGAACCTCTTTCAAAGCAAATCATTCCCTGCGGTGACAAACATAAAATCTATACTTCCCTTCCCACATCCCCCTCGTATAACCCAAATCACATCCACCATCCCACCCCGAAGAATCATCTATCCAAACGTACTCAACACCCTCTCCTCCCTAACTCAGTCGACCACGATGAAACGTCCTTATTCTCACCCATAATTTCTCCAGTCCACAGTATAACCATCAATCAACAAAAACTCCCCAAAGTTTTTGCTGTCTCAACACCTCACCCAGAACCCATCTTACTGTAACATCCAAAGAATCCACAGACGCAGCTTTCACCCAGATCAACAATTCATCGGGCTGCGAAATGATCGGGATTGGGAGATTAGTGAGTTGATATTACAGTAGGATGGTCTGCAGGATTTCGATAGAGCGAGTGCTTGCAGCGTGCGGGGTATTGGGGTTGTCATGTTTGGTAATGTGAAGCCGTTCAAGAACTGCTCGCTTCTTCCAGACTCAATTTCTAGATTGTTGGAGAAAAGGTGGGAAGAGAAGGACACGCTACGTGCAGTCCACCTTCATATTTTCAATCCTTCTATAGCTGGTCCATTCATCAGCTATTTATTCCGCCGGCTTGTGTCCCTTCCAAAACTCTACGTGCGTATTTCCAAAGAATTGGTTCCTCTAACCATCAAGACACGACGCGATCCTTCTGGAGGGTGGACTGATAATAAAAGGCATATCAGCTATTCGGCAATGGAAATCTCCCCAGGACGCGCGTAAACTTATAGTGACGAGTTAATATGTAGTTTAGCCGCGATTACGGGGACTGTTTTTGGTTTGGAACTCTAATGAGCTTGTAATAAATGTATGTGCCTTTTGGAGAAAGAGACCGTACAGTATGTATGGAACAGGATACATGGATATATATGTGTTTGTAAGGCCATGAAATGGAGTAGAAATTCAAGGTATAGTCATCTTACAATGTTTTGATTTGCAGTAATTGATAAAAAACCACACGAGAGCCCGACTACGATAGTCCTTATATATCGACAAAGCTCAAGGTGAATAGGAAAAGTCATAGAATCTTCAATTGGCGTAATATAATTCAAGATACTTGATTACCCCATCTATCTAGACAAATAAAATCCAGCCAAAAGTCTTGAGTAAACCTAAAATGGTTCAGACCTATAGTACTTCCAACTGAGGCTAATAAAAAGAAACAAGCAATCCCTGGCATTTTTTGATCCATCGGGAGCCAATCGCATCAGCCCAACTCCTACTTCCACGAAGTCGATTTTTTGTATTTTTGTTGCAAATCGCACCACCAAATCTGATATCTGATATGCCTATTTCACAGCACTTCACACTGCCTATCGGACTTGTCATAATTTCAATCACATTTCAACATTCCTGCCTCCCTTGAATCCAACAGCTCGGCGGCTCTTCTCGGCACATAATTCGGGTCAAGGTATGTGGCTCAAACGGTGCAGATATTTGACGCCTCAAACCATTCGCTGCAATGTCTCGAAACCAATACGTTCTCACAGTGAAATATTTTTGAATGCTTCGTACTGTACAATAAAGTCTACGAAGTATGAGCCAAGGCCTCATCCACTAGTCACCTCTTTCAAGGACCCTCTACCCTCGCACTCTAATAGCATAGCTCCACCTTGTGGCCCACTGGCATCTAAACTAACAGTAGTCTTCACCGCATCACTGATAACCCTAATCATCTCTCCCGCATTCTGGTAATCCGCCTCACAAGTAATGGTTTGCTTGGGCCTGGGACTCTGCACATCACCCGACGTCCCATCAGGTCTGATGACCTTTGAAATTGGCGAGGGCTTAACATCTACATTTGGGAAAGGCAGTAGGCCCTCCTTCAAGGGGATAAGAACGATCGGGAAAGATAAACTTTGGCCTTTAGGCGAAGATTCCTGTTTGCCAGGGACGGTGAAATGACCTTTTCGTTTCCCACCGATAAGCCAGGCATCGAGGGACCCAGACACTTCGTAGTAGAAGACGAGGTCTTGTGTCTGTTCTGCTTCTGAATCGACATCAATGTCCCACTGACGGGTCCATTTGATGCCGAGTGATGCTGTGATGGGCTGGTTGGATACTGCAATAGCGGTATTCGAGTATATAGATGTTGAAGTTGCCAATTTGAGGTCAATCGTGTGGACCACGGTAACTGGAGGGACCTCAACGGGAATAACGATCGACCTGCTTGAAGAGACGGACTCTTCATTCATAGCTAAAGGGTTTAAAGGGATGGTCGGGTTTTCTTGCTGCCATGATTTCAGGCCATCGGACAGAAGTGTAGCAATATCTTGTTTGCCGTCAGCTGTGTAGCCTAAGCCTAAGAAGTAATCTCGCCAGGTGGCATTTGCAATGGGCGAGGTTGTGATTTCATTTAGAACAGCTATCCGTTCTAAATCGTAAGGAGATAGGCTTTTTTGAATTTCGTGTACGACCGTAGGTATGATCAAACGGGCATATGGGTATAACGCTGTGTCACTGAGGGCATTTTTGAGACTTGCCGTGATTGCACTCTCAATCTCTTCCTCAAGGCAGACGTAATGGAGCACCAAAGATAACGCCGACTTACGATCATTTCGTAGTCCTGTTTTTGGTGGAGGAAGCTTCGTGATTTTGTACAACATCGATGCTGGTTGGCGAGGAAAGATGGTAAGTGGTTGCGAAAATGGGAGTCCGCATTTGGCCTCGAAAACCTCAGACCCCTCTAGTTTCGAACTCAGCAGCCGCAGCGGACTGGAGGTTGCTGAAGATATGGTAAATTTTGAGAACAAGGCTTTGTGTTTGAAGACATCTTGAACGTTTACTCCGAGTGGAAGCAAAATTGACATTGTCGGTATGGCGGCAAAAAAGAATTTTCCTTTTTCAGTCGTGTAAGAAACTTCTATCTTCAACGACACGTCGCTTGAATCGTGTTCAAGATTGAATGGCATCCGAATTTTCGCTGTAGAATGAGGAGCCAGCGAACCGAATCGTATAACACCAGCCTCAAGTTTCCTTGAAAGCTCCATGGCACTACCAACAACCATAGCCTCGCTTGTTTGCACTCTCAAGCCAGCAGTTGCGGCTCGGATCTGAAGGCTTCCTTCTATCACATCATTCCAACCAGTTGAAAGGTCAAGTTCCAGTGAACGATTCCGGTCAAGGTGCATATATTTGGAGGCAAATAATTTAAGATCGAACGCCTCTGATCGATGGTAGAGAAGAATTTTTGGACACTTGAAGAAGCCGTCACCTTTACTCGGCGTTGAGCCGGTACGTTCGTACTCAAGAATCAGATTGTTAGTATGAAGACTGACATGACCAACTGTATAGGTTCCAGGGACGATGACCTGAAAGAGTTAGCAACGAGAAAAAAAAGCAGACGATATTCTTACTGTCGTTTCTACGTGTAGAGTTCCAAGGCCGTTTTTGAATACAATAGGACCCTTACTTTCAAGCCAAATCTCTCTGTGGGTATCCCCAAATGTAGCGTTGATTCTGACTTTTGCCTTTTCGATTGGAAGATCACCTTCGAGCAGATAACGAAGACGGAGCTGCAGAGTGAAGCTATCTCGGTCGGAATGATATTGAGGCGTACCGTCAACACCAACATGCCCAAAGAAATTCTGAAGCGGTATGGTGACTTCATGTTTGAAGCTCTTGGTGATCTCTAACAATTCTCCCAAGTATGATGCAGTCGAAACTATTTCATCGTCACTAAAAGGTTGATTATTTCCGATCTTCAAGCTCGATTTCCGAAGCTGCTTCGCCTTTTCAGCAATTGCAGACTTTGACAGAAGTTTCAACACAACCCGGACGTATTCCTCATTTCTTTGAAGCTCTTTCAGACAATTCGCATACAACACAAGCATAGATATTTCTACCTGAGACCACCCACCTTCTCCATATGATGGGGTCATTTGATAAAAATAGGAAGTGGCTGCGGCATAATCTTTGAGATGGTATTTGAAGATCGCCAAGTCGGCCATAGTCGACAAAACGGAATGTGTGTATCCGGCGACGGTATAGTGCCGCAGGGCCTTATCCGTCAAAGTTTCATACAGCCGATAGAAATCATCTTGGTTATCTATGGCGGTCCGTAGGAGCTTGCTGTGTATTCCATGAATGGTGGGCTGCAGTTTCTTGCCTATTGTGACTTGGTCAGATTTCTCGGAATCGTCGTCCCCAAGGTCAACGTCTTCCATTTCAGCCTTTCGATAAAGTTCTGAGATTGTATTCCAGCCCGTATCCCAGCCGTGGTCCTTTGCAACCTGCTCCAAGACATTCCGTGACAGCAGATATAGCTCTGCTCGATGACCCGCAAGTTCTTCTAACCCGGCCTTGATGAATGGCGATGCTGTAACAGCATGCTCGGGTACACTGGCACTTCGATTCCCGGAGGGTTCCCGTGAATTCGAGCGAACTGCGAGGGAGCTACTACGTGCTGGGTGCATCATAGTTTTTGGTTCAGGAATTGCTGCTTTGGGTTCCAACCCATCAGGGCCAGCCTTTGAACCGAGCGGAGCAAGAGTCGTTGGGGGAATGGGTAGCGCCTTTGTGGACGTTTGTGCTAGTATTTGCTGAGCGACTGAGAATGTGAATGAGGAGGCAATATTATCCACCACTTGAGCCATAATAGGATCAAATCTCGAAGTGTCGCCTTTCTTCTCATCCCCATTTGTGCTTGCTCCTTGCTCCACCTGAGAAGCCCATATATCGTCGCGCAATACGCGTGTAATGGATGCCACAAAATCAAGAGATCTACTGCAAACTTCAGCAAGTACATTGAGCTTTTCGGACTCATTTGAAAGCTGGGATACTGGGTATCGAGCAGCCACTCCTTGTAGGCTAGACTCTCGCTGCTCTTTAAGTTTAGCCAGCAATTCTTCCTGAGATGACCATGCGTTTGCGAGGCGGAGTAGAAGGGATAACTGGCGTGCAAAAATATAACAGCGAAAGTCAAATATTGAGATATTGTTGGAAAGAATAAGATGTCGATAACGCTTCTTGAATGCATTTACGGGTATTTCGTCGAATTCTCCATCTACAGGATCAGAGCTCGACTTCTGGAGATCGATGGTGTCTTCAGTATCCATATTCTCTTCACCCATATCTCTAAGTATAGCTGCTCTCGTTTTTTCTGCCTGCCGTTTGAGGTCTTCGGTAAAGGGCAAAAAAGAGCCACCGGGTTGGGGGGTCACGTCTGTTGTACTTTGTTCTCTGACAATGGCATCAAGACCGACAGCTAATTCATCATATCCCACCAATGCATCCTCTACGAGGCCGACACTTTCAAATCCTCTCGCTAAGCCTTCTTTGAGCACAAAGAAAGTACAGAAATTCCAGCCAGGCAGAGTCCTTTGCAAGTCCTTCTCACGAATATCTTCCTCATATTGTCCAACCCGCATGTCGAATGATGCCAAGATCAAGTACTTTAATTTCGCGATGAGATCTATCCAGGAGTTCTCATTTTCCTGCGCTGATTCGGTATATGAACCCGGAATAGCAGGGACCACACGCGGGAGCATATCATACGGTACATCATTGATCCCAATGCGGATTTGAGCAATCCGGTCAACAGCCGATTTGGAAGAGCCGTTGAAATCGGCTCTTAACTTTTCTAGAATTGTTGATGAACCGCCGCCTCTCCAACGAGCGGCTGCCTTTTCCGCAGCATTTCCAGAGTTTCCCTCCGCACTTTTCCCACTTGTCCTGGGTTGCGTGGCTGCAGCCGTGTTTGGAACAACCACATGTACGATGAGCCACTCGTAGGCATCGTGGTTCTCTTGCGTATTTTGTTTCGTGCTGCTTTGTGCAGGTGGTATATGCACCTTAATCCATTCCCGGACTTCTCGACGAGCCTGCGCTTTATATGTTTCGTTGTCATCACATCGTAAGAAGAAAATCTTCAGGTAGGGAGTCTGGCGTAAGCCTGGTATCTGGTGCCTTCGCTCCTTTGTAGCTGGCTTTGAGGGCGCCTCTTTTCCGGGCGGCAAATCCGATTTCTCTCCCACAACATGCCCCAGAATTTGTATTCGAAACCCATCCTCTCCACTTGCAGCTGAGTCTTCGCTCTTCACGCGAAATAGCGATAGATTGCTATCGGTGGTTGCTTCTGTAGCTGACGAGTTCGGGCGCAGGTCTTGCGTGGATGAGAAGAGGTCGATATGGAGGGACCCAATCGATCGTAACAGACCAGAATGGGACTCCCAATGAAGATTTCGGAGCGGTAGGCGGGGGAGCAAGCCGGGTGACAGTAGCTGGTATACTCCATGAGGATCAAAATACTCCACTTGTAATTGTTAGCATTGTAGGAGCCTTGTGTGAGATGATCTAAGTTTACCTGTAACCTTGGAGCTAGAAAATGGCTGCTCCATTGCTTTTGAATGGTCAATCCCAAGGTCCTCACATTACTATGTGGAAATCATACCGGTCAATTGTGCAATGCAAAGGGAACTGGACGCTCATGTTGTCTGCTTGCTCTACTTGCTCCGTTTGGGGAGCTCTGGTGGTAGTCGCGGCACTATGTCGGCTCCACTCCAAGGTCTTCTACTCCGTAACTACCTAGTCGTGCTAGTACAATACGGGCAGGGAAGAGGGGGCTCGGGACTCGTATACCAACGCCATTCAACATCACCACTAGAACATACACATGTATAGAAGATAGGGCTATTTCTTTATAGTGAGAAAGGGTCTTCAACACTTCATAAGAGCACTCTGTTCCTGTGTGATGCACCTCCGTTTCTGAGCTCAAGTCTTTTCATAGGCTATCGTTACATTTTCCCCAAGCTCGTCATTCAGGTTCCAATCCTTGAACCCTCATGTGTCTACATTCAGTCCAAATGGGTGGTATTGAATAGTCGGTTCCCGGTATCGGTAGTGCCTTTACCAGTGAATTTGTTCCTAGAGATTCTGAGCGTAGCAATACTTAGTCTCTGGTGTGCTCCCAGTTCTTTCCTGATGGAAGAAATTGCCTGTCTCTGGACAACACCCGCAACAAAGATGATGCGCATTTCGGGACACAGATCGCGGATATACTTTACAAACTGTACCAGGCTATTGCCGGTATTCACCACCGAGTCAACAAGTACGACTGTCTGCTGTCCCTTCAAGTGATGGGGTTTGAGGTCGGTAGGCTCTTTGGCACTGTAGAAAGAGTAAGCGGGATGCCAAAGCGAATTGGGAAGGGTATCATCTACTGGACCAGCATTGCTGATGGAAAGCAATCGTTGAGACCAAAAGCCATGGGCTCTCCACCCCGCATGAGCGGGACGATACACGTCTGCTGCTCGTTCAAAAGTCTATATCCTTCCACCTCCCCACCTTGGACGTGAGGAATTCCGTACTTTTCATGGTTAGCTCAAATTTACGCCCTTTGAGAGCTGGCATTACCTTCTCATGTCCAACCACTTCGCTTTTCATCAGATATCTCATCCCTAGATACATTCCTATACGGTGATGGGCTTCTCTCAGTGCGACACCAGCCACTGCGGCATTGCGTGTGGGTGTCATCAGCAGTTTGGCTGTGCCACTATCTGTTTCGTGTAAGACCCGGACAGCTGGGTGGCCAAGTATGGATTTGAAGAGTCCGTCTTGTGTGAGTTGGGCCAAGGGAAGCTTATTGATATCAAGCCGTGGTAGGGCATGGCTTGGTAACAAGACCTGTTGGGCTCGAAGGCTGTTGTTGTCTATTGACTTGGCCAACTCGAAATCCATGCTCTTGCTCCGGTGCTTCTCCTCGCCAACCACAACAATAGCTTCATCGGCCTGATGCAGCATTTTCAAATCGAGTGGACTATCTCCGAAAGCCCAAACACTCAATCCATGGGTTTTTTGCAAATCAGCCACCAGTTCGGCTTTCACATTAGCTGTAACAACCAAATCTTTGAGATGCTCCTGCCCCCTGGCACAATTCTCAAGCACACGTCCCCCGCCGATTACTCTCAAAGGATTCAACAGACCTGCGTTCTCTAGCACGTATTCCCAAACACGACATATTCCTGAGGTGATGACCACCGCGCCAATGCGATTGTTCCCCACGACCATTCTCAACAGAGTAAGAAACTCAGGGTGTATGCTAATTTTCGATGCAACCGCCCGACAAAGATCGTCGAAATCCTCCTCACTTGTGTACTCTTCGTACATCAAAGCGGCTTGTCGAAAAGCAGCATATGAGTAGCCCAAAGGACCACTAAACAGTCTTTTCAACGGGCAGGTTTTATTGACCGGTCGCAAACGCGTGGTTTCAGATAACATCTCCCAGAACATAGTGCCGGCATCATCTGGTGACAAAGTTCTATCAGCGTCGAGAGCTAGCATGGTTTCCACTTGTGGACCGGAGTTTGAAACTATCTCGATGAGTCTTACTTTTGCGATTTGCAAATTGAATGATTCCTCATGTCTGGCAAACTCATTCAGCAAATCCACGCCCTTTCGAAACATCTGGTCGTTCTCAGAATAACGTAAGGTAAAGAACAGTATTCCGTTCTCCCGGCAATCTTGTTCAAGTTGCATCTGCTCTGCTCGTTGCCACTTCTCTAAATGTTGGGCAGATACAACTGGCCGGTTTCTCTTGTCGTCCTCCCGGCGTCTTTTTTCGATTATTGTCGGGGGAACCTCAAGGTAAATTATGTGTGTGTATGTCTCCAAGTCCTGTTGAGTGCAGACTCGTTGTCCTTCTGAATCTTCCTGCTTATCCCAAAACAAATAATGACCAGCAACAACTCCACATGTGTTGCTCTTCGCCTCAGCACATCTCGTTCGGATATCTTCAATCGCACGCCCACGGAAGTTTTCCTTCTCCTTATCCGAGAGCTGCTCGAATGCTTCTAGTCCACCGGGGGTGACCTCTGAGATAACCGAGGAGCCGTCATAAAAGCTAAAGGTGACTTCCTTGCCAAGAGGCGGGAAGTTCTGAGAAGAAAGGTACGATTCAGCTCGCTTCATGAAGTGCGTCTTGCCACAACCGGACAATCCATACAAGCCAATCACCACTGGCTTTTCGCTGGACGCGGCCATAGATTCCTCCAGGGGGTATGGCTCCTTCGAAATAGCTACATTGACTGCGTCGTTCTCATCATTCGAAGACATCTTTGTAACGTCTTGGGGACCTGGGCTTGAATTGAAAGGAAGGTTTCTGGTTTCTTTTTGAGGAGAGCAAAGATTTTGTCAAAAAGATAAGAATCGTTGACACAATGATACCCCATAGTAGCGGCGGGGTCCCTATTTATCACAACCTTGGCTTTGTTTGTCCATAGAGGACTGTTTCGAGAAATGTCTGGTGACAATTTCTCTCTTCCATGCTTAGCTCATGTGGGAGCTCTACAAACCTAAGGGGTACTGTCAGATGGTGCCTTAAGTTTGTTAATATGTGCTCATGTCTATTCCGTGGATGTTACCTTAGGCTTGTACTCCATGCTCATGTCCGCTCCGTAGATGTTACACTTTTATTTGTTGTTTGATTTGTTGTTTGTAACAGTATAGATTTCGTTTCTTGTTTCTTCTGGAAAGACAAAAGAAGAAATTCTACACGATTCTAGTATTAACACCAGTATGCTTAAGAGATCTTTTACGACCATATACTAGCTACCATATGCCAGCCATGCCACCACCATATGCTAGCCAGCCATGCTACCACCATATGCCATGCCACCACCATATGCCATGCTACCACCATATGCCATGCCACCACCATATGCCATGCCACCACCATATGCCATGCTACCACCATATGCCCACCATATGCCATGCCACCACCATATGCCATGCTACCACCATATGCCATGCCACCACCATATGCCATGCCACCACCATATGCTAGCCAGCCATGCCACCACCATATGCCAGCCATGCTACTACTATATACTATGCTATACTACCATATGCCATGCTACTACTATATGATATGCTAGCCAGCCATGCCACTACCATATGCCAGCCATACTACTAGAATATACGGGTCGTTGTACGAGTAGTAGTCGGGTACGTCGAAGGGAGGGTATCCGAGCGCTTCGAGGGGAGGGTAGTCGAACAAATAGCTCGCTCATGTAATTTTCAAAGGGTTTTAGAGAGTATTCCACCACAAAATGACCACAATACTATCTCGAATAGGCACGCGCATATCCCATCATTAAACCCCCAATTTGACTACTCCGAACCTCGCATTCCTCATGCGTCATTCTTCATCTCCAGACTCTACGCCCTCACTTTGATCCTCCATATCGCCCTCAAACTCACTATCACCCTCCCCAGCATCCCAGATGGCAGTCTCTCTCACTCTTCCACTTCCCGATATATCCTCCCATTCCGTTGTGTCTTCCCCGTCAGCGATAAGTTCCAACGTCTTAGGGTCAAAATCGGTATATGAATATCCCTCATCATCATGAGAAATTCCGTGAGCCTCAAGAAGATCGTCAAATTTCCCGTCGGCAGAAATGCGGTGTCTTCGTAGTACGTTCTTCGTGCTTCTTGGCGTGATGTTGGCAATGGCGACAGAAGTCAGAGCGAGAGTTAGAAGTGTGGTGAGTTGGAATTTCATTGTTGCTGTTTGACTTTGCGGAAGAAAGATTTTTGTGGTGTAAGATATAGTTATATGACATAGTGAGTAAGGATGGATCCATTGCAGAGGATAGAGAGAACTTCTTATAGTCTCCAAGATTACATTCCACACGATTTCAGCCACATACCGCAAAACCGACATTCATTCTAGACCAGGTCAACTTCTTGCATTCCCTTTGCGTGAATTTTTGTGGTCTCTTTGGGTTTGACGAAAATCAGTGGTAGAATAGCTAGTGTAATATATACTCAGTCATGAGTATGTGCCTGTACAATGAACAATAATGTGATTATGGTTTGTTTCTGAAATTTGTCAATGCGATTTCAAGTGAATTTTTACTGGTTTGAACACTTTCTTTCCAGCTATCTGCAAGAACTGGTGCCAGTGAATACTCACTAGTTTTTCACTTTTGGTGTGATTCACTAGCATTTTCCTCAAAATTTTCTCTGCTCCAGCCTCCAATATCTGTTTCTCTTAACTACAGCCTTCATGCCTTGACATGTCACGGGTGCGCAACCACAACACATCGCTCTGTCTTCCAGCAAAATCCCAACAGTCATGGGAGTCATCTGGACCAAGTCTCTAAGACGATGGCATGCTATGCTAAATCTCCCACGGTACAATTCCTCCTGGTATCGCGACCGACTTGCGGAAGAGAGACGGGAATTGAAGAAAGCACGCACTATCGTGGAAAAAATCAGCGAGAAATCGGACGTCTTCTTTACGATCATTCGAGCCGAGTATGATGGTTTCCCTATTGGAAAACTGCCACCATTCGCCTATCGTCACCTACCTGTTTATGCCTACATGCTTGGGAAATACACATCACGTTAAACCTTCTACCGAACAACAGCCTACCTATGCAAAGCCCCTCGATATCATAAGTTGCGTGAAGTCGCCACACGTCATCAAATCGATGCTGCCAGATTCTTACGCGTGGGTCGTCGACTTAGGAGATTTTGGCCACTTCTTCCATGAGGAGAAGGTTCGGAGAAAAAAGTAAGATAAGAGCGAGAGTGGATTATGCGTGGACGTGTGGAGAAGATTTGCCTCTTTCTCACTCTTGTAGTGTGGGTAATTAAGAGGGTGGGTGGACAGTTAAGGCAGCCGCCCGTCACGCGGATCATATTTAAGAAAAGTCTAGATTCTGAGCTGTCCACCTCTTTATGGTCAAGCTTTCTCGCAAACTCAGCGTCCTCTAAGGAATAGAACTCAAATTGACACAAAATCTCCGGCCCACCAGACGCTCCACCTGAATATGTGGTCCCGTTACGTGCCTGCACACTTCACAAATGCTTAGCCAAGGTAACCTAGAGGATCGCTCCCGGGAAGCGGAAATTGTGCAAATAAGTCAAGTTTCTGCATGTTTTCTGCTATATCTGGAAATCCTGGTCTGGTAGCCTGGTAGCCTGGTGCTCAACACTCGTTCGACCACTCCAAAGGGCATTACCGTATTAATTGGTATATTAGGTATTATTCGAATAAGATAAATTGAGATAAGAGAGAAGGTTTTAGTTCAGAACACAAATCTTATCTCAAAAGTTTAATCGATAGAATCGCACCAAATTGCCCCTTATAATAGCCTTCGTTTGAGTATAAATTCAATTAAGTATAAAATCAATCAAGTATAAAATCAATTAAGTATAAAATCAATTAAGTATAAAATCAATCAAGTATAAAACCAATTAAGTATAAAATCAATCAAAATCAATAAAGATTAATTAAGACTCTACCTAGATACTATTATTTCTGATAGGCTAGCATGAACTCGTCCTTATTGTCGCTATTTAGTGTACCTTTAATATTTATACTTACTTCTATAAAACCACCCTTTATATTGTAGTGGATAAAAGGGGTAAGTGATAGGCGAGGGTGGTATACGAAAGTAGGAATAGTTACAGAATTGCGAATACCAGGACTCCAAAGAGCGAGATAATAAAGTATCTAGGTACCTGAAGAATCGAATTGCACCTACGTCAATTGATAGTTCAGGCTCCAACGAGGTAAAAGATATAATATGAACCTTGTACTTTATTCGCTACTAATTCTTCACTAACATCGGCCTGCCAAACCTCTCCTACAATTGTACTCGAGTAAAACTTATTATTTATACGCTAAAAAACTTTACCACTAACATTAAAAAACGGTTACCAAATCACTCTATTAGGTACTGCTTTTTAAATAAGATATGGTTATTTCCGTCATTTGACAGCCTTTTTGTTTATCATATGGTACCTTATATACCAATTAACACGGTATCTCCAATATAAGCAGATAGGCAGTCAAATACTTTTGTGTTCAAACTTAAACTTGGCATCAACAAATTCTTGGAGAAACACGGCAAAACTTTGTAAGGCAGTTGAGCACGGCCAAGGGGTCCACCATTTTCTAATGAGAACTGTCTGATTAAGCATGCCAAGTTTCCCTCCGCAGATCTCGTTCTTTTCAAAATTCAAAATTCGCCTTCAGGGTGTAGATGCCTTACTTTTGGCCTGATCTATACCCAAACCCCTGGTGCTATCCTTGCTGCACGTTTTTAAGCCCCCCAAAAGTCGGAGTACGTTCAGAATGGGACTGAAAGTGGACTCTAGGGAAGTTCAGCTTCAAGTTTGGGCCTTTCTGTGGCACTTGCGGCATTGACTCTTTCGGAAATCATCTCTAGGACACCCACTTTGGAGACAAGTTTTGACGGTATTGTACGAGTACGTACCACCTATTGGCCTCACGGTAACACGATAAACAAATCTATAATTGTCCTTTCAGGGGTTTGACACGTGCGCGACACCATCCGGGTTCCATTACGTATGAGTTCTTGGTTTGATCTTTGTAGGTAAGCATCAGCCCTTTCTAGAAGTACAGTCAGCACCACGAATATGATGTAACTTATAACTTTATGATATAACTTGTAACCTTATGTTAACTCCGTATGAACTACTTGGAGATTGAGACAGCCTTCAGATACTTGTCCACCCCGGACAACCGCCCACCCTAGCTACCCGCCCAAACAAACTACAGTAATTAATTAATAGAAAAACAACCACATAATATAAATCCTTCGAAATAACACTAAAATAAAGGTTAGAGCAGTACTAATCTCTTTTACTCCTAGAAATCTTAAATTTCTAGACAATCTTTATATAAGGGTGAATATTAAAACTTAGTAAGTCTTAATATTACTAAAAACAAAAAATAATAAATAGAGAATGTAGAGGAGTAAATAAGCTACAATTTGAGCTATTAAACTATATGATTTTTAGTGTTGGTGGTTGTTCTAATTTTCTAATTTTCAATGGCCAAGTAGTAGTGGGCGGTTGAGCAGGGTGGGCGGTTGTCCGGGGTAGACAAGTACTCTGACAGTCTTCGGATATTCTGATCAGAAGCTCAACCTGTCTAGCAAGTTTGTGGTTACCGCGTGGGAGTTTTCATGCGGATTGATAGACGGTCCATACCATCAGGAGAACACAATTTCGTTCCATTGGGATTATGTCAAGAGGCCCTTTCTTTACTTTCCGGGTTCTTAAAAACTGCTTCCGACTTCTGCTGTAGAATCTCTCCAATGATGATTGTTCTCTCATCTTTTACGTGTGATGTTGTGCATTGTTACTGTAGCAAAGGTTGGGGCGCCCTACCGCTGTCTTGGCATCAAACCCCCAAACCAAGGGCAATTGAGAAAAACCGATTCTATTTGGTGGTGTGAAAGCCATGTGGGATCTGTCACGATTGACGCCTTCCCGCCGTAACTCAAGACTCGTTTAATTCAAAAGCTTCGGTAAGGTGTGGATCACCCGTAACTTACTCGTATTGAAAACCCCACAATGAAGTCCAATTGAAGAAGGTATTTCGGAAACGCCGAAACGATTCTTGATCTTGATCTCCAACCTGACCATGAGTGGAAATCAGTATTAGTAGAGAGCTTCTTGCCATGAAATATTTTCTCCCTCATCATCATTGATCTCACACTCTCTTCTGCAGTTTATTTCTGCTTTTGGCCTCCTCACCATATTCATTCATTAAGTCCATTCACGAACTGTCACATACCTTCTTTTAAGAAACTTAATACATATTTCGCCGGTACGATGTCTCCAATCAGTACCATGGCCATCATTTTGGCTGCGGGCTTTTCCTCTGTAGCCTCTGGGGCTCCAACGACTATTCTCACTGAATTTGATCACGGCTCAGATCCTTTCTTCACCTCAAACACGTTGGACCGCCACGAGAGTATTGCACATCCACAAGTGATACTCGCGCCCGTCCGCTCCACTGGGTCACGCTTGATACCAGCAAACCACCTCACAAAGCGTCAAGCTTCTATTGTTCCTCGAGCCGATCGAATGAACCCGCTTATTCCACAAACAAACATTACTCTCGATTACCAATCACCCCATGACGACGGCGAAGTAGTGATCCTCTCTCAAGTCAACGCGATTATGAAATACCCTTCCGTTCTATTAGAAGAATGCCCTGTCACCAGAGTGGATTGCAGCGAACACAGTGTTAACATCACATTCGACAACGTTGACCGTTACAGAAGCGCTACAGACGCTTGGCCTAAATCTGACTTCATATTGTTCACGAATCATCTGGGAGACTGCGATGTTGACAACGAGCGTGGTCTTTACATGGTTAATGAGATAACGTTTGATGACGAGACAAGCTCCGTCATCGCTGCAACAACCAACTATGCCCTCAAAGACAGTACCAAAGAAATAGAGGTTGTTATCGCTAAAGCAACTGCTGCTACTCGCAAGCGTGCTACAATCAGTAAGGAGTTCGACATGGACTTCCCAGACGCTATCACTCTTGGCAAAAACGACACGAATTCCGATTCCTCGATTCCTTATATCTCGGTTACTGATCCAGAATTTGGTGGATCTATTGCTCTCAGCGGACATGTGAAGTACAACATGTTCAATAGCAAAGCCAGCGTCTTTACATTTGACTTGGATCTGACCCTGGCATCTTCAGCAAATTTCGAATTCATTGCTGGATCCAAGACGGGAAGTCAAAGCTACAATTTCGACCCCCACAGTATCTCTGTTGCGGCTTTCCAGATCCCAGGCATAATGCAAGTCGGTCCACGTATGCAGTTTGGTATTGGTGCTGATGTAGGCGCGTCTGGCCAAGTCATCGTGAAAGCAGAACTCGCTTCCAGGCTTGACGATGGGAACGTCCATATCGATTTCCTCAACCCCAACAATACTGCTGCAACCGGATGGGTTCCCACATATACTCACCACGCCAACGTATCAAATGGAGTTGATACACATGTCAACCCTCGCCTGGAATTCGGCGCGTCGATTGGTGCCAAATTTCTAGATGTCATCGACATTTTTGGAGGCATCAAAGCCAAAGCAAGTCTTACCAATGAATTCAGTCTCAAAGGGTTTACTCTCGTTACTGGTAGTAACTACAACACCACCACTCACGACAACTGGAATACTACTGCCCCAATATCCAATGATGGAACTTGTTTGAATGGCCTTCGTTATACCAGTGCTTTCAAACTTGGTATCTATACTTCGGTTACCACATTCCACGACAGAGAGATACTCAGTTTCAATAGGCCCTTTGGCGATAAATGCTGGTCTTGGGCTGAATCTTTGTAAGTTATTGAAGCGTTGCGAAGCTGTGCTTTTCTTTATGCTTTTTTTTTCATGGATAATGACTTGGGGGAATATGACGGGTTTAGAGGAAGCGGATAAACGAGCACGGCAACTTAATTGTAGTTCTAATTTCTTTTGTCAGTTATTAATTAGACAATAACTTCAACATCACTTCGTTCCCTAATCATATTGTGAGCATTTGCTATGTGGTGGAGACCTGGAGTATTCTGCTGGTGCTTCATTCTAAAGAAGTAGAACGATGTGAGGGTCAAGTTACTACTACTTTTAACATGAATTAGTATGAACCCGCCAAGGTCGCTCGCTTATTTAAAATCACTTCCCGCTTCCCAAGCCAAGCATATCGGAAGCCTACAAACACTGTAGAAATTTTTGTTTCTATGCAGACTTTAATTGCTCAGAATACTATTATACCATGAATTCCACGACTATAGTCTCCCAGAGCCCTTTGTTCAAATTTGAGAGCCATTGGGACAGACTTATTTCAATTTTCAACAGGATCAGAAATGTGGCTGGCTTCGCTCAACGGCTAGCGATTGTTACAACGGTAATCATATTAGTTAAAGGCTCAACAATGGGGCTCATTTTTAATCGTCATCGCCATTGGCAATGAAAGTTTAGTGTATCAATTTTCCTTTCTCTCAACGCTCATTTCCCTTCCCCAAAGGCGGTGAGGTTCTTGGAGGAAAACTACTTCGAGCCAACAAACTAACTCCTTTCACTTTATATTCTTGGAACAACACCCAAAGTAAATCAGAGGTTGTTGAAAAAGTCCTGCCTCAAAGTTCCCAAACATACTGTACCCGCTCGCTCGAGACTATCCTCCCTCATGATATCATCTATACCTTCACAAACTCCCACAGAGACCCCCCCTCACGAATGATCCCATCAATCCCAGAACGCGATCTGATCATTTCAGTCTCAACCAAGGTGTTTGAGCCTTTTGCGGTATCCATCTTTCTCAGCTTCCATCCATGCACCGTCAACAAAAGGTAACCACCCTCAGGACATTTTCTCATGCCTAAATACTCCCACGCCGCATGACGAAGAGCTGTTGCCCGGAATGTTCCTGCACCGTCGTGTCCTAAATACGTCCCTGATACAGTGTTTCGAAAGCCCAACCAGCCGTCCTTCTCGACGCATTCCCACTTCCAACCCCCGGCGTGTACTGGTTGATCCTTCAGTTCGAGACAGCCATGTGCGAGTGTGAGGACACGACGTTCAAGGCAGGAGCGAATGACGTATGCTGACCCTGGCCAAGGGATATCGTGGGAGTGTGAGATGTGTGGGTATCCCGATATCTCTTCATAACTTTCACTGAAAGTTGATTGAGTAGGAGTGTTCGCTCCCGCGGTCGAAGAGGCGCTGGACATTGAAGCTTCGACGACGTCGTTCTTAGGTTCTCCGGTTCTCCCGTCTGCCATGATGATACGACGTGACAGTTTTCCCATGGAGAAAAGTTGCGATTGTGGTAATGCTTTAGATGGACTTTTAGAAACGCTTGAATCCTGGGTGACTGGAACAAGCGATGTTTGTAATAAAGAAGGCCAACGAGTATCAGCTTTCTGAAATTTGTTTGCTACCTACATATCTTCGGTTCGGGTCGCTAAGCGCCGTCGACCGTTTGCAATACGAGCCGGGAGCAGACATACTAGGCATGGGGGCTCAAACCCCCCGAAAAGAGGAAAAACGAATGTGAAGTAACAGACAGGTTGCATTCTACTCGAGTAGCCTAAGAATTTATCATTGTGCAGAATAGCTACAGACGATAGTATGAAGCAAGTCTTACGCAGATGACTAGATTACTCTCTTTGCACAACAGCTACTCGATCCACCACCCATTTCTTCTTTCTCCTTCCAAACAATGACATTCAAGCCTTCACAAACTCCCAGACTCCATCACCCCATCCATCCGCGTTGTCTAAAAACGGTGGAGACCCCGAAGAATTTCCATCAAAAGGCTTCTCTACAAGCCGGTCCCCAGTTGGTCCTTCACACATCTTCCAAAATGTGTCTCCGTGTAGCATCAATATCAAGTATCCACCGTCGGGGTATGGCCTTACACAAAAATGCTCCCAAGCATGATGATGACGCATCTCGGCGCGAAAGTTTTGGCTACTATCGTGCCCTATGTAAGTTCCTGAGACGATGTTCCGAAAGCCCAGCCAGCCTTTCTTTTCTACGCATGCCCATTTCCAGCCTCCTGCATCGCCAGCCTGATTTTCGAGTACAAGTGAACCCTCCTTTAAGGTGATGACTTGGTGGGTGTTGTAGGATCGGATGAGATATGTGGAGCCTGGCCAGGGTGCACTATTGCGAATTGCCATGCTTTTGAGGTGTTCGTTGAGATCAGTAATGATTGTACTCGTTGGGGTGTTCGCTCCAGAGGAGGAGGTACGTAGAAGAACATCTATATCGTCGGCTTCGGAGGCTTTGGTATCCATGTAGTGTTGATAATAACTCTTATTTTGAAGGGAGGTTGGAATTGTGTCTTTCAAATGCGGATGTTAGATCTCCACAAATAAACTGGAGCTTGGGTCGCCATGGTGGTCGCTAAGCGCCGACAACCCATTTGGAAAAAGATGGATACATAAAGACTGACTGGCTAAGAAGTGGGATGGGAAGCGAACTACAAAATCTTCAAAATCTATACATGGAAACAACAACCTCTACCCTCTTTCTGTTACCTCTGGCTATGGCAAGTAGAAGCAGAAAGACTAGACATCTGAAGAGAAACTACCTGTGTCTGAAACCTGTCATTAGGTATCTTAACCTCCAAGGAATTACCTAGAATGCCACGAGTCACGTGTTCATTGGGTATAAAATAATTAAGTAATTCTTGGTTTAGGCTGATATCACTCCCCGGCCTAGCCTACTTATTACTAAATATATAAACTATTTATTTGGATTAATAAATATATAGGAAAGCTTTACTCGGTATATAGTAATAGTTATATAATTCGACTTTGAAGTTAATACTTAAAACCTAAGAATATTATCATTTTTAAAGAAATTACTGTTATTCCTTAGACCCTAAAATAAAGGCTAGAGGTAGTGGCGGGCCGGGGTTATCGGCCAGAACCCTAGTGGCGAAGTCACTATAAGATAAAAAAAATCGACAAATTCTCAAATTGCCTGTAATAATTATATTGAATTCAGCTATGAAAACGGTCAAAGGGCGAACCACCAAACTTTTCATCCCAAAAATAATCGAAGAATACTTTGTTACTTGGTTCCCACGCTTTTGCGTCAGGAATACAAGGCAGATCATACTGGTCGATTCCATCCCACCCTGATACCTTATCTTCCTGTGTCCAATTTTGCCACAGGAATTCCAAGGCAGGTCGGTAGCCTTGTTACACGAACGCGTAATCTACCATATCGACGAATTTTGCTCGGAAAAACCTCTGCCATTTGATCCGGTCTGGTGAGTCTGATGCAAATCTCCGACAATTAGTTCTACGTTCGCTTGTTTTTGGGGGTTACAATTGGTAAGCCCTAACTTACATCATACCAAAGTCGACTACATGTGCCTCCTTACAACGTAGTAGCTTCAGGAAGTAGACTGGGTAATTATCAAAAATTGCGCCGTAAATTGACTGACGCTCGTTCCTTTTACAGCATGTAAGGAATCCCGTCCCGATCTTTTCGTCTAGCTTTAATATCAATCTCCCAATAAAATGCTCCAGAAAATTGCACGACTCCTCTTGTGCTCTCTGAGCATTCTCCAAATAAGCCTCTTCAATGGGGTTGGACCCCCTTATACCTCTGGGTTCTTGGAACCTCTGTTCCAGTATGAGTTTACATGCTTGTTGGTCAACATAGTTGTACCGACAGGTAAAGAGTTCACTGAAGCCGGCCTTGACACCGAGGTCGCGAGCGGTTTTCATTGGTAGAGGTAGGTTCATACGGCTCCCTTTAGCATCGAGAGCAGCTTGAATTACCTGCGTATATCAGTCATGGAGCGTGCAGATGATAACTTGGAAATACCTCAGCATCTCTGAGTATGTTGAACCCTCCTGATATAATCACCTCGAGGAAGATCTCGACCCGAGTGTCATGAGTAAACGAGTTCCAGCTGGGGATTCTTGTGTGAGACATAACGGTGGGTTGACAAGACTTAGAAAAGTAGGAAACTGGTCGAGTGATCTGCGGACGTCGATGGCACGCTACTTCATCAGTTGAAGCAAGTTGCAAAGCCAAATGGTAAGATTACTGGCAAGAGTAGCCAAAAGAATATTGGCAGTAGATAACAGAGAAACACTTCTCAGAGGCACTGACGGATGAGTCGGCAATCGAATAAAGGGTTTGTTGAGAGACAAAAGCAATCGGCTATTGGGGTATTCGAGTAAACGAGCTTCAAGATAACGGAATGAATCAGGGCTGTTGTGGTGGACTTTCAAGACTCTTGCCACAGCACAGCCTCAAATCCTGTGTGACTATCTAAATTCACTCTCGCCGTCTAGTCCCATGTTTGACTTCTAAGGCGGATTTTGCACCCTGCAATTGGAACGAGTCTTGTAAGCCATAGACTGGTGAATGAAAAATGAATCCAAGGTGAATCTAGCGACCAGTAGAAGTGCAGATTTACCGAGTATTGATCTGATTTTCAAGTAAGCGAATTGCGTGAATTTTAGGGTCACCTCAAAGGCTCTTTTCTATATCACTTGATACTTCTCTATTCAAAATCAAAACCAGTTCTCCTGGATGGTCAATAGTTATATATGTATGGAAAGGGCCCAAGCGGAAAATGTGTAAAGAGATAAAAGGATATGAAAACTGCTTCTGATAAACTTAGACAGGACTAGAATCTCATCTTGTGCCTCACATTGAAGATTTTAGTCACCCTAAAAAACAGCACAGCTGGTTGATTCTCATCATATTTCTCACCTCATACTTCATCATGAGTCAAAGTTGCTTCACAATCAATACCGTGAAGCTTCCCAATTGAGCAGAGGAAAGCTAGGCTTGGTCTTGTCGAGTCAGTATTAGAACGTTGCGAAAGGGCTAAATGATAGATGGACAAAGCAGGGCTAGATTGTAGACTTTGCCTTTTACTACAGCACAGCAATCACGCTGCAAATGTTGTCAAAGCCTAGGTTCTGGTGGGGCTATCATAATCCACTCCTCCCTTTTCCTATTTTACGCGGGGCACAGCCAATGACAGAATGCATCGGATATTCCTTAAATCAAACATACCATGCTATGGGGGCACTAAATATTCACTCGTGAGGTACTGATTTGTTGTGGAACGAATCATACAATTTTCTGATTCTTATCGTTACCATTGGGCGGGTCATGCTTCTAGGCACACAAATTAAATGATGAAGGTGATAAACTTGGTTCTCTGCGCCATACCCTTTCCCCAATCTTTCTTCGATATTAAATCTTGATATTCTACATTGTATTTAGCCAGAAACCAATTCTTCGATATTGCCTGTACCAAGAATCCCATATATCAAAATCAACTGCCCGGCAGTGGTATAAATGCTCTGTTGTAGGCAGGGAGCTCTTCCTCGGGTTTAGCTGTAGGGAAATCGTACCCGCAATTACTCATCATGGCTTCGAATCGTTCAGCATTGAAAAAGATCCAACTAGTATTTTCAATGCGATTATGATGTGATTGAGCCGATTGTTCATGTTGGCTCGATGTTGGCTCGCACTAAACACATTCATGGTTGTCGCTTGGTGTCCGGGATAATTTGAAACGTTCTTCGAATCAATATCAATATCTAGTGCCCGAAGCATAATGCGTCGAAGGCATCGCGGGGATCGAGTAGTCTGCACTGCGTGTGCTGATAATGACGCTTCTTTGATATTCGAAGTCCTAGGCTAGGTATCAAGAATAATCTCCTCCCCGCGCCCATAATCTTGATCAAATGATCCTGCGCTCAGTCTGGGGTATATATAGACTGCTCACAATATTGAGCCTTGCATGTTTCTGGTACTTGTCGTCATGGCATCGACTTCGCGATCCTTATTCACACATACAGCGAGAAGAAATAATTTACCGAAACATGACTTGAACTCATAACCCAGTCTCCATACTGCCGCAAAAGCCATAACGCGCGGTGACACTCATTGCACACAACAATTGGACAGCCAGGACACTTGGCGGGACCACATTCGGGTATGAAGTGAAAATCGATCTTATCACATCTTGAACAACGATGATCATATTCCACCAGAACACGTTCCCATTCCCCGGAACAATGCCACGGCCCTTCTTCGATTTCTAGTGATGGATAATACTTCACTGAATAGTTGATCCGGGACAAGGATGTCCAACGATTTATGGCTTGAGCTCTCCTATCAAGGTCGATGAGAAGTGGTGTGTCCAGATCTCTTGGTCCAAGGATTTCCAAAGCCTCCCGAATTTGGATTTCTCGATTGCAGTTTTCCTCTTCCTCGTAGCGTTGTTGATTGCATTCCAACCTGAGGAGAATATTTTCGTATCTCTCTTGAGATTGGGAAAGTGCTTGAGCCAACTTGTCGATATATGTTGTCCTGGCCGCCAGCAAGCTAGAAAGTGTCCTAGCAGTATCTTCAAGATATTTGCCAGCCTTCTGAGAGAGCTCGATAGCCTCTCGAAACTGTTGGAGAACCTCAAATTGAGTCATTTTGTTCAAGTTATCAAGCTGCCTCTCCTGAACCGAGACCGAATGCTGACATTCTAAAGCAAGAGGTATCCATCTTTCACGAAATGCTTTCCATGATTGGAGACGCAAAGAGTACTTGTTCTGTACTTTAGCCTTCCAGACGCTAGCTTTTTCATGGCGATAGCTGACTTGAAATGAGCGGTGTTGTTGACTTGTCGACGATCCACCCGGAGAATTGCCATTCTCACCCCACCTGCCCGTTGCAGCGCGAAAATCGTTCTCCCTAGCCCATCTCCCTTGTTCAAACCCATCTGAATATTCCCTCTCTCGTTTTGCAACTCTCATATACTCCCTATCATACTCGGCTCGTCTCTCGCTATCTTGTAAGGTTTCCCAAGCCCTGAGTATTTGCTGAAAGGTCGAGGTTGCGTTTTCGTCCTTATTCTTGTCCGGGTGAAAACGTAAGGCCAATCTTCTGTATGAGTCTCGAATCTCTGATATGGTTGAAAATTGAGAGACACCCAGAATGGAGTAAAAGTCTTCCATGATGCTACCGCCGGTGCCGAGGTATGGTCTGAACAATCATGACTCTTGTGACTGGAATGTTGGAAGACTTTCGAGGAGCAACATTTGAAAGATGTGTTTGCGGGATGTTGTAGTAGGCTCTCCTTGTGAGAATACTTTCGAGTAACACAATCTATCGCTTCAGGGTTGGTGGTGGTGGTGACTGATAATATAAGGCTGCGATATAATTGTTTGTCTGCATGCCAAGCCAGTGGTGGATCCTTCACAGCTTTCTACTCCGAGGTTCAAGATGCAGTTGTTGGGATTGGTCGATGTGTGAACACTATTTGGGAGGTAAGCAATGTAATTGGATGAACCAACCCATTCAAACCAGATATCAACAATGGAGACCTGAGGTGTTGAATGGGTCGAGATAGAGTCAGCAGCTTTTGGTCCTGCCGAGGTTCCATTCATTGAGGGGGAGTCCCAAACCACCTCTAAAATAGCGTGCACGCCATCGATCGCACATTAGCTCGACTTTTACGTATATTTGTATCCCTGGAGTGATAAGGTGTCTGCTAATGTACGAAGAGCAGAAAACATAAATTCTGGCAGAAACTGCGAGTATCTATAGAACAGCAAATCGTGTCGTAATGCAGGGGTAAATGTAGCAATTTGGATCCATGTTATTCAAGTGATCAAACCTTGGATCCTAAACAGAGTAAAATCCTGTGCCATTCTTGGGTGAGAACAAGAACGGAGTACTCATTTGAAGAGTAGGGATTCCTCGTTGATGCCAGCAAACGAAGGGGTTGTCGTTCAGCTCCCCTATACGGGAGATACATCATTTCTCGTTTGTGTGCCTGACGCGAGCGTTGTATGGCCCCAGGGATCATCTCAATTTGATTGGCATAAAGCCAGGTTCTCGGGTAGGGTCTGATATCGAGATGGAACCCTGACAAGCATATCAGCATATTTCTTTTGAAAATTGGTGCTAGGCCGTCCACGTATAACCTGAGGACTCATGGTGCCATTGCCTGAAGCCGAATCTGCCAGTCATTCCAAAGCTTCATGGGATCTAATTATGAGAGATTCTGATAATTTGCTGTCAAAATGAATTGAGGTGTTTCATTTATCTGTGAATAGCTGACCGTAAAGATAAAATAATAATTGAGCGAGGAAGATAAAGGGAAGGGAGAGAGATTCTGATACTGTAGCCTTTCGTGCCGCATGTGTCTGCAGTAAACAATGCTTGATGGAAGGTAGAAAACGTATAAATAACCACATCAACATCGGTTATAGAAAGGGAAACGAGGCTTATTTTGAAATTTATCCTTCCAACCATCATACGATAGTATTCGCCACTGACGGGGTTTTCCGTAAATTGACCAGTTTTGGAAGTCAATGGAAGATAAGACGCGTTCAATCGTCGATTTAAAACAATAAACGTTTATTGGGAAAACGCAAAAAAAGGTCCATGGAGAATGCAAAGAATTAAATAGATATAACCAATTCGCGATTGGTAGTGGGGAGGAATGAACGACTGGGTCGAAGATTCTTGTTCTCTAATGCAACAGGACACGAAAGACCGGGCTAACGTCTGATCATTGAAAAGAACATTAAGTCCACCCAGAGCTTTCAATCAACAAATTTGATGGTATTTTCAAGGATTGAAGTCGTCAAAAATGCGGTCACAACAGATCTTTGTGCCCCCCGAAATGCGCTAGTCCCAAGATGTTCTGACCAATCAAAATACCAGACTCGCTTATCCCCGTCGGTGGCTCTAAAACTCTCTCCTCAATATCGAGGACCAACCTTGGAGTTGACCTCAACTAACCTTTTGCTAATTTCGTGGGCGTTGCTTTACACTTGAGTTTTCTTCTTCCTTGGTTCGACGTTACTTTCCAAATCTTTACAACATATATTCTCTTCCTTCCCCCCTTACTCCGTTGCTATAGAATTCGTATACGTCATGACCACTCGAATTCTGATCTTGGGAGCCACAGGTTATATGTAAACTTTCTCTCATCCCAATTTCTTCCTTCTATGGAGACTGCTAAATTCGTCATCTAGTGGCGGCTCGATTCTTACAGAATTGATAGGACAGAATACAGGTGGAAAGAAATACATACTCTCAGCCCTTGTCCGCAAGCCTGAGCAAGCATCAATTCTTCAAAAATCAGGTGTCAACGCGTCAGTTTTTCGAGATCTCGATGATGTTGAGTCGATCCGTAAAGCTGCGGGAGAAAATGACCGTAAGATCTGGCGTTCGTATGATTGAGAACATCTTGCTCATCCTTACAGTTATCATAGCAGCCGCAGATGCAAGGCATACAGAAAGTGCGAAAGCTTGTATCACTGGCCTCGCCGATCGTTCCAGGAGCACTGGACAGAAGACTAATTATATTCATGTATGGCACTCTCTCACGTTCCTTTCTCGAGATACAAATAATAACTTGATATGAAAAGACTGCTGGAACGAGCATGGTAGCGGATTGGCCCGTATTGGGGGAGCGTATCGATACATCTATTCATTCGGATGTCGACGAGGATATATTTCAATCCGAAAAAGACAACCCAGAACCGTGGAGTGATGTAAGAAAGGTCAACCAGGTTGTGGTCAAGCTAGGTGAAGATTTTGGAGTCGATATTTACATAGTTGCACCCCCTATGATATGTATGCTTGATTGTCATGTGCTCTGGGTCTCTCAAATTCTTGCTGATTGAACATAGTTGGTTTCGGGACTGGCCTATTTACTACTGGGTTTGGCCAAATTCATATGCTTGCAGAATTGTCCCTGGAACACAAGCAAGCAGTAATTCTCGGAAACGGCTCTGGTGTCAGTAGTTCTGCTTCAAAGTACCACTTGTTAATGATGCTTACCATTTATATAGATATGGAGTGTCATCCACATCAAGGATCTCAGCAAGATGTACTACCTTCTAGTTCAAGCTGTTATTGAAGGAAATTCGGAGCTTCTTAAAGGCAAGGAAGGCTACTATTTTGCTGAGAATGGATCCCACAGTTGGAAGAGCATTGCTGAAGAAATTGGCAAGTTCGGGAATGAAAAGGGGGTCTTCAAAACAGACAAAGTTATTACTATACACATGCATGAGGTTGCGGATAAATACTTTAATCGGGATATACGACACGCTGAATCGGTACTTGGATCAAAGTTTGTTATCTCATCGATTAAGGATTTCATCATCCGTTGCTAATACGGTTAATAGTTCAAGAACGAAAGCAGATCTTGCTCGTAAGGTTTTAGGATGGGAACCTAAGTATGGCGACGACGTCTTTTTCCAGAAAGTTCGAGATGATATTGCTACGATGATTAAGAACCGCTCTTAATTACAGTGAGTACCTTATTAAATAGAAACATGATCGAAATTGCTACTTCTTGGTACACCAATGCATTGAAATTGATCGCCCCTGAATTTAACCCAATAGACTGGTAGACTGACATTCTAAGCGCAATGTGTTATTTATTAGTAGGTTCTTGTCATGCTACTGCGACAAAGGTTCCACGCGCAAGTCGCCTCGCTAATGAACAATTTAATTCTTCAAATAAGCTACATCGCTTAATAATTTTGAACCACAACAGATTTAAATTGAAAAGGCTAATTTCTTAAAAAATAGGCTTCATTTTATCGTAGTATCAGCTATAATACAGAGAGCGTTGTCCAAGAATTCAAATACAACCTTCGTCCACCATTACATCCTCGCTTAGCACAACTCGATCACCCCTTCAATATATAATTCATTCATCAAACCATCCCTTCCCAGGTTACAAACCAAAAACAAGCATTCCAATACCACCCAGAACCACAAGTCCCAACTCCGATCCCATCTTTTGTGCGGCACCAGTAATTTGGATGGGAATGATCGTCGTCGTTATATCAGGTGGAACGACAGCGGAAGGTGTAGTGGAGTGGGTACTGAGAGGCTTCGTAGCAGCCGAGCTCGATGATTTTGATGAGGTGGAGGAATATGTAGAAGCGCTTGTAGACTTTGAAGTAGCAGGGCTCGTAGTAGGGACAGAAGTAGTAGGTTGAGAGCTACTAGCCGACGTGGCATCAGGCGCAGGCGGAGGGATAACGCTCAAAGTAGTAGTAGCACCACACTGCGCAAGAGTTTTACCAACGGGACAGCATCCCCCATCGGTGCAGTAATAGTTCTTCGGGCAGTATTCTGCAAGAAGTGTTAGTTCTCGGGGGCTTGTTGATTTGGGAGATGGATATGGATATGGCACATACTTCCGTTTGAGCAGCAAGACTCTCCTGCGCTGGGGTTATAGCAGGTGGGGAACCTGATGCATTGGATGTTTCCTACGCCGCAGGACTTCTCGCAGGTTGCTGGTGCGGGGACGGGCTTGCAGAGTGTGACTTGACGGGGGAAGACTCCTTCGATTGCGCTCATGGAAAGGCGTTGTCCGGTGGTCAAGGCAGTAGCTGTGACTGCTGAGACGGTGGAAGCGAGAACCAGGGTGGAGAAGAATTGCATTTTGACTCAGTGTGATGTGATTAAGCGAGTGTTTCTAGAGAGTGTTTTGATACTGCAAAAAGGAGTGAACGGAAAAGGAATAATCAGGAGGTTGTATAGACAGCTAGTTCAGCGGTCTACCCGCGCATATTTCCCATGTTTAGGTTCTGGGGTCGAGAACGGTTCAAAGGTCTCGCAGCCTGGCAGCTGTGGTAAAATTACCATACTTCAGAACCACTGAATCAATAGTACTTAAGCCTCAATCAGGGGATATGACAGCCAAAAACAAGGGACCTCAAGCCACAGACAGTTATCTGGAGGCGAAGCCTTAAAAGCATCCCGGGATCTTGGAAGAGCTGAAAGGTTCTCGACCTCGCGGCTCGCTAAAGTGCATTTTCAAAGACGCAACAACACTGAACTGTTCAACTAGTGCGATCCCACAACTAACCCGCTGATAAGATTCGCGAATATGCATTCAATTCAATCGAACTCTCCAGCTTCTTACCCCTTTCTTTTCGAGACAACTCTCCACCTGCAACTCAACAAACTACCTCCTTTCAGCTCCTTCCCAGAATCCGAAACTGTGTTAGAAGAAAATGGTACTTACCGACTCCGCCCCCACAAACATCCATCCTCAAAATACCTCAACAGGCTAGAAATGAAAGGATCACCCAAAAGCAAAGACTCATCCCATCCCGTCAATAACTCAGCTCGCCAAGCTCTAATTTGACAACACTACAAGATGCAATGTATGTGCCTAGACAAATCTGCAGCCTTGAGGAAAGGGGGGGAGGTGATTCGACGTCGCACTGGCGGATTGCGGCTGTAAATAGAATTGGGGCAGGGAACGCGGGGTAATGTTGCTGTTGTCTTACGTTGTGTAAGACCAATCGCTGTGTTGTTCTGACGCCACAGCACGCCCGCTTGGATGGGTAATTCCCACAGTTTCCTTGTTGGGGCTTTTCCGCGGTGGAGTTTTGGGGAAACTAAGAGGATAAGTTTAAAATTGCGAGCTTGTGAAGGATTTTATAGTAGGAGGGGACTTGGGGGTGAGATGGGAGTGTAAGATTGGAAAGTTTTTTTCTGGTGTCTGTGTAACTTGGTTACTTGGGTTAGATTCAGTGGACTTACAGGTAAGCTTGAGATAAGCGAGACATAGGAGAGAAGATTCGGATCACCAGCCTGCGTCATGATTCGATATGAATGATATGAAAGTGACAACAACCTAACGAATGCTTACTGTTTATGATGTATGAAGAGACACCCGCAACTTTCAATGGGTGTTTGTAAGAATAACAGGATCACACTGTACAGTCAGTGCCCACTTAATTATACTCGGCGGCTTGTGAAACCTCACCAAAAACAGCATTTTTGCCTACTTTGCGACAACATATAAATCAGTCCCAACTCCATACTTTTGTCTGTAACTAAAGACTTGGATAAATTCGATCTTTTTAAATCTTTTGATTCAATGCGCAAAGCCTAAAATTAATTTTGGTGTTATAGTATTGATTCAAGTCGGGTAGTGTGATTTTTCGGTGGGTTTTCGCATATTTTTGGTGTAAAACGTACACTCTTACACTTTACCTAACTTTGGTCCTTAATAACTTTTATATGCTCAACTTTCTATTACAATCTGAGTTGATGAAATTATACGCAATGCTCGAATTACTAATCCTTATAAGTATTAGCAATTTTTATTATGGTGGTGGTAGAATTAATTCATGTTGCTTTCCATGAGTTTTGGTGTAAAAGTGGCACTTGCTGAGTATAAGTTGGCTAGTACTGTATTCCATGTACACAGTCAACAACTCATACCAGTGTTCCTCACACAAAAATATAAATCTCCATCTATCTTTCCTGCCTTTCTCCCCCCTTCAAAATTCCTCTCCTCTTCCACCACCTGCTCCAAAAAATCCCAAAAGCTCACCGCCCAATATATACACCCCTAACCACCAAAAAGTCAAACCCACCAAAAACGAACAACCTGGTTACCCAATTGCAACCAACAATGTCAACCCCTAAATCCACCTCCCCTCACTCCCATTAAGTCCCTCACCACCCCCCAAGCCCAGCATCTCAAAATAATCAACACATAAACCAAGAACTCGAATGTCTCGTTCAAGAACCAATAAGTGAAGTGGACCAGTGGGACCTGCGAGAGCAGAACTACCGATCACTACATGGATACACAATCAAAGCGATTCGCCTATGTGGTTGAGAGTGTGTTATCGGAGACTGGATATTGGTGGTATTCAACACTACTGTAAGGGAAAGATTAATGGAGGTTATCGAGGACTGCGATTGGGAATGTTGTTATGTTCATTCATCTTTATGAACCAGTTATATTCATCATATCATCCCATCCATCACCTCTTTTTCTGCTGACTTGCCAAAGCGGTAAAGAGTAACTTGTTCTTCTGCAAACGCGATAAAACTCAATATATCCCACGAATGTTTATCTCATGTATGTAAATTACTGGAATGTACCCGAGAAGTGGTGTAGAATCAAAAACTTGCTTACCTATCACCAGCTATGGTCAGAAACAACACGACTACTTCCACTCGAGAAAAACAAAACAAAAAAGGAAGCCAAAGTGAAAAAAAGCATTGCTATCTTCCTACGAAATAACACGTACTGTACATTCCAGCCCCATTCCATCCCACACCATAAAAAAGCCCCCCATCTCATCCCATCCATCCCAACCCACAGTCCACCGACAAACCAACCTACCACCCCCCACCCTTCCCCCCAAACCCAGAACTATCCTCAATCTTCTTCTGACCCCCACCCCTCGTCGGCTTCTGCTGCGCCGCCTCATGCTTCCGCAACTCCTCGGGGACCCTGGAGATCTCACTCTTAACAAACATCTGCTTAAGATCATACATCACATCCGCATCCTCATTACCGAGGAACGTGATGGCGACACCGCTCTTGCCCGCACGTCCAGTACGTCCAATACGATGCGTGTAACTCTCAATGTTAGTCGCCATGTTGAAGTTGACCACCAGACTGACGCCCGGAACATCGATACCACGACCCGCGAGATCCGTCGCCACGAGGACGTTGGTCGCGCCGCTGCGGACGGATGCCAGGGCTGCTTCTCGCTGTTCTTGCGTTTTGCTTCCGTGTAGTGTGACTGAGGAGAAGCCCATGTGTTTGATGTCTCGGGCGACGGCGTCGCAGTTGCGCTTGATGTTGACGAAGACGATGATGGGAGGTGCGAATTCGCCCGAAGCGAGGATCTCGTTGAGACGCTTCTTTCGCTTGTCTTCGCCTGAGACGAACTCAGCGCGTTGTTCGACGGTCTCTACTGCCTCGCCGATGTTACCAATTGTGACGATTGCTGGTCTTCGAAGGTATTTCTTGGCTATTTTTTCGACGGCACTAGGCATGGTGGCTGTGTACATCATTGTCTGTCTGTATCTGTCTTTGCCTCCTAGATGTCTGCTCATGGCTTGGGCATCTTCTGCGTCGTCTGTATCGGGTTTCTCATTGCCGACCGGAAGAGCATCGAGAATCTTGTTTACAGACTCTTCAAAACCAAGATCAATCATTCGATCGGCTTCATCCATGATAATGTAGCAACACTGGCCGAGAACCAATACTCGCCTCTCGATACAATCAACCAAACGACCAGGAGTCGCAATAATGATTTCCGCACCATTCCGTAAATTGTAGGATTGTTCCTCCAGAGAATGACCACCAACAATACTAACACAAGTAAATCCAAGTGGTGTAGCAAATTTCCTTGCTTCAACCTCAATTTGCTGTGCCAATTCACGAGTTGGTGCAAGAATAATTGCATACGGTCCATCGTTTTTGGTAAACTCGTTAAGAGGAGGTAACTCTGAAATGTAGACCAGTAAAGGAAGTAAGAAAGCCGCAGTTTTACCAGATCCAGTAACAGCTACACCGATCAAATCTCTAGCCTGTAAAGCAATAGGTATCGCAGCTCTTTGCACAGCTGAAGGTTCATCATATCCAACCTGAGCCACAACATCCAATAATCGTTTCGGAAGTCCAGATTCTTGCCAGCTTCGCATCGGATTTGGTATTCCTCCTCCTTTGGTGCTGATGTTGAAATCTTCCTTGAAGATACGCCAATCTCTCTCTCGCATATGCTCCAGTTTCTTCTCACTCCAATGTTTGTCGAGTGAGTTTCTCCCAGTTTGGTCTTCTTTTCTTCGTCTCTCCATTTCTAAAATCTCCTTGGCTCGAGCACTTCCAGCCTCCGAATCTCGTTCCTCAAGGGCCTTTGCATATTTAAGCACGCCATTCTCACTCGCGTCTTCCGCAAATCCACCTAATCGACCTCTCCCATAGAAATTTGCTTCAGCACGAGTGGAGTAAATGGGATTGTAATCAGGACTTGTATCCTCTTCAACATTCCACTCAAAATTGAATTTCTTTTCCGTGGTCCTTCTTCGCTTCTTCTTTGCCGAAAATGTCGACTGGTTCGTTTCCGCGCCCATATATCGCGTTCTAATCAAAGCAGCTTGTGCATCCTCGCTATTCGCTGGTCGCTTTTCCCCGGCCAAAGAGGCCTTCCCACTCGTATTCGCAGGTTTCGTTGGGGGTGCCATGTCCCCATGTCGATTCTGGTTGCCATTTCGTCGGTCTCCCGGCCCTGTAGGCGCATCACCAATGCGCATAGCTCGAGGCCCAGTAGGAACCGCGCTTCGATCATTCGGTCTCTGCTGTCTCGATCGATCATTTTGATGTCCATTCTGATAGGAATCCTGGAATCCATTCGAGAGCGGGAATATGGCCGCTCTTTCAGCCTCAAGTTTGCGCTTCTGTTCTTCAACTTCTTTTGCTCGTTTCTCTAATGCTATCTTTTCTCTCGCAGCTTTCGACAAGAACTTTGGCTATAAGTAGGTTATGTAGTCAGTAGAAGTCCATAAGATACTAGATAACACTTTGTAAACATCCATTACAGATATAAAGCGGGGGATGAAGTTGAACATACCTTTGCTGCTGCATCATCTGCTTCTTTTTTCTTTTTTAAGATATCCTCGATGCTTAGAGGACCCCGGTCTCGCGGCGCACCCCATCCTGCCTTTTTCTTCTTTATGGGCTCCTCGGGCGGTGGTGGTAATGATTCAGTCGGCGGAGGGGGAGGTAAATCACTTGGTGGAGGAGGAGCAGATGTGCTAGGTGGTGGGGGAGGCGCAAAACTATCTGGAGGGGGTGGTGGAGGAGATGGTAGCCTTCCGTCTATATCCAAAGGAGGAGGAGGTATCGTCGAATCGCCATTGCTACCCGACATGACTTTATATCAATCAAGATGTGCGTCAAGTGATGCCGATTCTCAAGGTCCAAATTTGAGGAATATTTTGGTATAGAGTAGTGAGGTTGCTTGGGTCGTAAATAACCAGGTTTAAAGTTGACAGTCGCGGAAAGGCGCCGACAAGGCTGAACAATCTGCCCCACTAGTCAGCGAAACCACCTCAAGAAATATATCCCAGTGAACAAGCCTTGCCTTCCCTTCATGCGCCCAAAGAGGAAACACCCACCACCCCTCCAAAATGTCCCTACAACCACAGGAATACATCAAGCTAGCACAAAAGCTCCCACCGCGCCTCCTCCAATTCTTTGCGCGCTACCCAACAAGGCAACTCGCGCCACACCTCTCCCCATCAACACCCTCCCCAGCATCCTCAGAATCCCCAGAACCACAACGAGAGATCAACATCTCCGGCATGCCCTACGAGAACCCCTTTCAACGCGCCATAGACCCCCACTCAGGCAAACATCAAGACCCCAAGTTTTCGCTGAGGCGACAGGCGGATATCGCGAAGCTGGCAAGGAAACACGGCGTCGAGGAGCTGTTACCGTTTACGGTGAAGAATAGCCAGGAGAAGCTGAGGAGAAGGCTGGAGAATGGGCTGCGGGTTAAGGGGACGGGTATTGGGCAGAGGGTTAAGGGAAAGGAGTCGGAGAGGAGTATGAAGGGACGGTATGTTTGGAATTTTATGCTATGTTTTTTTATATCTAGAGGATATAAGCTTTTGGACGGAGATGGAGTACAATGGGGTTGAGTGAGGACGTTGGAATTTTGCTAATTTCATTCTCTCGCAGATTAGAAAAGAGGAAACAAGCAATGTTGGACATGCCACAAATGATACAGACATGGAAACAGGTACGTCCATCACGCAATTCAACTCTCCCATCCCTTCTTTTCCTTTCAAAAATACTGACCAGTACCTTTACAGCGTGGGCATGGTCGTGGATGGAAACAATGGCCAAAATAGAAGATCAAATATCGAGGTTCTGGGAAGAATTCAATCTCAATACCAGGATCGTGTGTACAAACATCATAATCGTACTCAATGTAAAATATTGCATGTCTTCGAGCGTTGGGATAATTATGGTGCAAGTGCAAGTGTACATCATCTCTGCTGCTGCTGAAAACCAACAAAGTACGGAGGTCTGTGATCATATACAGCTTTCCATAATTACCCCTCTCATTTTAGTCCTTTTTCCTCTGCCGTTTCATTTCTTGCTCTACTCGGGTATAACGTTCAATCACCTACCATCAACCGAATCCCAGTAAGTTCCCTCTTTCAGCCCAATATCTCCTTCCACATATCAGATAACAATCTACAATCCCTTTCAATCCTAACCCCAGCCCAAGTAAAAATATCCTATCCCCACATACCAAATCCAGGCCTTTCGCCATCTATCTATCTAGCTATCAACAAGTACCCAACAAAAAACCTCCAAAAGAATAGTGCTGGCCCTTTAAATCTCCTATTTACTATTCCCTATTTCCTATCACAAAATATTTACACGGAAGCTTCTCCGAGAGGAAAGGCAAGATTACAAATAGGCTATAGCTTCGCTTAGCTCGACTATATATTTTACTACATAATATTACTCAGAAATCGAAATGAAAATCACTTGATTCGCTTCCTCGCTGGGGAGGTAGGTCGGAGATGGAGTCGTTGTTTTGTTCTGTTCTGTTATGTTTGTTGGTTTTGTTTGTCTGTTATTGGGGTGGCTCGTGATCAAGAGGGGAGGAGGGGTAGATTGAATTTTTCTTTCCTTTTTTTTTCTCTTATGCGACGATTTTACAGGGAGATAGCTAAGTAGGGTAGGTTTGGTAGTGAGGGGACTGAGGGGTTTGGTGCATGGATAAGGTAGGTAGGCCGGGTAAATTATATCTTTGCTTTAATTGTTTGATTATTTACTCTTGTTTCTTTTTTAGAGGAATACGAGTATCCTTTATGTGTAATATCTCTCCAGGGAAGTCAAGGTTGTCTGCGCTCCCTGAATTTAGAATATCCAAGTATTAGAATATTAGAGCTCTCGGAGGAAGAAGAAAAGGATACTATTGATGTTCTTATTAACGGTATCAAGGTCATAATAGTGGTGAAAAACAAATTCTCCTTCAGATATTCGACGAAAGTAGATAAGCGAGTGATCATCATCCCGAGGAAGTAAGCGAGTTATCCTTATCCCTTTCTTTGGAACAGATACATTACCGGTTGGCAGAACGTCCTAATCAGGGCTCACCAGTTGTATCCTACCAGTTTAGTTACTCGAATAGTGAGAATACTAAGACCAAGCGTAATTGGGACTTTCTACAGACCGGTAGCGAGGGACACTAAGATACGGAGGATTGCGAGAATATCTGTAGCGTATTTCAACTCGTAATCGCTCTTGGAGCTGTTTCAAGGCGCTCACCACCAAGCAAAACCACATCCGATATCTTAGGCAACTTTCTTGCGAGAGTCTGATTGGATTCGCATACTGTTTACTGACGATTAGGGTGTATTTTCTCCGGTTGTGAAATACCTCATGAACCACATGTAATACAACCACGCGGATTGGCTACCTACCTCGGTACTGGATGTGGATCCATGTTTCCCCAGGATTCAAGGAAAAGGTTGTTGTCAGCTGACCTGGTCATCACACCTGCTCGCGGATAAAAAGAACTCTCAGTGTGGACCCTTTGGACCTTGGACCCTTTGGACCTTGGACCCTAAGGAAGATATAATTATATAAATCCCTCCAGAATTACATAATTATGATTATTATACGAAATCGTGTATTATTTATGATTATTATGCCAAGAATCTCAGGTGTAAGAGAGCCAGAAATGGACCCACTTATAGGTGATTTGGACTAATAGAATAGAGTAAATACTAACTTTTTTTAGCCCCTTTATAAACAACTATAAATTAGCATGTGATCATGGGGTTTTAGTACTATTTTAGGTGTATTTTTATGACTAAAAGTGGGGAAATATAATCTGGATTCTGCGTTATTTATATGCCGAAAATCCTGGATTATTATATTTTATATAAATATAATTTGACCAACCCTATTGGACCCGTCTCATGCAAGACGACGGATCCCTGAACATGCTCTCAACGAAAGTGCTCCCCGGCACTCGCACTCCCAACAAAAACTCTAGCGTGGGATGCGCTGCAGACAGGGCCACCGAACCAGGCGCTGCCATTCGTCAATGCAACGTCCGAAGACTTTTAAAGATGGGCAGGGGGGTGTGCGGTATCAACTGGCCAGGATTCTGGAAGGGAAGGGCCCTCGCTAGGCATGAAGGGTCTGCCAGTGCTGCTCTGGTTCCTGAAGCTATTCCACATACACGTCTATTTTGTTCAAGGATGTGGTCGTGGTATGGACGATGGCTGGCTCGGTTGCGACCGTTGGATTCTGGGGTTTTGGCATGTGAAATGTACTTTGGAAGACCGTACTCGATTACCTAGGTACGAGTATCCTTTAAGAGTTGATGGGTTCGGATGAGTAGTGTCGTCAGAGTAATACCGGTATCCAGTTCAGCTTGCAGCTTGCTGATTGTGGTTGCCCCTCCTCGGGTGATACGAGAGGGGCAAAAGGAAGAATTATGGCAGCTGAGACCGAACCAGTGGTTCTTGAGAGAGGCTCTTTGGCTGGTTGATCGCTTGCTGGCGGTGAGCACAGCGATAAGGTGTCGACAAAACACAGCCAGCGGGGGACAAGTTGAGAAAGCCAAGCTTCACAAAAGACCCTTTTCCCCACGATGCCCCTCCATCTCGCCAACCCGCAATGGAGTGTTGAAAGCGAAGTCAGCAGGGTTGAAACGGTGAAGCGGAGGACAGACTATTTGTAGTAAATGCATGAAGTAGTAGATGGTGACTAGTAGAGGTAGTGAGAGGCTAAGCGGGGGAGCTGAAGTGACCGAGGGCGTCTGATGTGATAGAATACGGAGCGTACCTACGGAGTACGCGCCTACAACTTTGAGGAGGGCAAGGTCAAGGGCAGAGGAACAGTAATAGAGGCGGCAGTACTGAGTACCTCCGTACCCAGATTCTGGATAAATATGAGCAACAAGTAATAAAGCATAGCATGAGCCTCGGAGCGACTTGCGTTTTGGCCACTCACATGCTTCTTCGTTGGTGGTAGACAGTTCAGCCCTCTGCATGATCCTTCTAGTTCTCGCTGGCATTGCTGGTCGATCGTCCGAAGTCTGATAGGCAGATACCAGTTTACATTGGTGCATCCAATCTGGCCAACGAGGCGGGAATGCTAAATGCCTACTGGTAGTGCTGTAGTCACTAGTCGCTAGTTCTGTGCTCGGCCAGGGGTCGAGTAGCGGCAAGAAATAAAAGCACTTGGGGTTCCGACACACAACGTATCTCTCAACTTCACCACCCCCTACACCACCACATTCGTGTGAAGACACACTCTCGCTGACTCCTACGGCTTCCCGGTAAGAAGCAGTATCGATCTGTGAGTAGACTGCCCTCGAATTCATCAATTTGAAGACACAATGGCTAATTCTGTACGCAGTCCTGGTCCTCGCCTTCTCTTTCCCTCCCTGGACTCGATCCTCAACAAAACCCTCAGCCAGATCAGGTACCACCAACTCCAACTTGTCCACGCACAACTGTCACAACAACACCTTCGTTGATCAGTCCTACAATCTGTTATACTCTCACCATCACCCGTAAAAAAAAACACATCACAATGCCTACCACTGCACGCCCTCAACATGCTGTCCTGAAGAGGAATGTTTCAAAAAATGCCTACTCCTCCCCCTCAACGGCTGCCGGCTCACCAAACGATACACCACGGCAATCACCTTCCAGTACCTCACTCTCCTCCATGTCATCGGTAGAAGAATCAAAGAGGGAGGGTTACGGTATCCTGCTTGATACACACGGACACGAATTCAAACTCCCAGACTACACAGTCAATGATATTCGAAATGCCATTCCAAAGCACTGCTACGAACGATCAGGAGTCAGAGGTCTTGCATACGTCGCCCGAGATATTTTGTACCTTGCAGTCACGTTCGTCGCTTTCAACAAATATGTGACTCCAGAAAACATACCTTCAACCCCTGTTCGTGCTGGACTCTGGGCTCTATATACCGTCCTGCAAGGTCTTTTTGCCACTGGTATTTGGGTCTTGGCTCACGAATGTGGTCACCAATCTTTCTCGACATCCAAGGTTCTCAATGACACCGTCGGATGGATGTGTCACTCAGCTCTCCTGGTCCCATACTTTTCGTGGAAAATCTCCCACGGAAAGCACCACAAGGCAACTGGAAACATGGAGCGTGATATGGTCTTCGTTCCAAAGACCCGTGAGGATTACTCTTCTCGTGTTGGAAAACTCGTTCATGAACTTGACGAATTGACTGAAGAGACACCAATTGCTACCATGATCCACTCGATTGCTCAACAACTTTTAGGATGGCCATTGTACCTGTTGGCTAATGTCACTGGTCATAACAATCACGAAAAGCAACCCGAAGGTCGTGGTAAGGGGAAATCCAACGGTTATTTCAAGGGTGTCAACCACTTCTCCCCAGCTAGCCCTCTCTACGAAGCCAAGGATGCAAAACTTATCTTGTTGAGTGATCTCGGCCTTGCTATCGCTATCAGTGCCTTGTATAAGCTTTGCCAAGAATACGGTTTCCAAAATATGCTTGTCTGGTACTTTATCCCATACCTCTGGGTTAACCACTGGCTCGGTATTTATTTCATTCCATACTTATCATGTTTACAACTAACAAAAATGCAGTTGCGATTACTTTCCTCCAACACACCGATCCAACCCTTCCCCACTACTCTGGTGAAAGCTGGAACTACGTTCGTGGAGCCGCCGCTACCATCGACCGAGAATTTGGATTCGTTGGCCGTCATCTCCTCCACGGTATTGTCGAGACTCACGTCCTCCATCACTACGTCAGCACCATCCCCTTCTACCACGCCGACGAAGCCACTGAAGCCATCAAGAAAGTCATGGGTCAACACTACCGTGCCGATGTTGAGGGTGGACCAATTGGATTCCTCAAAGCTTTATGGACCAGTGCTCGTTGGTGTCAATGGGTTGAGCCTTCTGAGGGTGCTATTGGGGAGGGTAAGGGTGTTTACTTTTTCCGTAACCGAAATGGTCTTGGTACCAAGCCTATGAAGTTGTCTCCTCCCAAGGCGTAGGTTCCGGGTTTGAATAGACGAGATGTTCAGAGTATTGATAAAAGCAGCTTGCTACGGGGATGAAAATGGGGATTGGGTGGACTTGTTTTTTTGCATTTCTTCTTTTTCTTCTGGTGGATTGGCAAGGTGGTGTTTGGCGTCTGTCTACCTTTATTTACATTCGCTTACAGGATTTATTTGTTCCTGGCAGTTGATTTTGATACAGTGCGCGGTCTTCCCTTGGGTTCTGGGGGTGTGAAAGGGGGGATAACGCAGATGGAACTGCGTATGTGCATGAGATTACAAGAATTACGTTAGAAAGAGCATAGCAGAGTATAACTTGAGCTAGATGAATGGATGAAAGTAATTGAAAATTGTATATACTTGGTCTCTCGTTTTTTTAGGTGTGTGATGATGGTTGGTTGGTGTTGATGACGTCCAGGTTGATATAATGACGTTGAGTACTGGGGTTGATTCCTTGATACCTGCGATAATCTTCCTTGGGTCCCGTCTAATAATATGATTCCTATTGGACTTGATATATTCTATTTTGGTTGTGGAGGGATGAGAGGTTTGGGTGGGTACCTTCTTACAGTACTGTAGCGGTGGTAGGATTTTGTCAGTTACTGAGATTACGCTTTACATACTGTGATATATACAATATATGATATGAAATGATATGTATATCTTACTATAAGCTAAGTTACCAACATAATGTTTCTTTGTAAGTAGGTGAGGGAGAGGATTGAGGATGGACTTGTGAGCATGGTACTGTACTACTGTACTACTGTAGAAGCAGAAGTATAGTCCCAAATTCAAGGGTGTGATGGAGTGAGATTACCACAAGGAGGGGTTTGTAGTCTACTTGAGTACTCAGCTGGGCGAAGGGGTTGGGTCATGTAATTCTGCGTGGGGGTTGGGGGGGAATTGAAATTTGAAGTGAGAAACCTATCCGCACTGTAAATTACCTGTCCACCGAAAACATTCTATCGATACCTAATACCTATATCTACACCTATCCCCCTTTCCTCCATCCTCAAACTCACACATTAACACCATCTACACCATTTAAATCATCTATACTCAACTAACCAACCATCTGCCTAGCATCGTACACACCCATATACCTAATCCCAAACCTGCCACTCTCACTTACATATACCCTCCCCATCCCGATTCAAGCTGTATCTTACTCAAATTGTGAAGCCCTCTCAACATCACTTGACATTCTTATTCTCATTTCCCCCCTTCGCCACCGTAAAGAGATAAGAATAACAAGAAACAAAATCAACAATCCCACGAAGCAACACAGGTTCAACACCAATCTCGCTTACGACTTATCTATACCCATCTCAAATCACTCGCTAATCCCAATCCACATATTCCTATAGCATGTAGGTAGGAAAGGACGAAAATATGGCTCAATAACAATACGTACAATACGTATAATACATATACCATATATCGAAAGTGGAGTTCAGACACGTCACACCACACCATACAATAAGCAATCAACCTTAAGTTAGTGCTACTATCTCCCACATTCGCTGTACATTACAAATAGTACTCATATCCTTCCCTCCCCTTTTTTGAAAGAAAGAGAAAGGCTGAGATAGTAGGTATTGAAAGGACTTACTCTGATACTCCAGTAGTCCAGAAATACATACCGTGAGTAGGTGACCCAGACTCGACGCATCTCGCAAACTCCCACAATTCATAGAAGAGAAAGGAAAGGAAAGGAAAGGAAAGGAATGAAACACTAAATCCACATCCTCAACCTCATCCAAGAAAACCCATTAGGTGTGCGTATGCGCGTGCGTGTACATTATCCATTGTAAGTAGAAGAAGCATAACACTCAAAGACGACCGACCAGCCAGTCCAAGAAAACCACACGTTACAGTAGCACCAAAATCACAGAAAAGAAAAAGAGACAAATGTAAAATGAGATTTCCAGGAGGTTCACGGAATCGTAATTGATATTTCCTCTCAACCACACATCAACAACTATACTGCAGTGCTCTGTCCTTCGTCCTCAGTCCTCTCTTTACACTCACATATCCATGTCTCCATCACCCGCAATCCCAATTCATTCCTCCATCAATCGCATCTTGCATCTTGCATCCCCACCATTCAAGACCTATCCTCCACTCTTTCAAAAAAGAAAGAAATCAAGACGGAACGAGGAACTCCAGAATATCGTATCGTACAAAGGGGACAAGCCATACCATCCCACTCACTCCAGCCAACTTCACTTCCCCAACCACGCAACCATTGCATTTTTCTTCTCAGATGTACTGTCTTCATTTCTCCCCTCACCACTCCATCTCCACACATTCAGCGGCGTGAATAAAATATTTCCTTCGGTAGCGCAGTGAGTCCTCCACCCCCTCCTCACCATCCCCTCAAATCCAACATCAAACACACACTCACTCACTTACTCACACAAGCTCAACCCTCCTCCCACTTTCCATTTTCCAATCAATGCCGCATAGCACCGCATCGCTTCTTTCCCAACCCTCAATTCTGAATGCTTGTCTTGTCCGAAAGATAATTAGGCAGATGCAAGCAGAGCTCATCGCAATGCAAGAAAGAACCAAGAGAACTTTATTCGAAAAAGAAGAAATAGAAAACGTGAAGCCCGAAGAAAAAACAAAAAAGCAAAAGCACAGCGATAATGCCTCCAAATATGATTTTTCCTGTGCCTGTGCAAACGCTGGGTATTCAAACAAGAGAAGAAAAATAACGAGATGACGTTTTAATTAGTCAGTTCCATTCATGCATTCGTCATCTTCTGCGCGCGCGAGACGGAATGGAAAAAGGGGGAAATATAAGCCAACACAATTAGCAAGGACAAGAGTTATGATGAATCGATAGACGCCGGCTTGGTTGACAGCAAGGTGTCGCTTTTGTCTCCGTCTAAGATCGCAGATTGACAAAAAGATAAACTTTCAATGAGAGGTTGTAGATTGTTTGGATCGTCGAGTGCTTTTCTGCTTTCGTGTTTCAGGCCCGGTCGAGTGAGACTGCTTTCGATGTCGAGTTTAGCTCGAGATGTATTATGCTGTCAGTGAATACAATCATGTCCTAGCTAAATCCAATCGGACTGAGAGGTTTTATTGGGCTTAGTGGGCGCATCTCAGTACTTTTTCTGGGTGGAGTACGATCAGCAACGATGGTCAATTCTGTGCTGATTGTACTCATGCTTGCCTGACTATCACTTTGATTGAGATTGCTCTTCTTGGATGGTGCCTTTTGCTTTGGTTCTTGGTGGTTGATGCTGACACTCGATGGCTTGCTGCTATCAGAGCTCGAGACGTTGCGCTCATCATGGCTTTCGACCGCAGTGCTACTCTGACCCTCAGCGCTCCCTGGAGGACCTGCGTGCGCCATATCGAACAGCATGTATTCCTGCTCTGTATATTGCGGCTCGGTCTTGCATCCTTTCCAGCAGTCTCTCCAATCGCAAACCAAAAACTTGAAGCAGAATGCGTCTATCTTCATGCATGGTTGAAAACAAATACAAAGATTGCGGAAATCCATCTTGTTCTTTTCCGAGTGCGCAAGTAGGAGAGACAGGTGGCAAGTGATGGCGAATAGAAGGTAATAATTGAATGGTGAAAGATTCGATAGCTCGTCGACAAGCTGTTGAGGAACTCTCTCTGCGCCGGCACATTCTCTGGCGATACGATCTTGAGCTGACTTGGGGAAGAGTTCTTCGGGAAGTTCACGCAACCAAGCTTTCAGCATGGAGCCAATGATGTTGATATCGTAAAGATCGTCTTGCTCAAAGAGGTCAATATCAAGTTCTGGTTCTGATTAGCGACGTCTCCGCAACCCTTTCAATACTTGAAAACTTGCCTTCGTCAAATCGTCTCTGCCATTTCTTAATTTGTGGCCCACTGCCAGGCACCCGGTATAATCCTTCCACGTCACTTCCTTTATAATTGAGATAATCGATGGCGCGCCATGGGAACGAGGGCATCCAAAACTCAGTCTTATCACGAGAGTCTTCCAGCCGCTTAGATATTCTTGTTAAACGTGTTTGCTCCACGAGTGGTCGGTTGATAACCTTTAATACGTAATGCTCGTCATCCACTGGCATCTCTTTTTCAGTCGTACTTGCGCTGCGACCAGTCTTCCCACCACCAAAGAGCCCCTTGTGTATAGCACCAGCCCCTTTCGTAGCCGAAGTCTTAAGGTTACTCAGGAAACCATGACCTCCTCCTTGGTTTGAGGACGATGCATCCTTCTTATTGCTCTCCTTCTCCTTAATCGTGGGAGGCTGTAGCTTGCTGCCTTCCTTTGGTGTCTTCTCGCGCGATGCATCTCGCACCTTGGCGTTGCGGTCCTCAGAAGGATTGCGGCTGGAACTCATGCTGTCCTTGAGAAATCTGTCGTTCTCGGGTCGCGAAGGGACAACGGCTATAGATTTGCTATGTGCGTGCGATCGCTCGGGTGGTGGGGGTTTGTCGAACTTGCTAGTCTTGTCCGTAGGTGAAGGCTCGCGAGAGCTGTTCTCATCACGTAGAGACCGCGTTCTGGTGAGCAGGCTGAAGGGGTTCGGCTTGCTCTTCTTAGTGACGTTTGGATTCGAAGGGTTTGGTGGATCGCCTGTAGAGTCAACTGAGACGTTGGATCTGGAAGGGCCAGCAACTGGTTTCCTCGTAACCTTGGACGACTTGATTGGTGGTGGTCTCTCCGGACTCGGCTCTGCTGAAGTGAAGATTCCAGGTCAGTCCTGTCATTGAATGGATAATAGACGAAACTGGAGCTTACCAATCTCGGAAGTATCCTGCGCTGAAACTTTACTTGGGCGGTCTGTGTCTTTGGACATGCTTTCCTCTGCCGTCGATTTCGCAGAGGTTTTCGAATTTGCCTTTGCCTGATTCGAATTCTTTGTAGCCTTATTTTTGGAGAAAAAGCCACCCCGGGCCGGTCTTTGTTCTTTCACTCTCTCCGCCTTCTGCGGTGCCTCTTTCGCCTCGGCTACGAGTCCCTCGGTGGCGGTTGTCTGTGGTTGCAACAACGGAAGCGACGCCGTATCCTGGGGAGTGGTTCGCTGGTCGTCGTCGTTCGTCCGCGTCCGCGTCTGGTTCTGCGGTGACTCGGTTTCGGAGGCAGACGGTTTCTTGGACTTCAATCTGAATGGCGATCGCGGGGATTTCGGGGATTTAGAGCTGCTCAGAGGTGACTGCGAATTGTCGAGGAACCGATTTCCTGTCTCGCCTTCTGCTGTTCGCGATTCCGTCAGCGTGAGCGGCTCTGGATTGGATTTTCTCACCATGCTTGTGGGTGTGAGTGTGGGTGGTCGCCGGGCCCCCGCGCAGGAATCCCCTCCCGTCTCGAGTGAGGTGGTGCACAGCCTTTCAGCGTACCTGAATTGTGTCACAAAATCCGAGGCCTGGATGTTCGATGTTCTTCAGAGTAAAGCACTGGAGCGTCGCGTAGCGCTGGACCTCGGGGGGGGGCAGAGGATGGTCGGTGGGTAATGCCTTCTTGAGGTAAAGTGGTAAACTGGTAAATGGGGGGGAGGAAGAGGGGATATCAACGGGATTTCTAACTCTATTACGACGGATTATGGCCCGGCAATGCTGCTGATGGTAAGAATTGCAGTATTTGGTCGGGCTCTGTTTTTGGTGTGATCTATGTGGATTGGGGTAAATGTTTGGTTCGGATGATGGCTAGTCGTCCGACTCCTAGGCGGCTTTCGAGGGGTCGAGGGGGGCTCAAGAATGGCAACGGAGACTGCAGATGCTGGCTGACTGCGTGTGTGTCTGCGTGTCTGCGTATCGCTTGGCCGGGAAGAGGTGAGTACTGGTAGGGAGTACAAGGCGGGTGTAGTCAGTCGCAGTACTGTAGTAGGTACGCAGTGCAGTCAACCAAGAGCAACAGCTTCACGATCGGGGAGCCCTGCCAGTGATGCGAACCGAACTGGCTCCTGAATTGGAAGTGGCAGCACTGGCTCTGGCACGGCGACTGGTCGACTGACCTGGGCTGGATTGCACACCACCGTTGTCGTGGTGGAGCCCAAACTTAGTGCTTGCGGGAAATGCTATGCTGAAACGTGGAATTGGTTGCGCACGCCAGCTCGTCTGGAATGTGTTTATGCACGTCGCAGGAACCGAGTCAAGAGCACGCAGCCAAAGCAGAAGGAGACCGAGGGGGTGAGGATGAGGATGAGGATGAGGGTGCGTTAAGTAGCGGTGCCCGTCAGATCAGATCAGATTAGATCCAAGTCCTAAATCCAGATCCAAATTCAACTCCAGGGCCAGCGGGATATCGGGGTCTGACGATACTTGTACTGTAAAGTGCTGAGAGGAAAGGTATCCGGGGCTGAAGAGCAGACGTCAAGCGAAAAACGATATTGGAGACCTGCCTGCGTGGGCCTTGGTAAACGTCCGGGTCCTGGACCTGAGCTAGACGTGAGGAGATCACGCCCGTTCACGGGTACAGGTACCTGGCCTGTACGAGTACTAGAGTAGAAGAAGTATGCGAGAGAAACAAGAAACAAAAAACAAGAAACGTCCAACCTCCTTCCTGAATGGAATCGAATCGACAAAATGAGGTGGATGACTTGAAACTTCCAAGGAGAAAGAGATTCTTTGGAGACGACCTTCACACTTTCGACGAGGAACTATCTACAAACTATACGCAGTATCCCTCATCTTGTTCTTCCTGGCAGGTGCGTTCCTGATACTCAACCCTCAGATGTCAACTTTAACCGCCAACTCAGCTTAGTCTCGCACTATCTATCACTAATGGAAAGTAAGTTGGCAAGACCAGCCTCGTGGTTGTTGCTTATTTGTTCTTTCTTTAGAACGGCAGATGTTGCTTTGATCCGATAATCTGTTAGTTTCTATGCTCGAAACTAAAGCATGTCCAGTTAAGGAAAAATATTTCCTTTTAAATTGCTGCAAATTCAAGAAACGGACTCTGGAAATGATCATGAAAGCCGATGGCAATTCTGGCCAAGAGTTTTGCAGATAACCCTCCTTGGCCGTCTCACCTCTCTTTAAGCTTATTATCAAGAATCCAATTCTACTGCACTGTACAGTCCCTTTGCAAAAGTAGCAAGATGCCAGGGTATCTACTAGTAGTGTAACTCGGGGTATTTGCAGGGTATTTTGCATGCCATTTGCTTATTCCCATAAGTAGGTTCAGGTGCTACAACTGTACCTTGATACTTTTGCAAGAGACCGAGAGTGTAAATATCCAGAAACCGAACCGATTTCCACCCCGAAAACAAAAAGTCAACAATAATCACCCCATCGACATGGACAAACCAAATCACTCGCAGAGCACATACACAAACACACATTCAGCATGAAGATCGTGCCATGCTGAGCTCATCAGCACATACGCCATGATTCATGATCCATCACCCTGAAACTCGGGGCATGGGGCACAAACCGAGAGATCCGACAGCTTGGGCATAGGACATAAATTACCGGACGTAGTACATGTCAAGCAAGAATCGGAACAAAGCAAAAAGCCCCTCTTTCAACGGAGTATTTTCCAAAAAGGAATAAAAAAAGCAGATAAAGAAATCATTCTAGATTTGAAGATCGTCTTCATCGGGTTGTTTTTCTTTCTTGCGTTCTTTCTTTCCTTTTTCGGAGGGGAACCCGAATGAATGCATGGCTTTAATCTATTAATAGGCTTATGCTTGTACTAGTTGGTACCTGAAGTCCATGAGATTGTCATCAGGTATCTCCTTGCGAACTCGGCCATATCATCGATGCCAGCGGATCCGTCAGGGATGGAATCTGCAATCTGATTACTTCGTCATTGCCCGAGGAAGCTTTCCCGTATCTCACTCGCTTCAGGAGCGCCAAAAACTGAGAACTAAGAAATGATTAACATAACAAGGGATTTTTTAGGACCTAGGTATGTTCTCTGTAGGAGTTAACAATATAAGAGCTGGTTGAATTCAATTGAAAGTAGTTAAATTGGATAGCGAAAAGGGGTACGTTGGGGGTTATGAAAGTGGTTTGACGCGGGCGGGGCGGGGTTCTAACGAAGCGAAAGACGGGTTATAGAAAATCAACCACTACAAGTTTCCTTTTTCACTCCTTACTGTATATGAGAAAGATCCGGAATACAGGCATACTTCCGATGAATTCTATTCAAGAAAACAGCCAGAAGTAACTACAGCTTACTCGTACGAGAATTACAAGCGTGTTTTGAAAGAACCCTATCTCTAGTACTAGTACCTTCCAACTCACTGCCTTTCCCTATGCCCCTGAGCCCCTCCCATATACTCAAAAATACCTTACCTACTAAACCTTCTCTCTGCCCTCCTTCCCTCTTCCTTCCTCTTCCATGTACCTCTACCCTTAAAAAATCAAAAAATTAAATCTAAGAACTATTCCTATCCCCCTCCAGCCTAGAAATCCGACCCGATATTCTCCCGACCCCTTACACCATCCCATTTATCTTCCAAAAAAAGAATTACAAAAAAATATCCACGGATAAGGTAATGACCTACGCAGGGCTATCTTGTTTGTTAGTTATAGTGCTGTGTTTGAATGTGTTGGGGAGTATTTACATCGAACCTGCAATCTCTTGATTCGTAGTCAAGCGCCTTGCCATTGGGCCAGCAGGCCGTTGTTGTTATCTTGGATGATTTATGATGTGCTTATTTGCGTATTGGTTGGTGTGAGAAAAGGGCTTTTTGGTGGGGGCTAGTGGGATTAGTACACGTGAGGGGCGGTGCCGATATGCCCGATTTTGACCCGTGTGGTATATAAGCGAGACAAGTACTCACTAGTGCTTAAGAGTAAAAGTAAGCGAAGATTAATTACTAGAAGCGATTTCTAGATTAATAGAGGTAATTTAGGATTATATGTTTGGTAATTATTTTGGTTTTTAGAGGGCGCGATCGAGTACTTTGATTAAGTATAATAATTAGAATAATTAAAAAATATTAAGGTATCTTTTCGCGAGAATCTCTAAATAGAACCGTAACAAGACCTCTAGTATTACAAAACGATAGGAAACTTATATCTCGATGTTACATATATATACCTCTATAAATATAAGGAGAAATTCTTAGCAATTCTTTATATTTTCTAGAGTGTAATCGAAGGATCTGGTAGAATCAAATTAATTAAATCAGATCTGTATCTTGCTTCAATTGCGGATTGCAGCCGGCCTATGGAACCGTTATTTGAAGCGATGTTATTCAAAAAGCGTTTGTAAGAAATGTGGTCGTTGCTCCGTGGTCACTGGTCACACTAAAGTTGGAGTGGTCGTCGCTTCCTCAAGCGATCTTTGCTTCAAGACTTCTCTTTCCGCCGCACGAAACTTTTCTTCTTTTCAGCGCTGACACCAAATCTCCTTCTTCACTTTCTTCCTGGGTCGACACTCGCATCTTGACTACTTGGTCTTTGACTCCGATCTCATTCTGAAACTTTCCGCCTTCACACCCCCCAGAAGTACCACACTTTCCACTTACCTTCCGCCATCGTTGGCGCGTACCTTTCATCCCTTCAGATCTCCCATGTTGATCACCAAGTGATCTCTTCAACCTGTTCAGCTCCTCGGCGCAACCGTCATCTCCGTCTCACTAAATCACTACTATCTCGACCGCCGCTCCTCGCTCAACTGACCCTCCGAAACAGCGATCATGTATCTCGTAGATCTACGAACGCTATCAGGTAAGGTGCACATCGATATTATACATGCTATGGTGGTTGCTCTTTTCAAGACCCGACAAATTTCTGTCTTGAGCCCTGAAGAGGTATATCACCTAAATACTGCAACTTTCACCCAAATAATCTGGCTGACATAAATAGCTCGTCCTATCTGATACAATGGAAGAGGTCAACTTCCAGCACGAGCCTACTCCCGCATTTCTCACAGCACAAGAACATCTTAGCAAACTACAAGACATAAACTTAATGTCAATCGAGGAAAGAAGAGACATCCGAGAGGCCCTCTTCAAATTCAATATTGCCAGACACCATTGCCTTACTGTTGGCCATATCACAGGTATTGCCTGTCAGTACCCAGGTCTCTTCGACAGTGATGATACATGCACTGAAATACACAAAACCCTCCAGACGCAAGTTGATGGTTATATGCACGCGTCTTTGGACTTCCTCAGGGAATTTGTTACCAGGGTCATCGGAAAATGTGAAGAGATTGCCGGGGCAGGATTCTGGGCCAGCTGTAATAGCAGTCAGAAAAGAGAAATGTTTTGCAAAATCTACGGCAACAATCCCATGTACCTCTTGACCAGACTCCATCGAGCAGAGTCAAAGGTGGTAGCTTTTACCGAGCTGTAAGTTTGCTCCATTCTTTCTCTTGTTCTCGCTGACTCTTCAAGTTTCGTGTCAGACTCGCCAGATCGCGCAAAATGGCGAAGGTTCTTCCGAAAGAAGTTCATTAATATGGCGTGTATGGTCTCCAAAACAAGAGAAGCCGACCAGCCCCAATGTTGGTTGAGCTGGCCAGAATCCAATCTGCCTGGAGTTTGGTCGAAGAATCAATTTGTTCTACCCGCGGTTGCTACGGTTTATCAAAAGAGGACGAGAAATGACGGCGAGGAGCTTGACGCAGGGGACTACAACGCGTCCAAGCGACGAAAAGTTGTACTTGGGACATGAAGGACTTCATTACAGCAGTTGCAATCTACACAGGGCGAAAATTTGTTCTTGAGACAAGCCATATCGACGGCGAAAAGGATGGCGGCGTCTCATATTAGAGAATTTTTCAGGGAAGGGATTCAAGTACTCGCTATCTCGGATATCAGCTAGATTTTCGCTGCCTTGAAACAGAACAAGACCGGCTCTACATATATTCAGCTGCTATCTTACTACGTCTGGTCCTTTTTACCCTTGAGCTAGTGACTTGATAACGATGGACATAATTCGTAAAAAGGGGTACATAGCTAGACAGTAGGAGAACCAGCCATGAAGGGTTTCAATCAGAGATACTTTTATGAATCAATGCTTTATGCCAGCAGCGTCACTCCTCTTCATCTTCTATAGTAGTTATATTTGAATAGCGGTAGTTTTACTCAACACCACCAGTCGCAACATATGCCGTAACGGGAGGTTTACGAACCGCAGTTACACTCCCGCCTCTGCTCTCACCTCCTCGCCCACGACCTCCCCTACCTCTGGCATTGCTATCGCCCTGACCGCCACCCCTGCCCCCACGTTCACTTCCTCTCCCTCTGCCCCTCCCTCTACCTCTTCCTCTCTCAGAAGTTACTTCATCACTATTCCCGCGGGTATTCCTTGAATCGCCTCTTTCCCCTCTACCTCTCTGCCTCTACCTGTATCATTCGAGTAACCAATTCCATCATTCCCTCTTGTGTTTCCTCGACCTCTACCTCGACCTCTGTTTGCATTATCTGAATCGCCTCTATCACTATGCGGTCGTCTATCTCCTTGACCTCCTCGATCATTACTAGGGTTTTCGTCGTTATGGCTTGTATCGAACTCTACGTGTCTTGGATTTCCTTCTTCACGGTCTCCTTGTTCTCCTTGATGTCCACCTCTTTCGGATGTATATCCTTCGTAACCTCCTCTACTTGAAGCATCATTTTGGTAGCCCCCTCTACCTTGATATCCACTTCCTCTTCCTCTACCTCTTGCCCTTTGACCTTGATACCCACCACGACTGGAAATCCCACCCTGATATACAGAACTACCTCGATACCCACTTCCTGTCCTTCATTATAACCCCAACTCTGCCCGGAACCTACATTCTCATCCCCCTCATCACTCTTTGCATCCTCAACACCACCCCACCATCTCCAAAAGCCCTAAGTATAACCTTGGCCTTCACAACACAACTATAACGCCCCTCACTATCATACCTCATTAACGCACTACTAACCCCCTCCAGCACCTCCCCATGTCCAGCACCGGATCTCACATGATCATCCTGCAGATTAACAACATCCATCGCCTCAGCATCAAACACCATCCCGCGTTCCGGCATAACGAGCCTAAGTTCCGTCCTTGAAGTCTGGATATTATTATATAGCAGGATAACATAAGCCGTGATTTCTCTCAGGGCAGCAAATAAAGCTTCTTCATTCATGGGGGTTGTCAGACCTAGAAGCATTCTCTGGAACTTCGGGAGAATGGATGAAAGGACCGCGTCATCGACCGTTTCACGGAGACGATTGCGTTGATTGAGGAGGAGGGAGGTGTTTGTAGGGCTTGCTGCAGCGTAGCGTAGGTCGGCTGTGAGATCAGGCCCGAGTTGAAGGATGTGGACTGCTAGGTGACGGGCTGTATCTGCTTTCCAGCGGAAATGCGAGGGAGGAGTCGCTTGATTTACATCAGTGACCATCTCAATAACCACTACTAGGAGAAGGGGAAAGAAACAAAATAAATACCAGGATTAACCCTCTCGATAACCCACCTATCCAACTCAACCAACAACCCCCCAACCCCACCTTCACCCCCCAAATCCAGATCCGGCAAGAACCCCCCTCCCAAAAACCCCATAACAACCCCCAAAGCCTCCTAACCGCCATATAGTAAAACCTAGGAAGTCCATACTGCACCGCAAACGTAACACTCTTGTTCCCATGAATCTGCTCCGCATGTCTGGCGAAATCAGGAAACACCAGAAACGTCCTGCAGACACCCAGGATCCCTTCGTAGATACCGGTCATGAGGTTCTCCATTTCTTCGTCGGAGAGGAACGTGTCGGGTCCTTGGATGATGTAGTTTTGCTCTTGGGCGTTGAGGAAGCGGCGTTCTAGGTCTGCGTGTTGCTTTAAGAGGAGGGTGTCTTGTTGGGTTGCTGGGGAGGGGGTAAAGTCTGGGCGGAGTTTGGAGATGGTGAGGTATTGGTCGTTTTTGAGGTGGAGATTCTTGATCATCTTCTCGAGATTGTGTTGTTTATCTGGTTGCGGGGGGTTTTCGGTTGTTAATTTGGCGAGTTGATGGAGGAGTTGAACGAGTGCTAGGTTTATGCAGGCGAGGTTTGTTTCTATATCTGTGGTTGAGACCGTGGTGGGATTTGGGGGATTGTGGGTACCGTTTATAAATGATTCGATGCGTTGTTCTGCGTCTTGGAGAAATGAAGAGGTGGTTTCTTGGGCACCTGTTTGTGGCCTCTTCGATTTTGGCGACACAGGACTTTCAGACATAGTTTCATCGGCCGTGGGCTGTGGTGATCCTTCATTATTTTGTCCTTGAGATTGGCTCTCAACTCCATCATCACCAGTCCTAGAAACCTCTTTCCAGAATTTAATCCGATCTCCAAAAATCTTATATCCTCCCTCTCCAATCCGTCCGGCAGAAGAGTCATCTCCAGGAACAAGAGTTCTGTTATCTCCACCACTTCCACCCATCCCCAAACTCACTCTCCCACTCTCCCTCCCTTCTTCCAATTCTCCCCTAGTCCACCTACCAAGCCCCTCATTCCTGCTCCTCATATTCCTAGCCCAAGCCGATTCCCCAAGCGGGACATACTTCCTCTCACCATCCTTCCAAAAGACCGGCGCACGTTTAATCCCCTTCGTGCTAAGATTTTCCAACAACCTATCTTCCCGGTTCCCTCTATCCCTCCCTTCTTCTTCATACCGTTTTCTTACCGCAATTGTATGGAGAGCGATGATATCTGATAGCCGACTAGGAGGTGGTTCGAGTTCAATATCTTGCATTTCTTCGGAGTCGTTTGATTCCACTGAAGCCTTTGGGACTTGGTAGGTAAGAGGATGGGGTGGCTTGATGATCGCTGGGTTATCTCGTCCAGCTTCTTCGCGGTGGTATACAGAAGCCCCCCAACCTCCCGTTCTCCTGCAACACCATCATTATATCCCGCCCCACTACTCATATTCCCCCTCAATCTACCACTTTCCAAACCCCTCACTTAACCTGCAAACCAACCAGCCAAACCCCAAAGCTCATAAACCGATTCCCTAGACAGCAGCCCTCAATGCCCCTCAATTTCTTTTCGTATCCCGTATCTCATATATTTCAGAGCGCATCCAGCGAATGTAAAAACAAAACACAGACTCCCAATAGCATTCAAGCGCCAAAGACATACAGCACCAGCAATAAAAATCGTGTAGACTAGTCACATACCCAATCCCAACATACAAAAAAAAGTTGTTGTGAACACTTCTCTTTGTCCACATCCTCGACTCCAAGACCTCGGCAAATTGAAAGCCCCCTTTTCCGCAAGCGGTAATCGCCTCGCTTAATTTGGATCTGCATTCACTCCCCCAACTTTATTAGGAAAATTTAATTAGAGTGAATTCAACCACAAGGAGCCACAAACTCTATACAGAGATCGCATTTCCACCACGTCATATTTATTCAACCCCCTTAACTGAGTTATCTCACTACCCACATCAACGGCAAACAAATGTCTCCCAAAAAACCAGCAAAACTCAAGGTTGTGATTCAATCCTTGGTTACTAGGGAGAAAGTTTCCAACCTGTAGAAAACCCTAGGTATCGGTAGGGGTAGTATCTTTAAAAAGAAACCACATGCTCTAACGCTTATAGATCGTTCACAGCATTCCAACTACATCAACCAATCTTAGCTTAGTATACGTTGCGTTGAGTGAATCCTTACTTGTCCTTACTCTGTATCATGTGTTGTGAGCTGGATGGGGTTGGTATCTGTGAGCATTCATCTACTAGAGAGCACAGTGAATCAAGAATAACATCACGTCAACATCAGCAATACCACTTCACCACTACAACCCAACGCCCCATTCACCCATATCTCACAATGACCTACACTATCAAAGAAAGAAAGAGAGAAGGAAAAAGTGAGGAACAAGAAGAAACAGGGGGTATCAAATTCTGAAAAAATTATTGAATCCTATCGTACTGAGACTGTGTATCAATCTACCTATCATACACAGAAAAAGGGGGGGAAAAAAGACGACCCCCACAAACAATTAACCCAATTAACCCCTGGATGATGAGAAGAAACAAAAGAAAAGGAAGAAATGGTCTAACAAACTGCTGTACCACCCAGCTCCCTTTCCTTCTTCATCCCATGCACTCTCTCACTGCTCCCTGAAAAAAATGGTAGCATCGCCATCTGTTTAACCCCCTCACGCCCATCCCCCATCCCCCATCCCCCGCGCCCATTTCATTGACACACGCACCCCCTCCCTTCTACTATGTACAATTAACCCGTCCCCTTCAACCCAACGCACGTAGGCACACACGCACAAACACAAATAGCTCCCCCAACGCAATCTGTCGCAACTTTCTTTCACTTTTCTCTCAAAGACTGTGAAGCAGGCTGGTAAAACAACAGGAAGAAAAAACCCAACGTTAGAAAAAAGTAACGCGCAAAGCAGACTAGTAAAAGGCGGCAGTAGTAGTAGTAGAAACCCCATGCACCGCTCCCCCTGGTAGACGCCGTGAAAAGGTATGCCCAGCCCCCAAACAGGTGAAAAAAGCGAGATGTATGCCGCCGCAAGACAGACAAGATAGAGTGTAGGTTCCTAGGAAAACGAGGTGTTTGAGAAAGGCCAGAGTCAAAGATATTGCCCTAAAAGACACAAAGAACCGGCCATTTAAACCCTCCTAAGAAAGAAAAGAGGAAGAATCCCATACAAAAAATAGAAAAACAAATATAAAGTTCTCGAGAGCCCCTATTCCATGATCGGTGGTATTTTGTTGAAAAAAGAAGTAGAAAAAACAAAGTATGCATCCGTCGCATCGCATCTATTAAAAAAAGCGTTCCTTCCATCCCTCTGCAGCGAGAGGAAGGAACGAGTCAGGCTAAGTAGCCAAAAGAAGCAAACAGAAAGGTCATCAAAGGGTTACTTCGTCAACAGAGTGCCTTCTTATGCTCGCCAAGGTTTTTGTGGTGTCTTCGCTCCGGTGGTCCCTCTTCTCATCGCACTAGTAGGACGAGAAATAGCTTGTGGACTATTCTCGCCGATCGAGCCCGATGCCAATCGACCTTTGGGTTGCGGTAGTAAGCTCACACGTCTATTGACAGCCAATGAGCTAGCAGGACGGGGTGGTCTGGCAGCAGGGGTAGGATCGCTAGACTTCGGCTGCATTGAAGCTCGACGACTTGCCATATTGGTTGTGTTGGTAAGCGCGGACATCGAAGATTTTGTAGTGAGCAGTCGGGGACGACCTGGTGATGCTTGGGAAAGAGTATGTTGGGAATAAGGACCTGGACTAGATTTGATTTGATTTATCGGTGACGACTTGGAGAGAGTCAACTGAGAGTAAGGCCCAGGACTAGCAATACGGTCTCGGTAAGCTAGGCGTGAAGTAGAAGTACGTGATGGTGTTCTATGTGGAGCTGGGGATGCAGTATTCTCTCGGCTGAAACTTAACGGCGATCGAAGAGGTATCTTGGAATCTGACGCTGATGAATGAGTGACTTTGAGATTAGGTGTTGTGCGAGCATGGGGACTTGTTGTAGTAAGACTGAGAGGTTTGAAATTATGGCCAATGATGGTATCTTTAGTGTTCACACTAGAGTTCCATCGTGGCCTCCCATCTAGAGCGGCATTGTAAGAATATCTGGAACCTGTTGTTGGGGTCGCAGAACCTTGCCTAGATAAAGTTCGCGCAGGTGAAGGCGATACAGATGAGCCGCGAGACGGATGTGGTGCGAGTCGAGTAAGACCCTGACGCTGTGGCAATTGTCCGGCGGAGTAACTCGAGTGTCGTTTTGTAGTTGCGGGGAGGGCACTTTGCTTTCCACGAAGCTTGCCATTCTTCAATGGTGTCGTAGGATCGAAGCCTCCATTAAGCCCAGTCATAACAACTGACGATGCAGGTGAGCTTCCAGGAGTTCCGTTGTGGCTAGCGAGTGTAGAACGATCATTTGATACCATACTAGATATCGAATCGCGCAACTGTTGATTCCTCTTGTCTGCCTGAATCTCATCTAAGCTGATATCCAAATCATGCATATGCTGTTTCAAAGTATCCCACTTGTTTTGCATCTCCGAATGAAGCCTGAGAATCTCCCCATTGACAGTCAAACGGTCTTTGACACCCCTCTCAATAATCGACAATACTCGCTCGATCGCAGGACCATAATGCATCTTCTTTGCTTCGTAGCTCTCAATCTGCTTTCCCATGGTAGCTGGGTTATTCAGGTGCACACCTCCTTCGACAGCCTCTCCCAACTTTGTCACACTTCGTTCCACGGATTCGTACATCTTCTGCGCTTGTCGCCCAGCTCCCCGGAATACCAGCACCCATCGATCCTCTCCAAGCTCCTTCCGTAGAGATTCCGCATCCTTTTCGAGGGCTTTCCAACCATTCTCTAACGCAGTCCTCCTCATCTCAAGCTCTTCACATGCTGTAGGAAATATATCGGATGCTCGAGCGTGAAACGAAGATAGGCGCATAGGGAGAAAGTCTAGTGACGCCCGAAGGGGCTGCATTCGCGCGAATAACGCCAATAAACTCGAATCGTCCTGTGCCATAATTGGATTGGGTGAATTTGGGCTGAGTGGAAAAGCTGGTCCCACGCCAAATCGGCTGTTGGCTTGCAATCTCGTTTTCGCAGGTGGCGTCTCCTCGACGATAGTTTCCAACTCGTTTATATCCAAACCATCACTATTTGACTCCTGCATTAACGACCTGTGTCTCTTCTCCTCCATTTCGAATACTAAGCGCTTAAGAACATCGATTTCGTTCCCAATATCTCCAAGTACGGTATTCCATAATTCTTCCCACTCCATGGCAATCTCCACCGAGTTCTTGACTCCTTTCAGCATCTTCTTAATTTTGTCCCATTCCTTGAGTATTGTCTCGACTTGTAGGACCACTTTCTGAAGCTCGCCCGCGGTGACAGTTGCAATATCGGGTCGGTTCTGTAGCGATTCTATGGCAGAAACATAGACGTTGATAAGCTGCTCAAATCGTGTAATAGCATTGTCCACCTCTGCCAATCCCTCTCGACCACCAGCCGCAGCCCATTCTACGTCATCCTCCCCATCCAATCCAGAGATGACCTCAGAAGCCTTCTGTATCCAACTACGAATTTGCTCCGCGGCTCCCATTAATGCTTTGGACGCAGCCTTCGAATTTGGTATGGCGGAAACCTTGGTAGAGAGCGACTCCGCATCGGGTAACTGTAAGGAAGTCAATTGTGCAAGTTGGTTGGCAAAGGAAACTCGAGAAAGGGTGTAGACAGATCCGGCACGTTGCAATCCAAAGGGGTTGAAGTATGAGCCATCTGCAGAGGATTCAGAGGGTGTGGTTCCACCAGGCGGGGTGTCTTTTGAGATGGGCGCAGGCGGAATGTCGAGTTCTGCAGGACTGCTCACTCGCTCCAAGTGCGCTTGCTTAGTGTCGGAAAGTGCCTTGGTGCCATTTCCATTGACATGTTCTGGTAATCGATATTTCTGGTGCGAGTCCATATCGACATGCTCGGCATACGTGGCCATCGTTCTATCGCCTGCGCCCGAACTTGCGAGAGATGGTGACCTATAGCGGGTGCCCCCTTCGAAGACTCGCGAATCGCCAGATGTAAAGGAGCCGTTGAATGAGCCGTTGTAACTCCCACCAGTGACCTGCGGTGTTAAGTGGCCACTGGTGCCGCTCCAGGCTCGTCCTCGTCGTTCAATGATGCCAGACTGGGCCGAGCTAGTGCGGTGAATGTAGTCGAGCTGTCGAAGTTGATCCTCTGGGATCCGTCCGATTCGGTCGGCGGCGGGGGAGAGTGAAGTGGTTTTGGGTTTGGTCGTGTCTTTTCCAAAGCCCAACGCCTTGAGCCGTGCTGCGAGTCCCGGAGAAGGTTTGCGCGCCTGTCGAGTTCTGCGTTGGTCGCCTTTCTCTATTGATTCGTGGGGTTTTGGTGGAAGTGGTGGCAACGGCGTTGTCAGTGAATAGTTTAGGCTCTGCTGGCGATGGTGTTGTGAGTGGTGGTGGTGTTGCTGGACGCTCAAGCTTTGCAGGGGGAGAAATGACGCTGGGTCGTCTGGTGGACGCGATACAAGTGTACCGCCAAAGGCTGTCATTTCCTCAGTCGGCAATGGTTGGATTTTTGGTTGATTTTCGGCCAGAGATCAGAAATCTGTTCGCCTACCTGTGCGGGTGTGTTTTTTTGGTATCAGAGTGCCGTGTAATCCGTCTACATCAGCGAGCGTCTCACAAATAGCAGCCCACCACTGGAGGGCCTCAATATCCGACGCCTTCCCTTGCACTGGCACCCACTGACCACACTGGCTCGTGGTAAAGTGGCTTCCAGGCTCCGAGTGTTCGCTCACCAAGAGGCGTGCAGGGAAAGTGGAGTGGATTGGGAGCCAAGTACAGTACTTATGAAGCGCAGGCGGGCCTGTGTGCAATCCCAACCAACGGCCACGAATTGATGACCTTGAGACGAACTCTTTCGGAGAACTCTCCTCCAAACAACCCGACGAGGTGCAGTCGCCCGCGAAGCTCAATGCTGCGAAAAGTCCGGGACGCGATCAATGAGAAGAGCTGGATATGTATCTTCGACGTCAATCGATCTAATGCGGCAAAGAAAACTACGGAGCTCGATTGTTAGGCCAGCGAACGAAGGAAGCGTTTGAAGTATATTTAGGCTCCGAAGGAGTTGTAGATGCAATGCGCAGGGCAGGTCCTGTTCAGCTCCAGGCGCAGCAGCAACACCGATGATGAGCAACGAAGATGATTGAAGAGCAGTCAAGTACGAAGTAGCACAGATGTGCACAAATAATGCGAATCAAGAGGGGATTCAGCAGGTCAAGAGGACAAAATCCGATGCGCGTGTGCGATGCGCTGCGGTGCGATTAGAGTTCCCCCAAACACTGACTTTCACATCACCAAGAAACCAGCCATCTCAGTTCCATATCCACCTTGCGTCTATATGTTTCATCCGGTCACGACCAAGTGTACCAGGGTCAGAGAGCAGCTTCATTTACCCAGAGTTGCGTTACCAACTTTTATGATGGAATAATTTGAGCCTCAATTGGGAAAGGGAATTGCTTTTTTTTCGGACCAGGCTGATCACCACAGGGATTTCGGAGCGAAGACGATGGGAATTGGTAATTACATTAATACACGAGATGGAGAATATCACATGATTGAGATCTGAGATCCTGAGATCCTTCCAATTGAGCTGTTTGGTTTGAGAATATCCACATGTCATGTTGGATTGAGTCAAAGTGACCTCTCAGAGTCATCTCAAAAAAGAAATCCAAAACACATCTGTGGCGCTCTCTGATCAGCCTTGTTTGACTACGGGAACAAACGTCTGTGGAGGGAGGGGCAGGTCTTGTCTCGGGGATAAGGTTAATCATGAGATCACCGATTCTGTCTCATCGTTCCTTGCATCAGCATATCGAATTTCGAGATCGGAATGGATGTGTGGAGTATATAAATGTTTATTTTGTTTTGATATTTTTTTCGAAGTCTGGATATCCTTGCTCTGATTCTTTAATGCGCTCGTACAACATGGCAGCCGTTTGTTTACACGTTCGCCAAGTCCCCTCCCACACAGACAAACGTTGGTGAAGCAGGGGAGGAAGACCTAGATGGGATTATACCCGTGACCACGCTATTGGCTGGGCATCCTGTATCCGAGTCATGTTATTTTTGTAACGGAGGAACAAAAAGGACATCACCAATGATTAATCGCTTTCCTGTACTCGAGTAACCCATATGGCAAAGAAAGGACGCACTGACTATTAGTTGAGATGATGGAGAAAGGATTTTTGATGATAAAGTCATGTTCATAATTCGTAATATTCCTACTTCAGAGCTCAATAACTACCAAGTCCTGTGTACCCAGCCGAAAAAAAGAAAACGGCCCTTTCTTCCAAAACAAACGCGGACAATGGGAAATCTAAACCCTCCCATCCAAATTCCATCTCAAATGACGGAGGAAAAATTTCGCGAAAGACAGTACGAAAACTTTTGGTCTCTGACGAGATGCAGCGATGTATCGTTATTTACCACTTGATGACTCTCGTTGGGAAGAACTCATCAATGAGTTCCATGTAGTATGGCTATAGCGAGCATATTAGTATTCTATTCCACATGAAATATATTATTCACATACCTTCAACTTCTCAGCCGATGGAACATCATCGCTCTTGCTATACAAATCATAAGGGTTGAAAGCCTTCAAAGCCTTAAGCATCTCCTTGTCATGTTCGTTCATAAATTCGTAATAAGCACCACCACTGTGCCATGGGTAGAATGAGTGGTACCGGATCATAGCCAAAGCCTCAACAGGTAATGTGGATTGCTCCTTGGCGATATGGTATAGATATTCGTCATGTCCCCATGAGAGCATGATGTTATCTAAACCACAACCTGGGGTGTAGATTCCGTGTTTGGTTCCGTAGACGGGGTGGTCGTGGTCTGGGTTGCCTTTAAAGGTATCGGGATAGATGATTCGCTTATCGAAAGCACATCCTACTGGGAAGGTATCGCCAACAACATCCCATTGACCTTCAGCACCAAAGAAGAAGAGGAGCTTGCCGAGATCGTGAATCAGACCAGTGAGTTGCATCCAGCGGGGCTTTCCATCTCTTCGGATAGCTTCGGCGGCTTGGAGGAGATGCTCGATTTGTGACAATGAAGTGTCTGGGTCGGACTCGTCGATAAGGGTGTTGAGTTTCTCCATAGCCTCCCAGATGGTCATCTCTGCTCTGGTCTTGAATCTGAAATCATTTCGGGCCTTCAAGTTGTAGGCCACGGTTTGCTTCTCGTGTTGCTCTCGGTAAAAGTCCTTGACTTTGTCGCAGGCATCTTCATATTGTCGGAATTGGGTCTTGTCTTTGTCGGCATCGAATTCAGATTTCTCATGCATGCTCTTCTCCTTCTTCATATCAGCCTTGAGGACATTGACGGCATCGATGTTGTCCGAAAGGTCCTCGAGAGCTTGTCCATCTCTCTCGGCATAGACGGTTGTGAAGTGACCCATTTTGATTGTGTAGAATTTTCAAACGCTGTATGGAAATATCGGAGTTTTGTGTTTCTTACTATGATTATATCAGTGAGAGAGCTTATACCAAGATATTACTTCACTTACAAGCTTTCTTTATTCAACCCCTGATAAATTCTTTCTTGTGCAAGGTACAAGAAACAGAAGCAAAGATTGGGGTGTCCCGGAAAAGCAGCAATGGTGGAAAAGAATGAATTCTTCAGATATACAATAAGATTGAGAATCGGGCTCTGAGACCTGAATTGCTTGCTTTGTAAAGCGGTATTTCAGATAATCCCCAGGATATATATATCAGAAGGTGAATATCAATAAAGGAGTGAAGGCTTTTTCCCCAGATTTTCGACCCTCTATATCATCAGCCGACTTCGACGTGCCGCCTAGTGTTACGTGTGAAACTTGAAAAGACAAAAGCCGACTTTGCCATTATGGTCCCTGATTGGAGCTACCCTTCACGAGTCAGAGTTCAATGATTCCCTGCAAACGCCGTCGGCAACTGCTTTTGACAGAAGCATATTTTGAAGTACATGGGAGGAGTGGAAAAGGCAGAAGAAAAGTATGGGGCACCGGGGGGAGGAGGGGTGATGTCGGGGAGCAGTGGACCGGCTTTCTTGCCGTGGGGAAGAAGGAAGCGGAGCATGCTCTTCTACGTATCTGGAGGGGCGGTTTTGCCGGGATTCTGATAAGAAAATGTGCATGCAGAAAACCTGTTGTGGGTGGTTGTTTTTCTACTCTCTATCTAGCGGTCACGCCCAGAAACCTGGCGGCTGAGAGGCTCAAGGACAATGCCATCCCGACAACTTAGCAGAATGAAAATCTGTACCACTTTGTACTCTGCGACACCGCGTCAAGTTTTGTCAGCTGGCACTCCGTACGATACGAACTCGTCAGACGCGGAGGAGGTAAGGAAATCCTGGTGGATGTGACGTTGGTGGAGAAATGGGATGCGGGGAAAATCTACTTCCCCGTTTTTGTTACCGGAATAGCTCCGCCACGAACTGGAAGCATTCCTTGGGTTCTTGGTCACCACATCTCGAACCATTCTTGAGTACCATATTACCAAGTCTATCTCCGGATTCCCGGTGTACCAAGTTGCTGTGACGTTGCATCACTTAACTATATTTGTTCTGAAACTTTCAACTTTACATGACAACTATCCCTAGATCATTCGTCTCCAAGACGTACCCAAACCAACGTCTCGGGAACATCTGGATTTCCCCTGTACCTATCCAAAAAACGACGCAGGTAATCAGTATCGTTTAAGTTGAGCGAATCCGAGCGCTTTCTATTGTCTCCATACCGGCGGCATGGCTCATCAAGCTCATGGCAAGTAACAATCTTAGTACTCACAGTTCCCCTCAGACGAACACTAGCAATATACATGCCCATAGCATACGGATCCGCATGGTAGATATTCGCTTCCTTGGGCAAAAAACAAAAACGGATCCCAACACATCTCGCTTTCTTGAAACCTGCCAGCCAAGCTGAATATGCCTCCTTAAAATCAGCAGCCATATATCGACCATGGAACCGCTCCCCGGTTATTAAACCACAATTCAACACCCCCTTTCTGAGGGAAGGAAGTGTATTTAATGTCGAAGAAAGTCGGATTGCTGTAAGTCCGAGATATCTATCTTTGTGGTAAGCAAATATCTAATGGATTTCAGGTTTTTTAAGTACCCACCCAGCATATCTCAGATCCACAACTACATTTCGTATGTGCGTCAAAATTGTTTTCGCGAATCCTCTGAACTGCCAATGGTTTTCTGCGTCCAGTTGAAATTCCGTACTAGGGCGCATCAAGTCGAGAGCTTCTACGCAGAGTTTCTCATCGTGGACCAAAACCCTAACCAGAGCTGGCAGGTGTTCCAGCTTAGTTATCTTTGCGCGGTGGTTCACCAGACAATACTCAAAGATTTGCGTGCGGATCTCTGGTGGTAGTTTGTATAGAGTCGTGTTTGTCCGCGATATCTGAGTCGCCTCGCTTTTGCTGGAGAAGGCTCGGCATTTGGAAGATGCCGACATGATGAGGATGATGGGCCCTCAGGGGGGATTGAGTTGAAGCATCTCGGAGCAGAGGTTCCATGTAAATGGTTGCAGCTGAGTGCTTCATGAACTTCGAGAGTGGTGACCGCGAGGATCTGTGTTAGCGCCAACGGTAGCTCGCCCACTTGAGACTACTCAGCTCCTCATGACATACGCATATACTATTTCATCTTCCAGCTTGAAATCGCAGTCGTTGTCTCGTATTTCAATCCCGATACTTCAGGTTGGACTAAACAAATGTCCCTTGGAAACCTTCGTATATCTATCATTATGCAAACAAGCATAAAGTACCCAAAGTTACGGCTATACAGTAAAAATTGTCGGAATATTCTCTTCTCACGAGGATCTCAGATGGAAAAGTATCGCAAGACGCTTGTTATAAGTGAAGTAAAGACTTATCAAATCTCAATTTCCAGGAACATTTTCCCAAGCAGCATAATTGGAGTTCAGCTCATTTCAGAAAGAAATTGTACCAATTCATGTTTCGATCGTAACATGGTAACCACTTTCTTTACCTTCCATTGATGCAAGCCCGACTTATATGCTCCACTCTCCCAAGGAAGGAGAATGAGAAAGAATGAAAGGGAAGGATGGACTTTCTTCGTGTTTAAGTGAAGAGAGAATGTGGAAGATTCGACGTCTTTTTATTATCTTTGCAAGTTTAATTAACTTAGAGTCATCCATAGGGATGAAAACAAGTAGGGGGAGAACCCGTTCTGACCGAAACATGAGACTCGATTTTCGGATTAGTGACTACCTTCTTCCAACCAGCCATGCAGTACCTTTGTAACCGATACTGTGTGCGGATGGTCATTCCCCAGGATGGTTTTGAAAAGTACGACGCATTCAACAAGCAGCTCCAAGGCCTCCTTCTTGCGACCTTGGCAGCGCCATATCCACGCCAGATTGTTTGAGCAAGTGATTGTATATTTGTGCTCCTTACCAAGAGTCTTCTCGCTTATCTCCCTGGCGCGTAGCTGAAGCTCTTCAGCCTGGTCATACTTCTGGTGGTACTGGTAAGTTGATGCCAAATTACACATGTGCGACAATGTTTCGTCATGTTCGGGGCCGAGTGTTCTGCTGGATCTTTCAATCAAATCAAGAAATAATGTGATCGAATCGTCCAATCGTCCCTGGTGTTTACAAGATAAAGCCAGGGTGGCGGAGCTTGCGATAGTATTGATATGATCCAGGCCATACACTCGGGTTGACACCTCAATTGTTCGAAGAGAGCACTCTTCAGCATCTTGCCATGCGTGTAAGTTTTGATAAGTCGAGCCTAAGTTGATCATGGCTACTAAAGTTTTGGGGTGTTCTAGCCCATGATGGCTGGCCAATGTCTGAATAGTATCGCAAAGCAGATCTTCTGCTTCCTCATAGCTTTCAAGGCGCCTATAGCAATCTGCGAGGGCGGATTTGCAAGTCAAAGTAATTAGATGCTCCCCTCCTAGTTCCACTTCCGCGATGTCTATTGTTCTCAGAAGCAACACTTTGGCCTCCTTGGGTTTTGATTGGGCTATAAAAGTCAATGCCAAGTTGCCCATACTGTCCACAACTAGAGGATTATTTTCTCCCAGCAACTTCTTCCTGACATTCATGACATATTCCTCCATTTCTACAGCCTCATTCAACAATTTCTTCTGATCCCGATACGTCTCCGACATTGCTGCCATACCACCAAGAGCTAAGGGGCTCTCGCTACCGAATTTTGCTCTTGCGGTGTTCAAGACAACCAAAGATAGCTTCTCAGCTTCAGCATAATTTACCAGATGTCCCAATTTCCACGCCACACTCGTCATAATTTTCAAAGTCGAAGGATGCTATCACCCAAAGCCTGACTTCTTTTTTCCAAGGCTCTGCGCTCGAGGGTCTCAGTTCTTCCATTTCCCTTGCTCGGTATGTTGAAGCTAGATTAGTGATATTGGTGTAACTAAGTCTCACAACTACCCGAAAGATAAAATACAATCATCATTGCGTATTCGTTCGACAGGGAATCATTTCAAGCGCACAGGCAGATTTGGAAAAGGGGAAGTGAGATCCAAGGTGAAGAAGACACAGGTGCGTCGGCGAATTCAAGGAATAGATCTATTCACCGCGTGGCAACTAACTCACCTGATATAATACTCGGTAGAGCATGTATTCGCTTTTGTCCCTCAAACCAGGTGAATATCATGGATGCTTCATCAGGCTGAGGAACAGCAGATAAGACCTGAGATCCCCTCAACCTCCCCACCCTCTCCCAGGATCCTTCTTCATCTCAACACTCTGGTTTCGTACCACTCCGACTTTATTACCCACTGAATACAAGTGTTGCGCAAATGGAAGACAATGGCAGAGATGACAGAGCCCCATAAGAATGGGTGCGCCAAGTCACCGCCCGCCTCGATCACACGCGAGGAAGATACAGTGTTGAATGTAATATCACCAAAACCATCGCCTCTCTGATTATATTCACTCTTGGAACCTGCGGCTGTGCTGTCAACCCTTGAAAGTACCAATGCCGAACCTTCGACCAACATGCTTAATCCAGCCAGCAAAGACCATGGAAATGATCCGGTGAGCATTTATCCTAATACGAAATTCACCCTTATAAATAATTGTAACTCAGCATCGACCTCCAGCAAACTTCTCTGACCTTCCCACCGAGCTGAGATTGCAAATCTATGAACACGTACTTCCTGGCCCAGAATACGTGTTTATATTCAAAGAGTCTGAGGAGTTTCGAAAGAAGGTACCGACGTCCATCTTCGCGAATCAGTTGAGACATAAAAACATACAAATAAGACCTATGTTACTTCTCAATCAAGAAGCACGTCAAGTCGCGCAAAGATATTCCGTCATAAACCATGCTCACACTAGCCAAATATTTTACTTCGATGTAAAGCAAGACACGCTTTTGTTGGAGTCAGATATCCGAGTGATAAGATCCGAATATCTGAAGCGCAATTATGAGGTACCTCTACTAGGATTTGAGCATGTGCAGAAATTCGCAATCTTCTTTTATTACATCGTGTAGAAACATCGAAAAGCGATGAAACTGAGAGGCCTCCCTAGCATGAAAAAGCTTGACTTGATCTGTTGTTTCCCACACGAATTACTCTCTCCGAACGAGAGGCAAAAGAGCGTTTGTTGCCATGGCCTTCCCAAATGGCTGGTTGATCATTGGTTTCGAGAAGATTCACTTTTTTGGGATGATATTGGGTTTCGCATGAAAGAAAATATTGTGGATTTACAGTTATTTAATCTCGAAGAATGGGAAGAGACCCAGTCTTAAGCAAAGGGAGAATATGAACTGATATGAACTGCTCATGGAGTCCCCATATTGGCGGTCTATCGGTTCGCGAAATTGCAGCACTATTAGGGCAGGATTCTGGCAATCCTACAAATCAAGGTAATTTAGGGCGTGAACAACAACCACTTACTTCAAATCCTTTCGCGCAACTGTTTTGAGTGATCTACTATCTTTCTCTTCAGCCATTTCAAACTGTTACTCTCTGTACTTAAACAGCCTAAGCCTGATGCGCCCTCATGTGTGAGTACGGTGATTAATTGGGTCGCTTTCGACCACCAGCGATAGCCAGTAAGCCAAATCAAACCCTAAGACAAAGAAGGACATAGGATAGAAGATCTCAGATTGTAATTCTCTACCATAACCGGCCTTCTTGTGTAACGTGCTGTCTGATTCAGCTTCCAGTTTACCTAAAGATCATGGCTTCTGCCTGGAAATATACGTAGAATCTGTTTAGAAAAGAGAGGAAGTGAGAGAATGCTTCGAATCTAGAAACACAGTTTGTCATTCCTCAGCATGTATAATTAGGCCTTCTCATAAGACGCTGTCAGTAAAGCTTGAAATCTCATAATGTTTTGTCGAAATCCACCACTGTTGGTTAATTGCCCGACACCTGCTATGATATACTTTATTAGCTGATCGTGGCATTTGTCAGTTCTTATCCAAACCTACACTTGTTTTGCCAAAAGCTCAAGTAACACGAACCCAATAGATACAGTGTTGCCAATGGATGGTTAACCATTAATTTTATAGCAAAACCAGACCAGACCACTAAGCCAGAGGCTATAACTAAACCAAACCGTCATAAATAGTAGTTAACTAATAGTAAAGTAGTTAACTAATAGGATAACAGTAACTATTAGTTAACTATGGTAATCGTAGTTAACTACTAGTTAATTAATAGTAACTACTATCAACTATGAGTTTTAAAAAGTCATATTTTATAAAAGAAGCTATTTACATATCTAATTCCTATAATCTAAAGTAATCTCTCCTTTATTATAGTATACTTAAATAATAGATTTTACTAGAACTCTAAAGGAGAACTACCTTATATAGTAGCTAGTAGGTATAACATAAGCTAGTTACATAACTATTTCCTATATATATTTTGATAATAGTAGTTAGATAATTTAAATAGAAAATTCCTCGGAATGTTAGAATAGTATTAAACGTATCACGTATATAATAACTAAGCAAAAACCATTAAGGAACTAATAAATAACCGATTTACATATAAATCTATAACCAGACCACCATATATTAATGGTTTGCTCAGAATTTAATAACCAAACCACTAATAAGCTATTGGCTATCGTAACCATCCATTAATAACCATCCATTGGCAACACTGAATAGATAGCTACTTGAATTGTTGTATTTAATTGGGTAAATCGATAATTTTACACGAGTGCTTTTTAATTAAGTACTTATAAAACATCTGTCATAAGTGTCTATTTATAGATACCTTTTTTTGTAACAAAACAATAATACTTAAGTTACCCCACTATCATCTTGGTATGAAAGCAGCATCTGGCATTCGCAGATACGAACGGCGCGGGCCGATTCGGAGCCACAAGCCGATTCGCGGGACCAGCCTCGCTTAGGAACTGATCGTCGATCAATTGCAGCATAACACAAAATGAATGCATGTGGTAATAGATAGGACGCCCGATTCATATGAGATGAAATTCTAAAAGGGGGTAGAATTCTACTATGGTTCTATATAATTTCTCGACCCCGCAGCGAGATCTTCGTTTTCTTGCAACTCACCAAAACTCCGCTTTCACTTTCCATAAAGTATACATCAAAGATATCAAGAGGAATCATCACTCGGAAAATGCCTTGTAAGTGCTAATTCGCATCGACTTTGTAGTTCCCTCACTCCACTCTGTGGACTGCAAACTCAACATGAGGATTACTTCAGCATCTGATCATGACCACGACAATTCCTCGACAACCGGGGATCATGGCCATGAGGCTCCCTCCGGTCAAAGCAAAAAGGGCCCCCAATTGCCACCAGGAGCATTTGATCCTCGAAAGGACAAAAACTATCAGGAGACGGTGAAAGGCAATGTTCCTCAACAAACACATCGGAATGAGGTAGCAATTTCCCTACCATTGTAACCTACTTTCAAGGCTCATATTAGTTTAGGGTCAACATGGGGTTGGAGACCAAGAAGACTAGGCAGGGCGTTCATTAGCGAAGGGAAAAGATAGGGCAGGAGGGGCATTGAGCGCAATGTGGCAGATTGATACTTCGTTTATTGTGTCAAAAGTTTCGTGGTTGCGAAGGGTCATAGTGAGCTTCGTTGTTTGACATTTGACACTTGAAGTCGGTCTTTATCCACGCGAAGAGAACCAATTCCTTCAAGACCATATAATTTCGCCCCCTTAACTATGAGCTCTCACCACATCAGGTTAGACTACGGAATAACACGGCAAAGGTAATATGTAAATTTGTGTCAGAAAGACCAAGACCCATTCAAATCGTATTCATAAAGAGTTGCAGACTTCTATGACAAGTCTCGCTTAGTCGTGATTCTTCCCACGTTCAAAGTAGAGAAACTCAAGCTCTTAAATTTTCCTTGGCCCTCGAACTATTATAAAAATAATTCAACACAAACCCAGAATTTGCGCTCTGGTAACTCGAACCAAATTCTGATTTCTTCATTAGCTCTTAACTTCCAGTAAGTCTTGGTTATTTAAAAAGCATATTGCAGCATAGGCGAAAAGACTTTCACTAGTGAACGTGGACAACGGTCTTACAAATGGCTTTGGTACTTGGCAGTATGCGGCAGCAAAAGGAGTGACTATGACATCTTATACAAACATCCACTGACTTTGAGCTTGGACCTAGCCTTCAGCTTCAAGCAGCCCACCGAACTTGGAACACTTTCGCTTTTTGTACTCATTCCCAGTACTCATTCCCAGTCAATTCCACATTGCACTAAACTTCTCTTACAGTTCCTCTACGCAGTACCTCTCAAGACCAACTCCATCAGTCATCATCATGACGAGCCAAGAAGAGCGCATCAAACAGAACAAGGAGGATGAGGAAACTCAATCGATTATTGATGGCATCGAGCGAGAGACCTCCTTCAAGCCCCTCAAATTCCTCGATGTCTTTCCCGATTTACCTTCTGACAGTCCAAAGAACCATCCTCGCATTATCGACGTAGATAGTTTCCGCGAAGGCACAACGAAGAGAGAGTTAAGAGTCATCGATGCAGCCGTCACCTGTCTATACAACTACGATCCCCAGGCCTTGAGCAAATTTCTCGACCCCAGAATTGAGAAGTTTGTATTCTTCAGAAGCCTCGGTAGTAATCTGAGTATGCCCTTCAAACTGATCCGGACGAAGGATATCATAGAAGTGAGTCGCGGCTCTATAAAAATTGAACAGTGTAGCAAACTTACAAACATAGGCAGGCTATCTGATGGAGGGAAGCGATGCAAGCAGCCAGGAATGGACGGATGTTTGCGTTAGGCTGCGTGGAAGTGACGATCTACGGGAGTTCCACTTGCTCCACACCATGACACTCTGGGGTTTTGGCGAGCCGAAAATCAAGACTCAAGCGTCTCTCATGATCGACGATCAGCTGACTTTAGCCCAAGCAATGCTATTCAACGGAGAATGGCTGAAGAACGGAAATGTCGAATTCTCGGTCGAAACTGGTGCACTGGGACCATTCGATATGATAGAGGTGGACATCAATACATGTAGATACTGTTCCAATGATACTGGACCCAAAGACAAACCTCTCAAGAGATGCCCGAGGTGTCGATGCGCCAATTATTGCTCCCAGAAGTGCTACAAATCTGACTGGAAATGGCACAAACATCTTTGTAATTGAAGGCAGGTCCATTGGTTATGGTCAAGATATTCACGAGCTGGCTCGATGATTCTATTGGGGGCTCTAAAGGGGTGTGAAACGGCTCTTTTTTGAGGTTGTCGATTGATGAAATGGAAGTGGCGGAAGAAAATGGTGTAAAGTTGTGCTGGGAAGTGAAATGGAAAGCGTCGTTCCTCTAGTCTTCAAATTTGCCGCGTGTCATTCTTCCGAATCCTCGATTGTGACCAACCTTATCATCGCTATATCAGAACCAGAAAGCTAGTAAGTTTCTACTAGAGAATTAATATCTAGAAATAGCACATCTCAGCAGGTGCTCAAATTGACTTTGGCATGTCATTCATGAGAACTAGCACCAAAACCAAGAGCAAAAGCGATAATAAGGGAGACTAGCAAGCGAATCCTCCATTTCCATATCATACATACCAATAACCAAAGACCCGATCCATCCTACCAAAATGAATGGCAAAAGAACCTCCTACCAGGTTCAATAACCAGACGAACTGAGTTTTTTTTTTTTTCTCCAGTGTAGAGCCCCAACCGACCGATCTCTTACTTCCTCGTCGTATGCGGAACAGTTGGTGTATGCGGCGCTTATGGGTGGAATCACACACCGACTGACTGGGCCAGGCGAGCAGGTTAAATCCCAGTTTTGACGACGGTGGATGTCTTGTTTGGATACAAGTAGAATGTTCGCTTAAAATGCGGTGACTATTTGATTGTGCGACAAATCATGTCACGGCATTAGGGGCAATATGCTCCGAGGTTCTGGCTGGTAGTACCATCTTGAGAAGCTACACGACTTTTCTCAGGTTATAAGGCGTTTTTTTATGCTCAAGGATTCCACATTATTTTTCTCTTGACTTTACAACTCTCTAAAAGGTGAGTGCGAGTTCACTGATGGAAGACCATTTTAGATTGCCGCAAAGGAAGGCTATTTAATTCAGTGTCAGCTTGACTAACTATCAGAATAGCTGAGTAGTACAAGGAGTGGTCTTATACGTAACTACAAGATAAGTATTCGGAATGGTAAATGATTGGTAGTTAGAACGCAAGAGACTTAACTATTTACCAAATTCAAGGAAACTCGTCAATCTAGAATCTTGGGTTGAGAGATAGGGGTTCAAGACATACTCAAACAACATGTACTTTTAATTTTCTTCTAGATACTGAATCGATCGTTTGGTGTTACCAATACCTCCATTCACCAACTTTAGGTTTGCAGCAATGTCTACCTTGATAAATCCCAACAATAGTTTTTCGGAATATATCCTAGTACTAGGGATTTCAAATATCTTATTGTTTAAGTGTAATAGTGAAAAGCCATTTGTTCCTTGTTCTTCTCGCTAACTAACAAAATTAAGCGATTCAAGAACAATATATTTTGAGAGATTGAAAGAATACTTAAGAAGATGTCATAAGCAATACGAACCATACGGAGTATAAGAGAACTTATATCTAAGTAGGTAGGTAGTTGCGAACTAGAGACTCGAGGTCTTGTGACCCCTGTCAGCCGATAAGCCGATTAGAAGGCTTGGCGCGAAATAAAGTTACAGAAGAAAAAGCAGTCCGAGGATCATCAACCGCAACAGCTTGCGCCCACCAATCCACAGCTGTGACATCCCCAAGAATCGACCTGAAATACCTGCGCCAACATGAGGGGGAAACGATCGAAGCAATATAAGAAGCTCATGCAGCAGTATGGGCTGAGTTTTGGATTCCGCGAACCGTACCAGGTTTTGGGTAAGCTCCCCGCATTGCGACAACTTTCGAGCAGAATGCTAACCATTCGCGTTTACAGTCGACTCGGAAATTGTTAGAGACGCGGATAGATTCAAAATGGACCTGATTGGAGGTCTGGAGCGGACTTTGCATGGTCAAGTTAAACCCAGTGAGTAGCAATGCCCATTTCCCCTCCAAGGCAAGGACTGACGAGAAAAGTGATCACGCAATGCTCGATGCGACATCTCTACGCCGCCTCATCCGAACCAGGCGTCTCTTATATTATTAATAAAGCAAAAACTTACGAGCGACGTCGATGCGGACATCGTCCAGAAGATTTCCCTGAACCACTTAGTGAGCAGGAATGTCTCGCGTCAGTAGTAGATCCCAAGGGCAACAAGATGAATAAGAACTGTTACGTTGTAGCGAGTCAGGAGTTAGAGGTTAGGAAACATATGAGAGGTGTTATGGGAGTGCCGTTGGTATATATCAATCGCAGTGTTATGATTATGGAGCCGATGGCTGGAGCAACTTCAGATAATAGGGAGAGGGAGGAGAGAGTCAAATTCAGGGCAGGACTGAAGAGAGGAAGCGGCAGTATGAAGAGGAAGAGGGAGGATGAAGAAGGGGAAGAGAAGGGAGAGGATGGTGAAAACACCACCAAGAAGAAGAAGAAGCGGACAGGCGTGAAGGAACCTAATCCGTTGGCAGTCAAGAAGTCGAAAAAGAAGAAGACAGAAGAAGATGGTGGTGACAAGAAGAGTGCTGCTGCCGAAGGGTCAAATCTGGAACAACCGGTGGCATCCGAATCAGGTGGAAAAAGAAAGCGGAAACGAAGACCCAGGTCTGGTGCTGGCGAGAACGCCGAAAATACAGAAGCCAAAGTCGTTGAAGCAGGAGAGACTGTTGAAGAATAGAGTATCAAGTATCGGGATTTGGAGGGCGCTCTGGAGTACTTGCTATTAATACTGTTTGTTACCCCGGACCATTCATTTTGAGTCAATATATACCCAACTGCAAAGACTTGGTACGGCAATTCAACAATTAGCTTCAGGAATAATGCTTGTTCGGCGCTAAACCGGGCTATTGATTGTAACAGATAAGTATTGGTACCTGCCCTGGTGGTACAAGCGTGTGACAACCGATAACCCCTCCGGCGGCTCAATTCAAATACACACGTTCCTGCATGTAGCCGTTGATCTTTCTATGATTGACTTTTGAGAGCTCAATAAATGCATTGCGTATTTGAGAAGTTGTCAAAATACAGTTTTCACTCTTGTTCCAATAATACTCTAGCCTCTGGAATACTCAGCCACATACGGCAACGGGAACGGCTTTGAGAAAAGCCCACTTTTAGTCTTTTACCCCTGCATCTGACGATTCACAGCACTCTGCCACTCTCCAAAGAACGGGGCTACCGGAATTCAAATCTTAGTGCTCGACCATGTGTCAATACTTCAGACGATTCACTCTGCTCACAACCTAATTTGACGAGCTCAACACGACTTGCTAAGAATCATTCTTACCCAGGGTGCTCACTGTTTGTCTGCCAGCCAGAATCAAGCAACCTTGGATTCTCCACGCGACCCCCGCGACATCGACCTGGCGGTGGGAAGAGCAACATGCCCGAGAGCGAGGCTACCACCGCCAGCACAGAAAAGCCTGCTGCGGTGGGGAAGAGTGGTGGCGATGTAGCACAGGTTACGGTTGCCATCCAGGAGCCCGTGGAGCTGGACGATTTCGGGCTGCCGATCAAGAAGCAACCGATTCCGGTACCGACGGAGGCAGATTCGAGCGACGAGGATGAATTGAAGGAAGGAGAAAAACATTCAGAGAAGGGGGACGTAAAAGAGGCAGAAGAGGGAGCTAATGGGCATATTGAGGGTGCGACCGTTCTATCCGCAAAGACGAAAGCTTCACAAACAAATAGGCAACAGTCAGAATCGGACAGTGAAAACGATGACTTCAAAGATGCGAGATCTACACCAAATACTGGAGCGCAAACCCTTCGAGAGCCTCTGCCGGAAACGAAGCCTGAGCAACAAGCTCCCCCAGCAGCCATTTCAAAGCTGGAATTGTACGAGCCAAAGGAGGACAAAAAGAAGTCTGACATTGCCCCAGACCTCGAAGGCGAAATGCAGGAAATGCCAATTGTCAAGTCCGACTCGAAAGAATCGGAAACGAAAGGGCCGACCGATGTTGCAGCTCAAGATGAAAAGAAAGAGCCTACTCCTAGTGGCCATACTCGACAGGCGAGCTCCAAAGGGGCGGGTATTTCAGAGTGGTCTCATCAGCAACTTGCGCCGAGGGAAGAAGTTATCCCCGATATTGAAGAAGATGAATGGCAGACCATGCCGGCCTTCGCACCATATGACATGTACGATGATGATAATAAGCTTATTGCCAGGGAGGTGACGGGTTTTGACGATGATAATGATGCGTATGCAGGCTTAGGTGGTGCAGGGAGAGGATATACCAGAGTACAATTGGACGATGATGCCCAATCCGCTACCAGTCTTGACGAAAATACCAAATACTTATTTAAGGAGCCCAATGGGACTGGGGCTGGCGAAGACGCAGACGACGATGAGCAACGAGATGCATTGTCGCAGATGCAAGCCACGAAGGATCTCTTGACAGAAGGGCAGAGAATTGCATACGTGGGTATGACGAGACTTATACTTTCTAAAATGTTGGAGCAAGTAGAAGTTGCGCCAACAACGAGGACAGCCAAGAAAGAAACGAGCATGTCTGTTGAGGCAATGAAAATGTGGACTCAAAAGATGATGGTTCGATTGTATGCACATATGGAAATTAGTACGGAGGAGCAGATTATGATTGAACAACTTTCTGAACATGGCGTTGTTCCATCAGACCTCAGCGCCACGCTGATGCAGAATGCCCGGGTCAAGAACCCAATGGCCGAAAACGAAAAACCGCTTCCTACGCCCAGTGTCACCTCTCCTGGGCATTCTGTGCATGAATGGGACAAGAATTGGGACAAGAGCGCCAGAAAAATGTCTACCTCTTCCGGCCCTTCATTGAAGTCACCTCGAGTACCGGAAACTCCTAAGCTGTATTCGGAAGAGGAAGCTGCTGCACCACCTCCTGCTTACAAGCAGAACGATGGGGAGGATCTTCCAGAAGTGCGGACGCCATCACAGCTTCCAACTACCCAGAATATTGACATCGACCTCAGATGGACAGTTCTCTGCGATCTATTTCTCACCCTAATTGCTGATTCCGTTTACGATGCGCGTTCTAGAGTCCTGCTTGAAAAAGTGGGGGAGAACATGCAGGTTTCATGGCTTGAGATTTGTAGATTTGAGAAGCGTGTGACAGATGCGTTGGAAATGCAACAATCAGCAGAGAAAGAGAATTGGAACGAGGACGAACACAAAGAAGCCAGAAGAAAAATGGCTTTGAAAAAACGTTACATGATGATGGGTCTCGCCACAGTCGGTGGTAGTTTGGTTATTGGTCTTTCAGCCGGATTACTCGCTCCTGTCATTGGAGCTGGTCTTGCCGCTGGGTTCACTACCATTGGTGTTGCAGGTACTAGCGGGTTCCTTGCTGGTTCTGCTGGAGCAGCAATAATCACTTCAGGCGCAGCTGCTTCTGGTGGTGTTATTGCTGTTCGGGCGGCAAATCGAAGAACTGGGGCTGTTCAAACCTTTGAATATAGACCGCTACATAATAATAAGCGAGTCAACTTAATTGTCACTGTGTCGGGTTGGATGACTGGAAAGGTCGATGATGTACGCCTTCCATATAGTACAGTTGATCCAATCATGGGCGATATTTACTCGGTGCTTTGGGAGCCAGAAATGCTCAGGAGTATGGGAGATACCATCAATATCCTTGCGACTGAGGTAAGATTTGCCCAAGAAATACGTAAATGTATATTGACACAATGTAGGCATTGACCCAGGGTCTCCAACAAGTACTTGGTAGTACCATATTGATCAGTTTGATGGCGGCTCTGCAACTTCCTGTTGTGTTGACCAAGCTTGCCTACCTTATTGATAATCCCTGGACTGTCTCGCAAGTACGAGCTGATGCAGCTGGACTTATTCTTGCTGATTCCCTTATTGACCGTAATTTGGGCACCCGTCCTATCACATTTGTGGGTTATTCTCTTGGCTCCAGAGTTATCTTTGCGTGCTTAAAGGAACTATCCAAGCGAGGAGCTTATGGCCTCGTGCAAAACGTTTTCTTGTTCGGCTCTCCTGTTGTCGCGAAAAAGGATGAGTATCTCAGAGCTCGATCAGTAGTTGCAGGCAGATTCGTGAATGGCTATGCTAAGAATGATTGGATTCTTGGCTATTTGTTCCGTCTAACGAGTGGTGGTATTAGTCGAGTGGCCGGTCTTGCTCCTGTCGAGGAGATTCCAGAACTTGAAAATATTGATGTCACGGAATTCGTTCCAGGTCATATGTCTTATCGCACAGCGATGCCGCGACTACTTCGAGAAGTTGGCTTTGTTGTGGAAAGTGACGAGTTTACTGAGATTGAAGATCCCGATCCAGAAAATCATTCTCAGCGTCAACGAGAATTGATCAACGAGATTGAAGAGGCACGAAAGGAATTCGAGAAGCAAGAAAAGGAAAAAGAGTCCAAAGGCAAATTTGGATTCTTTAGCCGGAAAAAGAAGGCTGCTGTGAAGAAGCAAGAATGGGAAACTTATGAAGAGACCAAGCCCGACCCGGCCAAATCCGATTCAGCAACTCCCAAACACACACCTTCATCTAGTGGCAATGACGGTATTCTCTTTGATGTTGATGCAATGCGAGCTGAATTGGCGACTGAACAGATGGAAGTCAAGGAACTGAAATCCACTCTCCCTCCAATGAAATTGGACCTAGCAAGTCCATCTATCCCATCATCCTCCGTCCCTCGACAGACTCTTCGAGAATCTAAGATTTACGAGCCGGGAGGAATGCTCACAGTCGATGGCTACAGATCTTCAGCCTCCTTATCTCCACGAATTTCTTCCAGTAACGATTATGCGGCTTATGGAAGCTCCGATTACAATACATCTCGTTTAATCCTCCACCAGACAGGTTTCGGGCAGGAAGAGGAGATACAAATGACCTTTGATGAGCCTTACCAGTCCAAGTCGACAAACTCTTCGATAAAACACCTTCCTGCTTTGCCTTCTCCTATGCCATCACCTAGATTGCGAGAGACTGAAGTAAACCTCCAACGACCGGAATTGAAGACCAGTTCCACAACCCCATCAACATTACCATCTATGAGTTTTGGCCATAATGCGTGGGCTGACGATGACGAATTTGGAGCCGAGAAGGAGATTCAGATGACTTTTGCATAATGACAGATGACAGATTGTCCATACTCATTACCCCTTTTATCATTCATGACGGACATGATAATAATTAGATGATATTGTTTTTTCTCTCATTCGTTCCTCTTCTACTGGTTGGATTTTTACAGGGAGGGCTTTTCTGAAGGAATTGGTGATCCCTATCGGTTGGGTCTTTGGAACGAGTTTTTCATTTTTCTTTCTTTACGGATTCAGAAAATAAGTGGTGGTTTGACACTGCTAGATTGTACATATATGGTTGATTGATTCATAGGTAGTTTATCTCTCCTGCGGGTTGTCTGTTGGGTATTCATGGCATACATTGCGAGCGTGCATTGTTGCTTGGTTGGTGGGAACTTTGAAGGTTGATTTATTGATGAGGAAGGAAAAGGATGATGGATGTAAGGCAAGGGAAGGTCGGATTGTGATGAGGGATGCGTGGGTTTGGTAGGTTACACAGTTTTGGTAATTGGGCATGGAATACATATTATGTCCCTGTTTTTCTTTTTCCTTTGTGAGGTGGCAATATAGTACGTGTTTCGAGATGAACTTCTGGACCGACTTCTTCCTACCTTTAGGCTTTCGGACTTATACTTGCTATCCCAGTACCGAAATAGCCCGGGATCTGAATGGGCTTTGACCGTCTTCATATGAGCAAGCGGTACAACCTCCTTTCCAATCTAGATCTTGCGATTGGAGGGGATGCATATGGGTATTGACACCAACCAAATATCCGGGATTTTTCATATCAGTCAGTGCATGCACATGCATATTCTAGTGAAACTATTGAGTTCTTATGCGTGGCTCACAATGAGTAAGATATGGAAGAGAAATGTCGGCTGGTGTCACTCGGGTGATGTCGCTACGGGCCCTTCCGTGAGATACGAGGGCGGTGATGTTCTATCAAAGAATGTCGTGCACCTATCGTGAAAGGGGCCTAGAAGAAGATTAACGAGGGCGATATTGATAGACTCGCATCTGTGTTCTTGACGGGAAGGGTTTGTTGTCTAGGGCTGAATCAGCGCCGGGATGGCGACCGCTGTTTTACTTTTATATATCCGATGTTTGGTGACAGCATTCTTGGTGCATGAAAATACACTCCTGGCGGCGAGGAACCGATGACTTGGGAGAAGGGAGCGTTTGTTAATTGAAGGACTAGTACATGGATACCTGCGTACTTCATGCGGTCCTTTCTCGTGGTGGTAGGCCTGCATTCAGGTTTCTTTGATGGTTGACGCTGCAGTTACACAGACTGAGGCTGACTTGGATTTCGTGTGTCCCGAGAAGACATCGTGGACGAGTTATTTCCATCCCTTTTTTTCTTGTTCTCTTTTAGTTTGCTTAGAACATGTTGCCGGCTTTTTTTCTTGACTGAGGTTGCTCAGGCTTTTATTTATTCCCTTTTTCTTAGAGTTACCCGTTGCTTGCCGTGTTTCTTTGCTAGTGGCAATTGAAATACAACACCTACCTACCTTTACACATCTACAGCTCTTTCTTTCTTCGTCAAAATAATAGGAATCTGGTTGAGACCACAATGTATGTTGCAAGAGTATCCACGAGGGTACCGCTCTCCAAACAGACTGCGTCGCATCTTTCTAAGGTCGTAGCAGCCAATTTTTCACAATCATGTTCTGGCTCCCTTCATCGCGTTGGTCTTGGTGCGAGTCCAGTACTTCATACTTCACAATCTCATCGTGAGTTCTCTTCAACGCCCCGAGCAGCGTTGAGAGATTTCTTCCCTCAGAAGGAAACGGAATTGATCCGGAAAACCAAACCAGCATGGGAACATCCTGAGTACGTATTTCACTTCCCATCCCTACTTCACTCCAAGAAGTGAAAGCACAAACAGATATAATCGGAACTGATCAACTAACTTCAACCAGCTTCAGCTACGAAGACATGAAAACCAAGGTCTTCTACGCCCACCGCGAACCAGCCGATTTCTCAGATCGCGTCGCATTATGGATGGTCCGCCTTTTAAGATGGGGAACCGACCTAGTAACGGGCTACAAACATGATGTCGAAGTACCAAAGAAAATCGGTGACACCAATGCCGTTGCAGAGACGAAACCGTATGGTATGAGTGAGCGAAAATGGTTGATTCGAATTATATTTTTGGAATCTGTTGCGGGTGTGCCAGGGATGGTTGCGGCTATGTTGAGGCATTTGCATTCGATGAGGAGGTTGAAGAGGGATAATGGGTGGATTGAGACGCTTTTGGAGGAGAGTCAGAATGAGAGGATGTTAGTATTCCTTCTCCCTTCTCCCTCCCCTTTTCTTTCTTTTCTAGTTGGCGTTGAAATGGAAGCTAATTAAATAGGCATCTCCTAACCTTCCTCAAAATGGCCGAACCAGGCTGGTTCATGAAATTCATGCTCCTGGGCGCCCAAGGCGTCTTCTTCAACAGCATGTTCATCTCCTACCTCATCTCCCCACGCACCTGCCACCGCTTCGTCGGCTACCTCGAAGAAGAAGCCGTCTTCACCTACACGCTCGCCATCCAAGACCTAGAAGCGGGCAAGCTGCCCCAATGGACGCACCCGGACTTCCGCGTCCCCGACATCGCCGTGGATTACTGGAAGATGCCCGAGGATAAACGCACCATGAGGGATCTTATGCTTTATGTGAGAGCGGATGAGGCGAAACACAGGGAGGTTAATCATACGCTTGGAAATCTGGACCAGGACGAGGATCCGAATCCGTTTGTTTCTGAGTATAAGGATGTGGGGAGGCCGCATCCTGGGAAGGGGATTGAGCATTTGCAGCCGATTGGGTGGGAGAGGAAGGATGTTATTTGAGAGGGAGCGGAGTCTTTTGCTCTTTTCTGGCTCGCGATCGATGGGTCTCGATACGACTAGATGATGGACTTCCAATCGTACACTGCGACCGGGACTGCATAGAGATTACTACGGAGGGGCGTTTTTTGAATTTTTTTGGCATTGGTTTATAGGAGTGCAAGATGGGTTGCGGCGTTTATTCTGCTTTTGATGATACTAATCTCCACTTTACGAGGGATAAAAATGTTCTGAGGTTATTTATTTAGATAGAGGAACAGGGATGTTTCATTGTAGATATGGAGGTAGACGTTGAGATGAGGAGTACTATGAAGATATTTTTTGGCCCTCGAAATGCGTTTCTCACGAGAGTTCCCTTCTCTTTCTTATAATCCCTCGAGAAATCACGTATTAAGAATATGCTGAGTTTCGTGCCAGCATGGGAGTTGGGTATAAATATAAATAACTACCATGAATCTTGAAAAACAATTACGAAATCTTTATCGAGAAGACAAGGTGTGTGTGGTTTGCTTGACAACTGGACACCGCTCGACTACTAGCCGTCGGGGCAGAAAGCCACATGGCCGTACGAATCAACTCCTTCCGCACAAACAGACTCAACCACGAGGAGGGAATCTACTGGCAGAAAGTTGCATGGGGTATCGCAGATCTTATCTACGAATCTCTGTTGCGCCATCATCTTATCCCTTGATTCAATCTCTCCATGAACGAGTATCGTTTCGAAGGCAAATTTGATTTCGACAGCAAGTCCCAGCTTCGTTATTTGCAAACGGGAATCTTCGTAAAGTTTGGACATGAAAAGAAATGTGAAAGAATATCGTCTTTGAGAGCTTGTTGGTCTGGTACTGGAATGAAGAGGAATTTTCGTAGGAGCACCATCACTGTCCTCCATTTCCAAAGTGCTGGTCTCTGAAGTTTGTCTTCAGCGTATTGAAAAAAGCTCAGTCCCTCAATTACTACTTAAGCAGTAGCTGAGTTGAGTAGGCGCCACTACTCAGCTTAAGTATTTCACTTTAATAAGCTAACTGTCTTCCACGATATTGGGTGGGGGTCTTTGATGTATTTCATACCATGATATGTGATCAATGCGCGGTAGTATTCTGGCAGTTGTAGGTACAGATATGGCGCCATCGTGTGAAATGTTTGAGAGAATTTTGGAGAGATGGATTTGAGAGATGGATAGCTAGGCAATTGCAAAGAAGGACAGAAAAGGAAAGTGAGAGAAACTTCAAGACTGCTAAGCCGTGTTGGTGAAAGCCCTTTCGAAACTCAGGCAAATTGGGCTTAGGCGCCTCAAACTTTCATTGCGATGATTTGTAAGGCTAAGGCCTTTCAAGTCCCGAGAAGTTGCCTTTTTATTGAAGGACTATATCTTGATTTTGTACGTTCCAGGAGGTCGATTTTGAAGAAGAGATTTCGTAAAACACTGTATATCCGCGCAAACACAAACTATGAGAACAACCACCGAAATATTTTGAATAGCCTTGGATGCGCGTTCTAATGCGCGTTCTACCCAGTCTTCAAAGAGCCATCCCTCCGTTGCCATAACACAGCCCACCCCAACGCGCCAAGGACCCTCTTCCCCTCCCGACATTTTCCCAGCCAATCAATCCACCTCGCTTATCTCCAACCCCACAAATCCCCCCCAAATCCTCAAAACAAATATTGATATCCCCAAACACCACATTTTCTGTCACCAAAAACTGGGATTAAACCTATCCGCCTGGCCCAGTCAGTTAGTGTGTGCACCCATATGTGACAATTCCCATAAGCGACAAACTCCCAAGCGACAACACCTCTAACTGTTGCCTTCCTTACCTTTCCTGGATTCTCGTAGATTTGCTTCGCTAAAAAATGTATAACTCAGTTCGTCTGGTTTTCAACCTTGCCAGCCCGCAGGGCATAGGTTCTTTTGCCGTTTTTTTGGGTGGTTTAATTCTTTTTTGGGGTTGCGGAGGTTGGATGAGAGTGGTGGGGTTGGATGGTTGAGGCCTGATAGTGAACTTGGGAATCGTGGTTGAGGACGGCAGGGAATGGGTTTCCCTGATGGTCTTCCCTGTATGTGAAGACACAATTTTTGACCTCTGAGGATTATTTTTTGTAGGATGTTTGTTACGATCGCGGCCTGTCTTTTGTCCAATGCTCAATGCCCAATGCCTAATCACTGATTATCTTGCGCTCGAATGCCGACACCGTGATAATGATTGAGTTTTCAGAACCCGAAGATTTCTTCTCTGACACTGAGAAGCGCAAGGCCGGGAAAAGCGTTTCATGGTCTTTTGGAGCGGTTCAAGCGTTAAGTTGGTAGGCTCGCTGAGCTTCGAGGATCTCTTTCACCAAGGCGTGTCAGCATAATGCCTCAAGAGCTCCACAAAGCCATAAAGCTGGTAAACGACCGAAAGCTTGAAGTTGCGGCTTGCGCTAGGTTCAAATCTTCTGGACATTGAAGCACCGGGTAGGCTCGCGTCAATACGTACCATTTGTGAAAAGTGACCGCTCTTGTGACATCAGAGCGCGTCAGTTGATAATAAGTGCTGGTGTTATCGTACCAATGCACCTCTGCTACCGTGGCCAAATCTTTTGCCGAGCTTTCACGCACTGCGGGTCACCATTTATACACCAAAGCCTTGAAGCTGGTCCTCTTAACCACAGTGAACGATGGCTGTATTGCTTGTATACTGTTCAGGTTGGAAAAGTATATGAAGCTTCATGCCCAACTAGAGTTTGTCTTGCTTCTACCCTGGAGTTGAGGGAGCGAAAGGGGAAATAAGCGAAATACGGAAGGCAGTACTGTAACACGCGTCAATAATGGGTATCATAGAAAAAAGAGATATCGTGCGGATGTAATTCGCACAGCCTATAGGAGGAGCTGTGCAACCTTATCTGCACGGCTTATCACCCTGGGTGAGGTAATAGTGGAGCGGAGTTGTTGGTTGGGTTTAACTAGAAATGCAACCAACTCCGGTCTTTGGACATTTCCAACATCCAACATTCTGGCGAAGTAACAACAGTGCTTGCGACCGTAGTTCCCTGCGTTGCACTTCATTGCTTGATTATTTTATAGAATCCCGTAGTCTACGATTCAGCGTTGTTCACAATTCCCGACGAACGCTTTTGACGGAATTTTTGGCTAAGCTTTTGCGCGCATTTCTCCATCAAAGCCTTAGTCATGTCCCAACCAACAGAGCCAACAGATGCAACAGCTCGGCGGTATTTTGGCTACCCCAAGGCTCTGGAAGGTCCTAGAGTCCCATTCCGAATGGACGATGGAGCCAATCCGGGTCTTAGCGGCATACCGCTAGTCATAGCAGGGTGGCTGTAAGTAATATGGCAATGAGTGAGTATTCATATGGCATAATGGCTGATTGACATAATTAGCGTATCAAAAGTGGGTTTTCTTCAGAGATTCATCTACAATAATGCTGGATTGAATTGTTTGAGAAAACTTGACTTAAAAGGTTATAGCGAAAGGTGGGAGGTACGATATGGTGTTTGTTTATATTACAAATCGCATATCTAATATCGTATAACCTACCGTTGTCCCTCTTGCAAATCAAGCCGAGAAAGAATATGTTCCTAATCTCGAATTGCTTTCTTTCCAAACCTTTCCGGAGAACCTACCTGGCCGCTACAATACCGTCGCAGATTATCACGCAACATACCTGTCAGGAGAACTAACCCCACTCGCAGTCTGTGAATCTCTACTCCCTCTCATTCGCCGAGACGTTGACTCCCCATCTTCCCATTCTGTTCCCTTTGTTGCTACAGACGTCTCTGCTATCCTCCTTGCTGCCAGGGAATCAACTGCCCGTTACGCTGCCAACAAGTCGCTTGGACTGCTTGATGGCATCCCCACAGCGGTCAAAGATTCTTCAAGCGTGGCTGGATATCGATCAACTATAGGTCAAGCTGTAAATGACGAGCTCTTTCCCGTATCAAAAACGACCACATGGTCTATTCAAAAGCTACAGGAGTGTGGAGCAATCGTCCTCGGAAAGACCAATATGCATGATTGGGGTACTGATATTACAGGCTGCAATCCAAACTGGGGGACAGTTCGAAACCCGTATAATTCGCAGTATTATGCTGGCGGTTCTTCCGGTGGCTCAGCATATGCTGTAGCAGCAGGTTTAATACCATTCGCACTCGGAGCCGATGGGGGTGGAAGTATCAGAATCCCGTGTGCATTTTGTGGAGTTTACGGGTTGAAGCCAACGCATGGACGAATAGATAACACTAAAAGCACAGCAATTGTAATTGGGCCAATAGCAGGTACCATGACAGACCTCGAGGCAATGTACAGAGTCATGGCACAACCCAACCCATTGGACCCAACTTGCGGACAATTCGCGCCTCCAGGAGCTCTTCCACCTTCGCGAACAAAGATCATAGGCATCTGCAAACCATGGTTTGCGCGTGCCGAGTCTTCAGTCTTGAATCTCTGCCAACAAGCGGTCGACTACTACCAAAACAAACTAGGTTACGAAGTTGTCGAGATCGAGATTCCTTACCTTGCTGAAGGCCAAAAGGCACATGCATTCACAATCCTTTCCGAGCTGGCTATCCGTGCCCGAGCTCAACATCTCCCCAACCAGATTCATACTTCGACCTCATGGCTTTCCGGTCTGAATGCTGCCAACAAATTTGTTCTCTCGGTAGGGGCACAAACTAAAGCTCAAGACTACCTTCTCGCCCAACAACTACGTAATCTGCTCATGCAATATCTCGCGTTTCTATACAAGAAACATCCTGGGATGATTATCGTAACTCCAACAACCCCAATGCCAGGTTGGAATATCAAGTCAGAAGGCGACTTGAAATACGGCTCTTCGGATGGCAACTCAACCCTTCGTGGGATGGAGTATATCTGGCTTGCCAACTTTTGCGGAACTCCTGCTCTCAGTTCTCCTATCGGTTACGTCGACCCCATTCCTACGGCCGGCGAGGGTAAAATCCCAGTGAGTCTGATGGGTATGGGGGATTGGGGATCTGAAAACCAACTTTGCGATTGGGGACGAGAGGCAGAGATTTATCTTAGTCAGGTTACAAGGGTGGGAGAAGGCGACCAGATGATGAAAGCTGGGTTGATGTTCTTGAGCTTGCTGGGAGTCAGAAGAAATTGTAAAGTAGCTAAGCGAAGGGATATTGAATGCCGATGGGTTGCCGCTTGATGTGGTGTTCCACAAAAGAGAGCATACATTGAGGTGTAGTGAAACGTATAAATCCTTGCAATAGAAGACGAAATTCCTTCAGGTTTCTAGGGGCATTGATTACTATCCATGGCTCAAGAGAGGCTACAACAAAAAGCCGAGTGTGCCGGACATTAATAACTGCGCAGCTTAGATTTCCGAATACAATTACCCACATTGAAAGCAGGTGGTTCTTACAAACTTACTGGTACTAAGAACATGACTACTTCAAGATGACCTGATGGCATTGAGAAGAAAAAGCAGGTTACCATACTTGCGAAGGTTTTAGAAGAGACGAGGGAAGGGACCATACACCTTATTCACTCACTGAAATACTGTACATAAGAGGACGTGAGACTACGGACTAGCTATATCATGAATCGATATCACAAAAACTTCTACTCTGCTACTGTCAATTCGTAACCTGCTGTCGAAATTTGAGTTCCATTCGTTTGGGAGGAATAAGGGATTGTAAAACTCTACTTTGTGGTCCTGCTTATTTCCACCTTCCCAATAACAAGTTTAGTATACTACGGTACGAGACCCCCGAATTACGAGTTATGAGCAGCGACCTATGGATCACGTTTGAAATTATCATGTTCATCAAATTCTCTAGATTTGAATGTTTGTACTGTGCTTTATACAGACGCTGTGTCGATTCTTCTGGTTATCTGGGGTCAATTTTTCCTGAGCGGAAGGAAAGAAATCTTCGCTGCCACGTTTTCCTGTACTCGAGTAATCTTTGAAGGTTGGTCAGAATAGAGATAGGTTGGAGCTAAGACTTGGTTAATGTTGGAGTCAAAGGGCCCTGGATAAATCCTTTTGGAGATAGGTGAGGAAGCTAACGAGCTCATCCTTCATGCCTTTCCTGTTTTATAACCATAAAAATGAAATCCTCGAGGTTTTTGTAGTATTTTGGACAAGATAACAATATTGCTACCATCACGTTTCTATAAAAACATTGGAGACTTTAGGTTAGTATTCACACAACCTCTCAACATTTAGCTACCTTGAACATTGAGCAAAGGTACTGTATCTTACATTTTTTTGTACCACGAGCCCACAAGCTCTCTCAAACCTACTGAATTCTCATCCTCCATACCGTTTCTCTAGTAGCAACTCATATTCATTAATATTTAACTCTAAATGTGTTACCTACGGTTAGTATCGGAAGGTCTACAAAAGGACCATCAGTAGAGTTTCTGCTTCACGCTCTTGCTATTGACTGAGTTTGGGGATAAGAAGATTTGCTAAGTCTAAAGCAGCAAAAATGCATATCGTAGTTGGAGCCAACAGAATCACACCCGAGTACTTTTTCAAAGCACCCACATCAAAGCCGTAGTCGGAGAGTATATATTCAATGTTGCTATCCCACGATATGTTCTCCAAGCAGACCAAGGAAGTGATCAATCACTACCTATTCGCTTGACCCCGTTGCTGTGAAGCAAGACGTTCAAAACAAACTGTCCTCTATCACCCGTAAATCTTACACAAACACTGACCAAACATACAAGTACAAAAATCCCCCATCCCTTCCCCTCCCTCTCCAAACAAAAACAACAAAACCTATCGACAACAGCTCACAAAACAACAGCAAAAGCATCGAATCATATAATCCCCAGAAGTGCAGCTGAATCTCACCCTCTTGTCAAGTACTAAGAACTAGCTTTGCCTCACGCCCTTTTTCAAGTTAGAGAATGCCGATTTGTTGGCAGGCTAATCTTATTAACCTCAGCCTCTCTTCTGTATGCCGTCACGTCTGCCGTTTTCCTCTGTTGTATGACAATTCATCTCCCCTCCTTCGTAGTAGTTTTATACAGTACCCCAGCATCTACTTACTCCTAGCAGGAAAGCTTCGCGAAACTAGCAAAATCCGCCTGTAGATCCCTCTCTCACATCAACTATACCACATCCACTATACCACATCCACTATACCACATCCACTATACCACATCCACTATACCACATCCACTATACCACATCCACTGTACAACTCGTCTCACAAAAGTTATCTCACCTCAATCACCAAGTAAAGCCTTACACACATCTTCCCTCACGCTCACATCTACTATAGCCTCACAACAGCCTCAACCATTCCCTCCCACACACGTCGCATTTCACTACAGTTGTGGTACAAAACCACAAAAAAATGAAGCACACGAAAATAAATAAGTTATCTCTTGATTCTCGAATATATAAGACCACAGTGCCACACCACACCATCAAAGCCAAATAAGCAAGCTAATAAAGCCATCCATCCCCTCCTCTCTTCTCCGAGGAAAAGCAAAAAAATATGTCTTCATAAAGCTATGTACACTCACGCACAAAAACGTCGTGGGAGGGGCAATGAATTCTCAGCCATGAAAAGGGTATTGTACTGTAACGGACTATTTCTGTTTCTTTCTCGCCCTCGCCAGGCCTCCAAGAAAGAACTCTGCCATACCGTAGAACGGAATGATCAAGAAGAAGAAAAAGGAAAATCATGCAGTCATCCCATTCAACCACAGCAAGACGACCAAAAAAGAGAGCAAGAGAAGATACACACATGAAAAATAACAATGTTAACGCCAGAGCTCCATACGCATAACCGCTATGCACGCTTTGAGAAGCAAAAATGTACTTCAAGCAATTTCCCACCAACACCAGAACAGAACGGCGCCATAAAACCGTTGGCGGCAAAAAATGTAACATCATTATTTTCTTTTGGGGAAAAGTGATGAAAAAGACCTGTCGAACCTTTTCGAGATTCGAAGAGAGCGAATTATTAGGTAGCGAAAACTGAACTTTGAGTTTATTCGATGTCTGGCACTTTCTCAGCTGGCGCATTAGGGTCGAACCATGCCACTTTGCGGTCGTCGCCACCCCTCGCTCCAACAGTGACCCAGACGTGCTTGTAGGGAATTTTGACATTGACCAACTCTCTATGTCCTGTCCATCGTAGACGATGCTCATAATTGAAGTTGCTGCATCCAAGTCCACCATTCGTCACCCACTCTTTGATCACATCCTTGATGAACTCAATCTTCTTGCGGAATTGATTGGCTTCAGGAATGCCTTGCATCATTGGATCAATTTCGGGGCGTCTTCGAGAAGTATTCTTTGAAGGCTTGCTCATGAAGTTTAGGAGAGTTTGAAGCGGGTAGGATAAATGTTGTCGATCATCGAGTGCTGCAGTTGTCAAAGTTCCCCGCTCACGGAGATCTCGAGCGGCGTCCATTGGTAAATGATAGAGGTCACACCAAGTCCCATCTTTCGAAACGACTATCTTTGTGTGATCTGGAAAGTTGAACTAAGAATCATCAGTAAAGTGAGTGAAGATCCAACACTTGTGTAACTTACTTGAAAGTGGCCATCGCAGAAACCCCAACAGCCTACATCACCCCAACGTTCGTAAAATGTGATTACATTACCAGAAGCATCCTCATCATCCTTTTTGGGTTGGATTCGTTGCAGTGTGTCATCGTAAGGGTAGTCTACGTCTCTCCCAAAAGCAGTCATATAGTTCCCAAATTTTCGCCAAAGAACAAGCTTCTCTCGCTTTCGATCTTCAAACTCCTCTCCCACTCTTGGCAACTTACCAGTGGAGGTCTTGAAGGTCTGGGGAGGAATCTTGCAACAAGCGAGGCCAGCTTGACCCTTATCCTCGTAAAATTCGATATCATGGCCTGATACTGGCACCATTTGCATGCGATCTGGGTATTTCTCATTTCCTCTATTTTGTAGGTGACGCTCGGCATCGCGGACTACCAGACAATTTGGTTGTAAAACACCCTTACTTGAATCTGGAAGAGTTTCTTCTGTCGATTTGAAGATACACCCAACAGTCCCATTATTCAAGACGTAACCAAGGCCGAACTTGTTTGTATAGTCTACCCATTTGACAACAATATGTGGAATTGTTCGTGCGGACTTTGACTCCACTGCCATAGTTCTGCTGTTGAGTGCTCTTTCTAATTCATTTTGAAGACGACGAAGACCAGCCAGGACATCATCCGGCTTGGTATTTGGTACGATCTCAAGCTTTTCGCGTGGGCTGAAGATAGATGTAGGTTTGTCAAAAGACATGGTCATTGTTTCTGTGTCGGGCTTATTCTCAGGCTTGGTGGGAGTCAAATGTTGTGCCAAATCCGCAGCTAATCGATCCTCCACTTGAACAACATCTTCAGTGAACTTTGGCTCAGCCTTTTTAGCTTTGGCGAGTCGGGCGGATATATTGAGTATTGGTCGCGAAGAGGATGATGAAATTGGCTTCGAGTTTTCTGCAGCGGGTTGGCGTGCCTTGATACCTCGAGTAGGCAATTGTGTCAATCCAGGGCGTGCCCGTTGCTGTGCAGCGAAACTTTGAGTAGGAGGTCGGGCAGTTGGAATCGCGGTCGGTATATTGGTTTTGAGAGCTGGTGGTGCCACCATATCAAGACCATCGGTTGTCTCATCGTCGTCTTCTTCCAAATCCTCGGTAATCTTTTGTTGTGATGCCAACCACTCGTCGAATGGTCGATACACAATTCCGTTGGGAAGTGGAACCTGTGGAGTAAGTCCAGCTTTTTCTTCTGCAGCCACCTCCCGATATGTGCTTGTTACGCGTTTCTTTGCAGTGTCCCAAGGTCCTACCCCACATTCCTTGCACAACTTCTTCAAATTCCGTTCATATAGCTTGAATCTGCCAGACTTCAGGCCAACAGAGACAAATTGATCACCACCCGGGCCTTTGTAGCAAAGATCAGTGGTCATTTCCTCGGACTGGGGAAACCATCCACAGGTGAAGAATGGGTGTTGGACAATTGCATCCGGACCAGGTCTCAATTCAGCGGGTTGAAGTAACTCAGCTACCAAATCTTTCGTCTCGGGTGAAATCAAGTTCTCGGAAGTATTTAATTTTGGCCAGTCATATTGGAGTTCTCGAGCGCGTCGGTAAATTTCATCAGCTGTTGAGGACTGGAAAGGTGGTTTTCCTGTGAGCATAGCAAAGCTATATTGGTTAGCAGAAATCATGCTTAATGCGGGAAAGAAGACCAACATGATAATCCCAAGACTCCAAATATCTACAGCATGGTCGTGTCCTTGCTTGTCCTTTGAAAGAATTTCTGGAGCAATGTAGTTTGGTGTTCCACATAGCGTTGTACGCCTACAGTTACTCCAATCCTTACCAGACATGAGAAGTGCAGCTAGGCCGAAATCTCCAACCTTGACATTCATATCCTTGTCTAGGAATACATTTCCCATCTTCAAATCCCGATGTATGATTCCTTTATCGTGCATGTATTTTATAGCTCCAGCCATTTGGACCGTCCAAAATCGAACTTCGGGCTCAGTGATGAATTTTCGCTTCTTGACCATATCCATCAATGATCCATTGGGACATAGTTCTAAAACCAGGTATGTACATTGTTCGTAAGCAAAGGCTCGGTGGAATCGAACAATATTTGGGTGCCTCATTTTTGAATGGATTTGAAGTTCGGTTTGAAACTTCACAACAGTCAGCGAAATACTTGGAATTGAGGTCAGACCAATTTGCCTTTTGCTCCATCTTCTTTTGTTGCATCTTGCTTTTGACAATCTTCAAGGCAAACACCTGCCGGGTACCAGCCAAACGGGCCTTGTAACAAATGGCAAAACCCCCTCTGCCGAGCAGATCACCACTTCTATATGTAGCTCCATGTTTTCGATCAAACGATGGTGGTTCAATAACGTCGGCTGGAGGAGGAGGGGGGTGGTCCTTCTCCTTCCCCGCCTTTGCTACTGGGGGCTTCAGTTTTGCGGGTTGTGGTTTACGGAGATGCGCGTTCGCATCCCGGGGTGACAGTGCTTCCATGTCTATTCCCTCAGGGAAAGCACACTCCCAAGCGAGGTATGGATTGACTTGGAAGAAGAGCTTTTCGGTGCACTCGTGGTATTTTTTACCTCGATAGTCAGGGTTGTTGGGAGGGAAACGGAAATCGTTGGATGTGGTGCAAAGAGCTTCAACTTGTTTTAGTTCAGAGGTATTGTGACAACAATAAACCTGCAAGACACGGTAATTAGTAAAGAAGACCAATCTGTGTGCGTTCTTGGGATTTTTCAGATCGCGTGCACAGTCGCGTTCGATATCCAGCGCCTGGTGTAGTATGTGGCCCAGGAGAGTCAACACGTCGTCATCAAAATCGTAATCTTTGTTGAGTAGTCGGACGAAGTACAGCTGGCGCGCCCAACTCTGGTGTGCGTATTGGTCTGGGATGGTGTAGTCGTGGTCCACGATGCGCTGGAGAGCCTTCGCCCAAGCTTTCTCTTTACCGCGTTTCTGGGTGCGTCGTTGGACTTCGCGGTAGATGTCGAATTTGATGCACTTTCCCTTCGAAATCCAATTGTACGGTGCCACAAAGGTGGGAACCGATTTCCCCATCTTCGATTCACGCCGTGATTCGCATTGGGGTGATGAGGAGGGTAGAAGAGGGTGCAGCTTACAAGTTGGTGGGAATGTTGACTGGAAAACCGACAAACGAGCGAGTACGGTGGTCGGTGGTCGAAGGTTAGGTTTGGTTTGGCGGTTGTGAATAAATGCTACCTCGAGCAAATCGCCGTCGTTTGTGCCGTCAACATCGATAGTGAAGCTGTTAGCGGAGTCGAGTCGTGCTGGATGTGAAAGTGGGACGTCTAGAATTTTGTCAGGATTGAATTTGGCAGGGACTCGTTGGTACAGTAAATATTGATGGGCCTGCAATGTGGACTGGGCTTTTGGCATAGCAACCACCCACACAGTTCTTACTGTACCCTAAGATTACCGTACCTGCATGCCGCTTTATCACCTCACGCCCCCCACCAAATTCTGGGTAAGCCTGCACCGCAGGTGTTATTCACCCCAAGAGCTTTGGAAATCGCTTGAAATATCCAGGCAACACCAACAAGAGAATCTGGCCGAAACATTTGTGGTGATGGCAGCAATTGGCAGAGATACTATCTCCATGTGTTTGCAATAAATCTACACCCGGATGGTTTGGTCACACTCGCACTCTACAACCCCAATATCAATATCCCCGCCAGCAGAATGGTGCCCCTCCCTCTCTTCAAGTTCGCAGCTCTATTTGTCAGACACATTTCGAAATATGGCGCGGTAGGAATTTCCGAGCAATTCCATGCTAATCTTCCAAAGCTGATTCTTTTTAGAATTGGATCAAAGTGCAAGCTCACGACCACCCGAAGTTCCGAACCATTGCTGCTCGATATGGACAGACAATGCACCAGATCAACATGCGAATGGCAGTAACCCTACTTCGAGATGTCGCCGCAGAAAAAAGAGCCAAGGAGCAGGCAGAAGCGCCTACAGTCAAGACCGCGGAACAAATGAAGCAGGACGAGATTAAAAAGCAAGAAAGGAAGGCTGCACAAGCCGTAAGTCCCTGGAGAAGGAAGTTCAGGCCACTGCCAGAGAACAAAGCTGTTGATCTATTTGCGGATGTCATTGGGGACTCGTTCATTCTTTTGGTGGCGGGTGGATTGATCATGTACGAATTTGTACGGAGTAAGGGGAAACCGGATCACAATGCCGAGAAGATAGCCCAGTTACAGGAGAAGTTGGAAGAGTTGGATAGAAGAGAGAAAGAATTGGAAGAAGCAGAGAAGAAGCAAAAGGCTCGAGTCGAGACAATGGAGCAGGCTATTGAAGAAATGAAAAGGTTAACTGCTGAAGCAAAGAGCAAGAAATCCTTATTTTCTGCGGCATGAAGCTTCTGAGGACCGTCCACCACTTTCGGAAAACCCGATCTCATGGAATACGCCACATTGTTTTCTTCAAGAGAGCAATTGTATGATACTTGAGGAAGAAGGCGCTGATGAGTTGCCAGATTCTGCCATGGCAAAACCAACCCTTCTCCAAATGAAGAGTCGCCATGTAAAAACCCAACTCCAAAATCTGTATATTCTAGATTATATGATACGCCATCAAAAAGTTTCAAAATTACCTGAGAGAGTTTTTTGGGAATTTTAACATTTTCTACTTGCGTACAAGTTCCTGTGAGAAGAGGGTGACTTTTAGATCGAAAAACGGTACGGGACGCTTGCAAGCTCTCCCAGAACACCATCAGACTCCCTTAATATGGAGATTCTCAACACCAGTGCATAAATTTGGACAGCCCAGAGATTCTCGAAGCTTTTCCAAGCACCTATATTGAATCGCAACGATGTTCTCGACCGCTCTGCGCAAGAGGCACGAGTGGAATACAGTTCCCGCAACACTTCTGTCCGAGAAGGGACCACAATGGTCAGGTAAGTCGGATCCCCAATCATCATGTACCGTACAAGCATCTAACACCATCTGATAGAAAATGATCTCGAGACATGCGACATCAAGCTACCTCTTCCAAGGAGCCGACAAGAGGACGCGCCACAGTTCTACCGTTTCCTCCTCCTTTCCGCGGTAGATGTCCAGCCTCCAGCCCAAGCAATGGCGCGTATAGAAAGACTCTTCCACCAAACAGGTGGTCACCACGTGGGCATCATCTTTCTCCTCCAAGAAAAGACGCGTGGGAATGGAATGACAGCTTACCTGAATCTTCAAGCCAGGTCAGTGACTCCGAGCGGAGGTTCGTGAATAGCTTGGTACTTACTAGTCACAGTCTCGTGGGAGCATTTGATATCAACATTATTCCTCTCCATTCAGTCTCCTCCATGTCAGTCACAATCGGTAAATTCTGGCAACAACTCGCCGCTTCGCCTAGGAGCCAATCGACTGCTACTGCTAACCCCGCTGTGGTTCTTCTCCCGTATTGTTCTTTGAATCCTCCCATCCAGGAACATCTACGGAATATTATCACCGAGAATGTCCATAGGACTGGAGACTTGTCAGAGCTTGCTACTACTAAGGAGGGACGAGAGGCTCTTCGAGAGTTGCTGCCGGAAACGGGCACTGATGCTGGTGATATAATTGGGTTTTGGGAGCAGGAGTTTATGCTTTGAATGTGTCTACTGAAATGACAGGTGATGACAGTGTGGATCAATGGTGTTAGAAAGAGTGCCTTGTTACAATCGGCTTGAGCTGTCTCTATTTGCAGGTACTTGTGTAGGTAGATACTACCTCTGAAATAGGTGGAGTTGTGACTGTGGTCTGCTAGAATACTGTACGAGCAGAATTAATGTGCCGGACTTTTGCAGTACGAGGATTTTACCTTCAAATTGCTGCAGGTAATGATGTTAGGTATTAGGCTAGAAGGAGCTACTCCGTTTCCAAGACCAAATCAAGCATTCCGTTTGTCCAAACCCCATGAAACATGACGTACATAAATACTATCTATTTCAGGAGCCCACGAGCCTCATTTCCAAAACAGCCTTTCAACGATTGCACAGTCATCCGGGAAATTGTGGGATCATGAAGCAACTTGCCATGAGATTCCTGGAAGTTCAAACTGCCTAGCTGGCAAAAAGCAATTGGTGTAGTGTTTGGAGGGCAGGTGCAGGTGAGCGAAGGAGTGTCAGAGGTGGGGTACTATTCTGGTGAGCAGGATCCCTGTCAGTGACGTAGTACTGCCTCACAAAGCTGGAGCAGGCCAGGAACGAGGTCAGCCTTCCTTCACCCCTCGCTTTCAAGATACAAAACCAAGTCAATTCCCAGCCAAATCACCCCTCTTCTCCAATTCAAACTCATCAACAACATACCAACTCCAAATCTCCAAATCTACAACACTTTCAATCCATAATCACCAATACTACCAATACTTCCTCCAAACACTCCTCACACAACCGTCATCATGCCTCGCGGAGAAGCCCAACAAACCAAGATCCACTACAAGGGAAAGGAGGACGATTTCATCATCTTCGTTGACGACGCAAAAGCTGCTAAGGACTGGCTGTCGGACTCTTCCATCCCACTGGCACAAGTCGTGAGCTCCTTCCAGGTCTTCATCACTCACAAGTATGCTGTTTACCCCTCATTCCTCATTCAGCCCGATTTCCCAGTACCCCGCACCATTTTGCACTAGGCAATACGAAAACAAACATGACACGACTTTGGCTCACGAGACGGTCTTTCAATTTTTATTGCCTACATCGCCCTGGTTATCTACGTTCTCTTGCTAACGCATTTCTAATTAGGCACGGAGCACAAGGAACACTTGACACTGCCTCAAAATCAACCCTCGAGAACGAATTTGGCACATCCGTCGAGGATGAAGTCATCAAGAAGATCTTGAAGCAAGGTACTCTCCAAGAAACACAAGTAAGTCAACCCCCACCTCCCTATCCAATCCACACTAACCCTCTCCCAGGACGCTGAAAGACAAGGACCCAAGAACGACAGCATGGGTGCTCGTGCCGCACACTAAACATCTCCTTCCTACCTACCTTCTCACTTGTCCTTTCCCACACATAATCTATGTCCGTGGTGACAACCCCCAAAGCGAAAATGATTTGCTACGTTTCCTCTTCTTTCTGAAAGTTAAAGCGAACAATGTTTTTTACACGATGGTCTGACTGGGAGGATCTATCTTCTTTCCTGTTTTTATGAATTGACGATCATCGATGATGGATTTTGATGGTTCTGGGCGCGGATGCGATGGAGCTTGTAGCTCTGGAAGTCGGGCTTTAGATTGTTGATTTCCTCGGATAATAGAAATGGAAAACATTTACATTTCGTGTTAACGGTTTCTATTGTGTGTAATGGTTTATATGTGACAGGAGAGTATACTAATGCTTCAAGGTGGAGTGAGGTATGTTGTGCTACAATCCTTCACCCAGTTATTTTGGCAATGTCTATGCATACCTACAGTAAGATTATACACGCCTGCTTCCTCTATTTCACCCTCGAAGCCCAGCACCCTCCACAACATCTCTAAATTCTCAAACTGGCCCTGAAATAAACCACTCTCCCCAATCTTCCCTACCCTCTTTAGTATCCCACCGATTCCCCATACTACTGTAGCATACCCTTTACAAAATCTACACTTCTTCTAAGCCCTAGCTATGTACTTCTTCTGATACAATGTTTGTTGACATCACCCCATCGTTTTTGACGGATTATTGGCTTGGAGTTATTGTACCTCCGCACTTAGTAAGTGGTGAGACAGTGCGCCGTGAGTGACTCAGTAAGTGAGCAAGTAAGTGAATAAGTGAGTGAGTGGATGGGTGAGTGGATGGATGAGTGGATGGGTGAGTGGATGGGTGAGAGGATAGTTCCCTTTGGTTTGTTATTTGTTGTCAGTGTTAAGGAGAAGGAGGTTGTTGTTTATCTCATCTTGGTTCTACTTAATAGGTCAGGCTGGCCTCCTTTTGGGACGCGGGATGTGGGCTTTCGACTCAAACCTTGAGGGTTTGGTGTGCGAATGTTGGGGACTTGAGTGATAAGTGAGTGGAAAGATTCCTTTAGTTCACCATTTATTGTTATTTGTTGCCCGTGGGATTAGGTGGTTACGTTTAGCATGGGTTTTTAGAGGGGGTGGGGGCAAAGGATTATATATCTACCGCCGAATTTTGTGGTATTGTCGGTTCTCTGGGGTTAGTTCGTTCGTATTTCTGATTTTGTCGATACTAAATAGGATAGCGGCTAGGAACCTTTTGGGATGTGGGTGTGGGTGGGATTTGTGGATGTTGAGGACTTAGAGGGAGGGTGTGTATGTACTTGGTGAACCACATGTTCGAGTTGATGGTGATGTTTCCTTCCTCGATTGTGTGTTTGTTTTGTGGAGGGGAGGGGGTTTTATATATGGTGTACAGTGTGATGAGGTTGGGGGATGTGGGGGTGGGTTTGGGCGGGGCATGGGGAGGGGAATGGGGGCGGTGGTTTGTTTTGTGATTTATGATTATGAATATGATTATGTGGATACTGGTTGGGATTTACGAATTGTGGGTTGTGGATTTGAGATTGTGGAGAAGGAAGGGGGAGGATTTTGGAGGGGGGGGTTATGGAAGGAGATGAAGTGGCTTGGTGTTACAGTATACTGTGAGAGACTACTGGGATGTTAACGCGGGGGTTTGATCACTTTGTTGTTAGTGTTGGGTATTTCAAGCGGTTTCTATGATTAAGAAACCCCTGAGCTCCTAAATTTTCTATATGACATATTATTTCGACGTGAACCCATCGTTGTCATCAGCAACTTCGCGAAATTCGAAAAGCGCACCGCTCATGCTCCTCTTCCGAAATAACGTATATGAAAGTCTCAACCACCATCTATACCAGAATACGACGAAACCAATTTGTAAAATAGCTATGCGAGTAGCTCCCATACTACTCCCCATTTCTGACTCATTTCACGAATGGAGTTTTGTGGTTTGACAACAGTTAATTTTTCGACAGTAAGAGGATTTGTTGGTTCTTTAAACTAAGTGTCTGCTTCAAATAATACCTGGGGAATACAACAGTAATGGGTAAAAGTAAAGTAGGAGTGAGAAGTTTCTTAGGAGGAGGTGAGGTGAGGTACAGTAGGTCCTTAGACTTTCATACTTGAACATCACAATGTGGAATGTTGTCCGCTTGCTATCCATGAAATGTAGGAGGGTTGTATATATAGGTAGCTTAGGGTAAGAGTAGGAGTACGTAATGAGAGTTGTCCTCTGTATTATGATATTGGGGTTCTTGGTGATAGAGGTTGTTTGGATACGGATGTTTGATGTTTGGTCCTGTTACCTAGGGCTAATGTGAGTTGAGTTAGGGATAGGGATAGGGGGTAGAGAAGGGAGGGGCTTGTAATGTGAACTTGAACAGGGGAGACGTCTTCTTTATTTATTTTTATTTTTGAGATGGAGTTTGGGCAAGGTTGTTTGGTTGTAGTTTAATGAGTTTATGAATTGGTCCAAGAAAGATTTCAGAAGAGAGTAGATGAGGCATGGGGCTTTTTTCGTTTTCTATTGATTATCGTGGCATGCCCTGGAGGCCGGTTTCTGAATTGTTTTCTATATAAATTCAATTCCACTTAATCCATTTGATCTTTTGAAAATGTAGAATCGCGGAGTCAATTACTACAGTACCGTGGTCCCTCCAAGTATGCAGTCTATGAGGCCGAGATAAGCTGTAATACTATTTCAAAGGTAGTAAGTATCCTTACCATTATCTCATTTCGGGAATAATGGTACGTTGGAACGTTCTTACTTTTCTTTAGATATAGAATTATTCAAGGAACGTGAGAAACCAGGTTTCCAAGTTAGAGTAGATAGCGTACTCCACTCCCCTCAACTTGACTCAATAAACCTACCTATCCATAGCCACTCTCAGAGCCCGACAAAGAACGATGAATGAGCGAGATTCGCGAACGTAATGTGGTATGGACTGATCTTCAAGGACTGGAATTGAATATTATAATGGTTCATCCTGTGGAGCTTCAGTGATAGACTTTGTGCGTTAGGTGTCAGCAGGTATCGTTGGTGCTTTGTTGAATAGTTTGAGGTACCGTCTTAGTTTTCGTAGCCCATGAGGCATTGGTTGGGTCGCTGGACTATGGAGAAATATTGTTGTGTGTATTGTTGCAGTCACCGAATCTCTCTCCCTGTAGGTGTCGTATTCAGCTCTTCGCTCGCATCATGTAATACTTCAGGCGATCACTTCACACGTGTAGCGAATAATCACCCGTGTGGTATGAGGCTCAGATTCAACACTGCTACTATCTTCCTCAAGCCTCAAGCCTCAAGTCTTTCTTCTCATTCATTTTCATGTGAAAAGATCATCTGGGAGTGAAAGATTGCGGTTATATTGGACGAATCTCAATCGTACCTTCCTTTCTGGATATAATCCAACCTAGCCGTATTAGTGCGTTAATGCCACAACCGAGTTGGGTGTGCAAGGCAGAAACACCCAGCGAAGAGTGGGACGATGTCTCTGGCTTCGGAGGGACTATTCAGAAAGCTCTTCTAAAAAGGCGGTCCCTGGTATACCTGATCCGACTACTGTCCATAAAACGATACGTTGTTGCCATCTTGTTCGAGGCTTTTCAAACATCCGAACTTTTGGAGCGTTTCTAGTATCTTCCGACGGGGAAAGCTTGCTTGAATGTTACCCTGCGGTGGATTCAGGATTTGGTACGGAACGTACTAACTGCACTTGGTGTGATTAATCTCAATAGCTGCTTTTTCCAGGAGGAAGTGATTAGGATCCTGGGGAATAGGAGCTTACCACGGCTCGGGCATGGTGGCGTTGGTGGTGTTGGACTTTTGTTTAGGTGGAATTACCTGATTAGTTTCGAGCTCTTTATAGATGCCAGAGTCACGACTCTATGGTAGGAAGTACAACCGTAGTGTATCAAGTGATATTAAAGACATTATCCCATTATACTTGGAAATCTTCTACTATGTACAGAGCCTATTGCACGAAAGTCTGCTCCCATATGCGCATATGTAATTGCGTTTCGGCAGATGTTATAAGAAAAAGTTTCATGTACGCTTAAGTTTTTTCTTCTGGGACTTCGAAGTTCTAGCTTAATAACTTCCCATAGATGTAGTAATAAACAAGTAGATTGTTTCTCTAGAACTATGGGACATGTGAGTGGGAGAATCGCTTGACAGTCACCACCACCTTTTTGTTTACTCCGCAGACGCTTATTAGTATTAGTATTTTAAAGAGATAGTACCATACCTGCCAAAATCTCAACGTAAATGCAACCTAAACACATAACACTGAGCTTCGCTATAAAACGAATTGTAGTTTTTGCAAACCTGGACGACGTCACTAATTTCTTGAGGCGTACTGGCTCATAGTTCCCTATAGTTTGTAAAAAACATGGTCTCTCCAGTATCTTTTCTTTTCTGATTTATGATTTGGTAGCTGAGTAGTTCCGATGTAGTTCCAGGTGATCCACTTCAGAACTACTCCGGAACTTCTCGGAACTTCTCCGGAATATCTCAAGAACTCCCAGTGCACCACCAAAAGCACAACCACTACACCTCACAGCATCTGCTGTAAAAACTTCCAAATGATATTAGTACATCACAATGCTTCTAGTATTAAGCAGACTTATATCCCTATTCCATCTACGATTTTTGTACTTTTAATTCTTCTGAAGCCTCTACTAAATATAAACCTATAACTACCTGAAATCTCCGCGACAATACTTTGGTAGTAGACATAGAACAAATTCAATCCCCTGTTTTGGGGCTGAGCTATGGTTGCTCAGTTTTTGGAATTAAGTGAATAGAAGAATCAGACTCCTAAGTAAGTGATTCTTCGACGGCGAGACGGCGCGGAAATTAAGTGAGCTGAGGTATAGTCTCCTCGACGAACCTGCTCTCGGATGAAATAGAGCGGGCATGTTTCTGGATGGACTTAGCTTAGGCTGGTATTGAAATTAATTTGCTGAAAGGAGATAATCTTTCATGTCTCCGCGTACTTCGCTCGAGATGATTATGGTGAATTTTGGGTGACTGTTATGAGGTATAAATACCTACCATTTGATGAGATAAATCTTTTTGAGCGATTGGTTTCATCTCTCATCAATCATTCGCAGCATGTTTTTAAAGTAGGGAGTTCCAATTTATGATCTCGGTACGTAGTTCAAGAACTCGTGCCAACACGTATAGTCGGGATTCTCCTTCCCGGCTTTGGGATTACATTATAGGATATGTATCTCAGTAAGTAGTAGCTATGTTTCTCAAACCTATAGATGTCAAATCGTCTAGATACTCTCTATAGACTTGACTAACAAATTCAGCTCCCAATCCTTCTTCGGCTTCTCCTTGTACTTTGTAACCTCGCTTTCCAAATTACATGCCCCCGCGCTGCAAATGAGAGAATGCCAGCATTTTTGCCAGGGCAGATATCTTCCTTCAAGTTACAAAAGAGCCTAGAAAAACAAAGAGCGCTACCTAATATCTTTAGGCTACAGACGCCCCGTACCCCCCAGAGACGAAATAACATTAAAAGCAGAGCATGAGGGAGAAAGACCGCTGAAAAGAATCGTTTTGAACAACAACTTAACATGTTGTTGACCAAAGTCAAACCCGGGATTTCAAGTAGTGAACGAACATTAACCCAGCCAATCCACAAGCCCAGCCTATGGATTTCTTATGTCCCTGGTACAGGAACTGTTTAAAGCTAGCTTTGATTAGAGAAGAGAAGAAAGTTCTTTTAGTGTCGAAAACTATGCTGTTGTCGGCGTCCCTAAAACCGTCTTCGAAGTATAAAAGTGAGATTTCATACCGAGTCGTTAACGACGATTGGAGTGCGATACTGGTCCGTTAGCGAGCAGTCTCCTGCTCAAAATCTGAGTGCTACCTTTGAGTTTCTTGGCTTTCTACTCTCCCTCCATTTTGCAGTAGGTTGAGTGGCAAGTAACTTTTCGTAGTAGGATTTACGTACTATCTAGCTCTTTATAATATTCTAATGGATGTTTGAGAGGAATTACTAAGGAACGCTCTGACAAACTTAAGCTATTCGATAATACTAACGAGTGAGCAGATATTACGGAAAGTAATAGTTAGAAGTAGTAAGAAGATGAAGAAGGCTGGTTGTGAGAGAAAACAATACTTCCCAACTATTCCCAAACCTCTATATCTTAACTCTCACCCTTGAAGCGGTCTATAGTACCTTCAAAACCAAGCTCTACGCCCCCAATCATGGACCATCGAGACCTCATCAAAGTGTATCGCTATCATACCGCCCCTCTCAATTCCCAAAGTCTAACACTATACTTCCCTTTCCATCTAGCCGAACCACTTCACAAAATATCCCCAGCCCCAGCCCACGAACTTTGCGAAGTACCGTGACCTTCACCAGACGGGATTCTTGATATAAATCACAAACAGTACGGAGATTGTATCAAAGTATTCGGAGGACTTTCCGCGCAGCATTGAAAACAGACAGGAGAGGATATGCTTGGTACGTCTGGAGACCCACCAAACTTAGAAACATGGAAGCCCTGGCTTATACCAAAGCGGTCTATCCCATATCACAGAGAGAAGTTGAACTTGTTGAATGAAGAATCAAGATTCAACGGCCGACGATGTAATGGAACAGCATCATTGAGATTGATGAAGATGTAACACATGTACACCTGTCTGAGGAATTAGCATACAAAGAGTTTGAGGAAGAAATGCTGGCAGACAGAAAGATCAGAGGAAGAGTTCTATAAAGCGTCGTATCCGCAGTCTATCAATCGAGAGGAAATCTACAATAAGCATTCAGAGCGTCTGATTGGAAACGAATGCTGGCAGAAAGATCAGAGGAAGAATTCTATAAAGCGTCGTATCCACAGTCTATTAATCGAGAGGAAATTTATAATAAGCATTCAGAGCGTCTGATTGGAAACGAAAGCTATACCATCGACAGCACTAAAACTCTCGACAATAAAACCCTCTTCCTCCTCCGAACCCCCTTCGAAAGGATTATACCCCCGCCCAGCGGAGCTGCTTCAAATTCCAGTTTTCGAGTCTAGAAAAAATGACTAGGTGTTGAAGAGGGGAATATGTTTACCATTTCTCTCACAGGCGAAGTTCAAAGATTGTGGTTTTTTTTTGGGAGAGCTGTTGCTTTTTTTCAGTGCAGGAAGTTTGGTTCTTTATATATGGTTGGTGGGAGGTTGAGAGGATGAGGGGATAGGGGGTGGTTTGTTTGGGGTTGTTGTTGTGGGCTAGTCTTAACCTCGCATGTCAACAGAGCGGAAACTAAATGATGGAAAGGGGGGTTGTCCTAGTATTTTCAATCACAGATATTATCTCACCACTCCCAGAATTCATTAATAACATTCATCTCCCTGGTAAATCCAACAAATCCAGCCTGCGTAGTATAAACAACCCTCCCACCTCACGAGAACTTACAGACACCAAGAGTGGCAATAGAAGAACACACCTCTCCCCTCTTCATCCTTCACCCCCTTACTTCCTCCTCTCCTCTCCTCTTCTCTCCAACCCAACCCAGCCCACCACCTCACCATTCCTCAAACCCTCACCCTCACCAATTCCCACAATAAATACCCATCTCATCCAAGGCATCACTTACCAAAAACAACGAGAGCAATGACCTGGGAGAGGAACACATCTTCTTCCCACCAAACCAACCATACAGACAAAGAAAAACACCACAACAACTCCCTGCTCCTACTTCCTTTCAAATTCTTCTTCTTCTTCTTCCTTGCTCTTTATTGAAGAAGTTGGCGGTATATACTAAGCTATTGCAGAACGAAAGACTTAAAACGACAGTACCCCAGAATTCGACAGTAGAAATGACAACATCTCAAGCCAATGAAGAATTCAGTTGTATGTCCACAATAAGTAGTTCAACTCCAATTACTTATCGGGGCTGAGTACTAATTTCAATGTTCTACTCGAGTGTAGATAACTGCAACCAAGTGGGTTACCGAAATGTCGGCGAAAGTGCGATATCGAGCATCTTGATTTAGCCCGCCTATTATATAATCTCTGTAGGAGTACGGGGATATAGATATATACTTTTTTCTACGACTATTTCTATATTTTCACTACCAAGTAAACTTGCTTAGAATAATGTAGTTACCTAGAAGGGGACAGAGAGATCTTTCCCTCCCTCTCTCCCCTCTCCCTTCCAGAATCCCTTCCAAATCCAAATCCACAAACACATACACATACACATACCCCTTTCCCCCCGCCAAAAAGGATCTCAACAAGAAAACTCGATCGAAGCCCAGGCTCTCCCTTCCTCTCCCTTCAGAACATCCAAATCCGACACACACGCACACACACACGCACGCACAGTAATACTTCGTAACCCTTAAAACCTACCTACCACAGTACCTAGGTAAAGGTCTCACACCACTTCCCATCCCATCCCATCATACCACACATATGACCACAAATCACATGACCCACCACCTCCAAGCCCCACATCACTCCACCAAACTACAACCCCAAACCTCAAACACCAAACATCAGATGAACACACAAAACACCCAAAACACACAAAACACACAAAACGGGACGCATAAACAATCTCCACAACAACCATCCATTCATCCACACTCATCAATTAAACTACATAGGAACAGTATCAAAATATCCCTCCACTATGAGCCAAGCTTCCCCCTCCTCTGAGTCCTCTCTCTGCCAAATACTAGTATACTCGTAACGCCATCGCTTATGCAAATGCTAATGCAAATACCGATACCAATAACAACAAAAAAACAATACGCATAATAAATGATTCCCACCACAAAAAGTACTGTTTATTTCTTTGCCTTTATGTCCTCCATATTCATCCATCCATGCACAAATAATGAAATCCAAACCAACCAGCCACTGTGCTTCCAAACAAAACCCTCAAGGTATCATCATCAACACCAACAAAAACAACAACAAAATGTGAGAGAGTACCAAAGAGAAAATCCAAATCATCATCATCGTCCATCATCTGCTCTCTCTGAAATTCTCGTGTGGGGGTATGTATATCTTTTCTTTCTTTTGTTTGTGTGTATAAAGGTATATAAGTATATACATATAACCAACCCATCATCTCTCTCCAAATCAATCCGTAAGAGAAGAGGAAAAAAGTGAGAGAGAAAGAAAGGGAACGAAGCCATCGATGAGATCATCTACTCCAGGCCCAGGTTCTCGTCGTTCGATATTCGACCGTCCATACACAGATCCACCCAGCTCCAGAAAAATCGCCGGGACATAATTATAGGAGAAATAAAGCAAGCGCGCTGCATCGTGATCGTGTAGTTGGTTTTTGGTTGTGGCGCTGTGGGATGTCGGATCGATTGAGGGTATCCAAAAAAAATCATCTACACCTTCCCAACACCCTTTCTAGGAGGAAGTGACCATGGTTTCTCAACAACAACCTGTGATCATTAGCTTCCATCCTTCCCAATCCCGTGACAAGAAAACATACCTCTCCATCAGCATACGCCATGAAATAAATAATTATTCCAACCACATAATAAATCGCTGCATTGCTTCCCTGATACAACAACGCCGCTGCCAAAGTCGCTAAAGGCAGAGCCACCAATCTTGCTTCGATACTTCTATGTAACGATGATCCAGCAATAAAACCAAGAGGCCATTCCCAGGCGAATATCAAAACTCCAAAGATGACGTTTAGTATTTGGAGTACGGGAAGTGGTTTTACGGCCATGTCGAGGTTCTTGGTGAGGAAGTCCCAAAAGATCTTTGGCCAGAAGAATCCATGAATACCAGCTACTACTTGATCTAGAGAATATATATTAGTATAAAGTGTGATGTGATTCAACATGAGACGACGTACAAGCTGAAGCGGTGAGGATGATGAGTCGAGCCCAGTGATTCTTGATGAGTTTTCCCATGATGTCGATGTAATAGATATGATTTCCTTCCTTCTAATCTTCCGTCGATATCCCTATTCAATTCCCTTTCCAAATAATCCAAACAAATTTATAATTAGCGCTATAGCGAAAGTCGGATTAGAAATGGGTAAATAAGGCGATAATTCAAAACTGTCGATAGAGAAGGCGTCGAATCGAAGTTAAAATCCGAACCGGCGGAGTGGTGTAGAAAGAATGTGGGCGAAGGAGTAAACACACGAAGGGAGCAAGAGAGAATGTTATTGAACACGTCGAGTGCACTGCGCTGGGAAACAAAGGGACAAGCAGTAGGGCTCGAGTCTATATCTATTGGCCCTTGGACTGTGGCCGCCTTGGTAACTGAGCAACAGCACGGCTCCGGGATCCACTTGGGGGTTTGTGAGAGATTGGAACCAGGGGTCACTGCTAAGCTCGTACCGGCGATGAGGTTGAAGATGGTGGAAATGGGGGATTTGTGAGAGAACGGGCCTTGTTCCGAGAATCTGATGTTCACTGACAGCTGACATCCGAGCAACGATGGACAAAAATGGTTCCGATTCTCGAAGGATGGCCTGGATGTTCTTGGCCTATGGTTTCCGATCTTTTCATACAGAGGCGTGTTGAAGCAAAAGGGCACAAGCCTTTGTGGAATTTTGGTGCGGTTCTCGTCTGATCCAAGTGAAGATCAAGGGGGGATTTGGGAAATTTGTGAAATTTGTGTTGATGGGTGGGGAGTGGAGACCAATTGAGGCTCAAATCAGCGTTGGCCCGTGTTTGATAGAAAGTCGAGAAGGGATGGGGTGTTGGATCTACAAGTTGAGACGTTTGGAGAGACGAGTGATACAAAATGTCCGAAGAGGGCGGTGTATGATACTTCATACTTTTTGGCCAAATGGCGAAGGCGGGAGACAAGACGATCACCGTATGCGGGAAGATAAGTTTAGGGATGTCAGGGCGGGAAGCAAGGGTCAGGAGGGGTTTGGAGGGGGGGAGGGGGTGAGGGGGG